ACAACATTTTTTTTTCTTCGCATAAAAGAACAACATGGAGATCGTAAAAGTAAGCTTCGCAAGAAGGAAAAAAAATCGCATTTTCTAATTTACTGGTTTACGACGAAAGAAAAACACAACAACACACATCGATAAATAAAAACAAAATGATGAGAAAAAGAAAATATTGGTTGGACGAAAACAAAATGAAACACTGGGAAATCGCATTAGAGATTACAAAAACCACACAATTTCTCGAAGGCGAACCCAAAGTTTTATTCGGAGGAATAAAACAGAAAAAATGCCTACGATTTAATCGCGTTTTGCTATTTTGAATACTCAAAGTTCCAAAAGATGTTAGAGGTCAAAAGACACACTCATATATATTGAGGTAAACAAAACAACACATTTCTTTTGCATGCCTGTGTCTCTTTCTACTCACATTGTGCAAACGAGTACATTTAGATAGCAACATACGCGTGTATTCTGCGTGATTGCGGTTGGTTTATACTACAAACAATTCGATTCAAATAATTTTCTCGGATCAATTTATCAATTTTTTTTTGATTTCTGCAGTTTCGATGTTTCATTCATGACTATAATAAAATCAACGAGCATAAATTCCCACACAAACAAGAATCGAACGATTGTTGCCAAGTAAACAATGCGGACGAAAATTCGCAGGCCGCGGATTACGACACGAGCGCTCAAAATCGATGGAAAAAAAATGAGCGCATTATTGCGATGGCGACTGTGAACTGATTCAAAAATATTATATTTTGCAAAATTTATAAGGCAAAAATTTGCAAGGATTTAAAATCGGGCTCACCGGAAATGGAAGAGGAAGTGGAAGAGAAAAATATGCAGAGTGTGCATAGAAAATATCGATTACACCTCACTTGCGGCATCCGAGTTCTTACAAACTCAGCGTTGCCTAGGTGGACGCTGACTCGGACCCCATGGCTTCTCACGAAAACAACCCAACTCGAGTGCACTTTGTCGAAAATAAATGTCACGGTTCTACTGATGAATTCATGTTGATTTATGTCATATTTTCTTATATTTACGAACGCTTATTCGAGTGAGCTATCGATTGTTAGAGGAAATTCGAATTTCCGCATTATTGCAGTACACAATTTCAAGATAATCAACTGTTTATTGTGCGTTCAGAAATTCTGATATTCCGATTTTACGATTACGCGAGTGACAAGTGTGACTACAAAAAATAAAACTTTTTAATGATTTCTTTACGAAAATCTACAAGCATTCGACACTGAAACAGAAAGAATTAAAATTTCGATTGCAATAGCAAATCGCGCTCAGTGTACTTACTACATATGCTATGTATTTATAAACTTTAAAAAGTTCATCGCTGACAATGTTAAAACAAGCGTATTTGCTCGTAAATAACATATCTTACTTTCATTCCGCGAAACAACGGAAATAGAATTCTGTTTCATGGAAATGCCAACAACGAAAACATTAGAACAGTTTTTCAGAATGGCACTATGACTATCTATATCGTGCTGGGCGTACATATTTGGGGTTTTCGTAGGAAAAAAATTAAAACAAACTTTTACTCGTGTTTTAACCAAGAGTTTGAACTGTGAATCGATCATTTCTGAAGGGTTTACTCAACGAATAGTACTGTTTCGATTCACCTGTTTACGGAAGCTTTGCACAAATGTTACACGAAAGAGAACGAAGAGTCAATACTACATAGTATTCCAAACAATGAACTTAAGTTTGTTTTTAAATGTGAGCATTTTGTAAGTGCGAATTACCAATCCCTCAGTTTTTGACATTTAGCCAAAGTGTGTGAAAAAGGAAGATGGGCCAAGACTCGTATCTCTGGTAAATGATTCCGAGTCGTATACGAAGAAAGCTCAATCGTATACGCTGATATCGCTCTTCAAACGCGGCCAAATACGATTGGGATTTCTTAATATACGATTGGCATTTCTTCGTATACGATTATAATTCTTCGTATATGATTGTGATTTCTTCGTATACGACTACAATTCTTCATATACGGTAACGATTTCTTCGTATTCGATTGGGATTTTTTCGTATTCGATTGGGATTTTTTCGTATTCGATTGAGATTTTTTCGTATTCGATTGAGATTTTTTTCGTATACCATTTCACTTTACACTACTCGTTTGGCATTTTAACGCTTTTAAATATATGATGTAAAGATTTCTATACCTGTTTATTTAAAAAAAAAATATGAAAGACAAAAAAATGAAAAAGAAAAAGGAATAAATTAATTAATTTTGGTTGGCGCATCAACCATTTTTTTCCACTGCTCGCGCTTTCGATCGTGAATTGTTTCTGAATTAAGTTCATTTGAATGATTAATCATGAGGCAGTCTTCGGCATGTGCAGATTTTGGAGAAAAACGCGAAAAATCTGATTAAGACTAGTTTAGCCGAATCTTTATAATGTTGTCGAGTTTCTTTAAAAGGTTTTTACTGCGTTTCTTTTCAAAATCTGCATAGGCCCACTAAAAAAGTGAAAACTCACAGGAGATAGGTCATATGACCGTGTACCAAATAGGAGATTGTAGAATTCGCCGTTTCGTCAGCCATTCCAGCGATGGTAACCGTCTTTTGTAAAACAGCTGAAATTAATTTAAACATATTTTAAACATTTTTCGCGCTATTTGAGCATACCAATCGCTGTGTTGACAAACCGAACTGGAAGCGTTGCGTGCGGCGGAGTTGGCTTAAACGATGTTGAATAATTCACACGATCGTTATTGGGAATTGTCTGAAGATATTTTTTGCAACTTTAAATAATTGTAAGATACCTTATCGACAAATCTGTTGACTGTAGTATTTATCACCTGCTTCAGAGCTGCCTTCATGAACGGAATTTCCAAAAATATTTGGGCGACGTTGATGTCTCCTGTTAAAAGATTTAATACAAATTCAAAGCTTTCGAAACACAAAAAACCCACTATTTCCATCCAGTGATGGAATAATTATTTCTGCGTCTTTAAGAGCTTCAGGGTTGTATACGGCGATCACGTCGATCTAAATTTAGAGAATAGCAAAATTTAAAAAAATACTCACATTGTTTTTGTTTGGCTTTGCCGCGAATTTTTGGGATAAAGTTTCTATCTGGAAGTATAGGGTTTCTATAGTTTCTATTGTGGTACTATGCAGATTTCGCCAAAAACTCAAACAGCGGTAACCATAATTATAATGGTTTTTGCCGGTTTTGACGAGTTCTGATATTTTTTTACGGCTTTTGATGATTTTAATGCTTTTTTCGCGGAATCTGGTACCATTACATTTGGAATGATTGAACAATAAATAAAACATACCGTGAACATGATTCCTTTCATTTAGAATGTATGGTTGTAGAATAACCCGGTCACCGAACTTCTCATTGAGGAGAAATCCCAATACATCGCCATATTGCAGTGAATTTCGCCAACGAAACATCACGACGCTATTATCCGAAGCAATATTTCTTTGTATTGAGTAGTGTGAGCCTTGATAGCTGTATTTCTCAGTAAACAAATCGCCTTTTTGAGCCAGCATTGAGTACTTCAGTGGTACATCTGTCGTTTTTTCGATATCATCATTCTCCGAATATCGAAATAGCAGTTTTCTCAGTTTCACGATAGACACATCATGTTGTTTTCTCGCTGGGTCCGAATCAAGTCTTGCACGAACTTCGGTCGTCAAATCTTGCAAAATTGCAGCACTAAAATTTTTCTACGGTGTACAATTTTATAATAAAGCATACTTCCGCAACATTCTTTGCCCAATTCCCTTTGTGATTTCTGACGATAATAGTCGTTTCAAACTGTGAAAATAAAATCTCGCGAAGATAATGCTTCCCATTGGCCTAAAGCGAAATAATTTCAAAAATATGCAAAAACGGTAACAACCTCTCGACGTAATGACTCTTTGCAAGTTGTCACAGCTCGACATTGACACAAAATCTTCTTCCGCGCAAGTGAGCTCATCTTCAGACGATTCTATAGAATCTATAGAAATTAAATCTTGCTCTGTTTTTACTTTTAGTTATACCTGATGTTAAGTTTCTCTATTTTCTGAAAATAGTTATTTTCTTCATTTTTTCTGTTGTTATCACCTGTTTCTGTCTCGTTCCGATATTCCCTATATATTTTTTTCCATGATTTCTCGTGTGGTGTAACGATATCGCTTTCGATATGCAAATAGTTTTGAATTTTGCGACATATCTGCAAAGAAAATATAGATTTCTTAGAGCGGAGCCAGTAAAATGCACGATTTTTTTGGAAAGTATATATATTAAAACGCAATATACGCATAAAAATCGAATATGAAAAAATTCGAAAATTTTCGAAAATTGTTTTTCGAATTTAGACGTCAATTTTAATGCATGTCCGCAGTGTATAATTGTGGTGGTTACACTACTGTGATAAAATCCAAATCGTATACGATCCTTGCAATAACCTATACGACGAGGAAATGCGGATGTTTCGTATACGATTTCAAACCATTCATCAGAATCGTATACGATCCTATACGATTCACATTAACTAATACGATTACCATTAACGTATACGATTTTAATTTTATCTTATACGATGAAGAAATTCGCTTTTTTCGTATACGACTAGGAATCATTTACCAGAGATGGCAATTGTTTGAACGATTATCTCGCGATTGAGACGTATCCCGTAAAAACAGTTATTCGAAAATTGGCTACTTAACGAAATTTTAAAATAATACCCTTACAGTTTTCAATTTCTATTAAAAAAACTCACATAAATAAAATTTGCTTCTTTTGGCCACTTCGTTATTTCTCTGCAAGTACTGCATTCAATATTCTACGTTTACTGTGAACAATATGAGGCAATTTTAACCAAACAATCATGATAATAATGACAACGATTTTTGTTTTTCTTTATTATATGATATATATATTCAATTCGTTAAAAATGATTTATTCAATCATTAATCTATAGCAAAGTGTCTCAACATACGAGTTAGTGGGAAACTAATGGTACACAGAATGATTTTACAAATCGGCGATGGTCTTGCCCTTCTCCTCGTACAATTTAGCCAATTCTTGTGGGCACGTGTGCATGTACCCTTTGTTGGCTTCGCAGATTTCTCTCATTCTGGTGTATGGATCGTAGTTGCTGAAAATGTTACCAACTTAAAATTAGTAAAACAATAATTTTAAGATAACTATAATTCATATCAAAATGAAGACTGTATCAATAGTTTAAATTATTAGCAAAATAGTTTAAAATTATTAACAAAATTTTCCATGAATCTATACTTTCTTTAAGAAGAATTTTGATCACTTGAAGATATTAGCGACCCGGTGCGCTTTTTGTTAATCAGAACGAATTAAAAAAAATTATTTTCGAATTTTAAAGTGATAATAATTAAAATTAGAAATTTTCCAATGTATTCATAGATTTCGCAACTTTAATGAATAACTTACGCGAAGAAGCGCTCGTATTTCTCGTGACGGGGCTGAACGTATCCGAAGAAGAACAAAGCGGTAGAGGAAATGGCAGTTACCAGAGAAACCGCAATGGCGCGGCGTCCATATTGATGGATCATGTTGCGAGTAGCAGAAGCGGCAACCATCCTGAAATATTTTATACTAAAAAACATTAAATTTCAGAAGCAAAAAGGGTCAACAACCAATGTTCCAAGCATATTAATCAAAACACTGGCTTAATTTCATTTTTCACATTTGAAATTTGAAGATTTTTCAAGATTATAAATGACAAAATATAAAAAAATAAATAAATTAGATATACATATATCTGAGCCCCTTTTCTATGAAAATTGAATAATCTGGAATAGAAATACATTCTTCAGTTAGAAATAAATGCGTAAAATGAAAAATTGTTGAAATAATGAAAACGTAAAGAACGGAATAAAACGTGAAAAACAGGAGAAGAAATGACTCGCCTACAAAACGCCCTTGGTATATTATGGTCAGTGTTCACGCGTAGTGTCGTTGCGTGAATTCGTGGCCGAAAATTTCCACGGCCACTAAATGTGGGCGGGACTTTACAAGCAATTTTTTAATGGCATTATTTGATATTGAGTGTATGCAGTGTTGCTCGCAAGCCAAAACGTCAATATTGAAATATTCAAAAGCTCAATCGGATCTGACAATTTTATATTCTTATTTGTAGAATTACCAGTCAAATCGGCTGATTCCAAAGCCGAATTTTGTTCGATCTGATTGGTAAGCACATGAATTTCCGTCTCAGCCATTGTGCATATATGTGTTTAACGGGCTAAGAATTTCTAATTATGTAAGAATAGTGTGTTCCTCTTTAAACTTGCTCACTTATTCACATTTAATGAGAGAACAGAAGTGAGAAAAATAATTATTGTATATATGTATAAATGAATATTTATTTATAATAAAAATGATATTAATATTAGCAATAATAATAATTATGAAGACAAATCGAAATTGCGGTAGCAGTCATTCAATATCTATATTCATATGAATCATATCCGTTGTTTTTCGTTTCCGTTCCAACGTTTGGTTGGTTCACATATCTGTATGATATGTATACTTGTTGAGTGCTTCTAGTAGAGTACATAACAATCGGTGTGGGATTCAGTTTCGAATTTATCAATTCGCCGGCCTGAAAATCGCAACACACCCTAAAAAATCAATTAAGAATATATATATATACATATATAGTGTGCGTCAGACGAACATTGGTGAAGAAATTCTGGGATCTGCGAGATATTTGATTTCGATTCCATTATATTCGCATCCATAATAACAATCGAATCCATACATTTCATCAATTTTTACTTGAATTGTTGTATTTTTAGGTGCCTAGACCAAAATTAGAATCGAAACCACAGATGATGTTCACCTTTATTTGAACTGTTTTAAATTCGACATCTAACAATGGGTTTTCTGTTCCAGGTCCCCATGTTCCTTCCCATTGATTCCATTCAGTGGAAGCTTCTAATAAAATTCCATTTTCCGGCTACAATTTTATGTGTGTTTCGATTTTTGTAAAACTTTAAAAATTCGTACCAATTCATCGCAGTATTTGCCACCATATCCAGCTGGACATAAGCAAGTCGAACATCCATTCGGATTCCAATATCCTCCATTTGCGCACTTCTCGTTCGTCATTTTGCCGATAATTTCAATAGCTATTCATTTCTGTTTAGTATTACACTTACAATAGCAATCATATGCAGTATTGATTGCTTGAACATCATAAAATGTTGGTAGAGCTCCACCCATTCCGATTTTAAATTTCTTATCCTTCGGTGTTATTGATCGTGGAACCACACTTGACACAAATGCGTTTTTTAAACGAATGTGTTTTGTTTCAAACCTGTCATGTTGATAATGCATCACACTTTGATATTCGTAAGGAACAACATTCCAGATAACCGATTTGTTGAACATTTCGAAATTCAACCCCATTCCCTTGTGCTTAAAATAAACTGATTTATTTGAATAATTATGAAAACTAACTTACATTTAAAGCTCTGCTACTAACATTAACGTACTTGTTGCGATCGTACCGAGTCATTGTGTGATGAATTACCAGAGTATGCATTAATTCGTGAACTGCTATATCAATCTGTCAATAATTTCTTACTCATTTTTAAAAATCTGCTGTATATAATTTTGAGCAAATACTTACTCTCGTGCACGTATATTTATCAAATAAAATAGTTTGTCTTCCTCCTTTTTCCCCAATTTCTGAATTGCACACATTCGACATATTGGCACTGAAAATATTCACAGTTCAGTCGACTGATTTTTTGCCTCACTCCTTTATTTCGACCACATTTCTCGCATATGCGTCGTATTTGAACCTCACACAAGTATTATTACTAATGAAATCCATTGCCTCATTAAATGCGTACATTTGCGAACGACCCATCGAATAGTGAAAATAGTAATAAACGGTTGCATCCGGCCATAAATAGGCGTATTTGTCAATTTGTCGTTTCACACGAAATGTTTCGGTGTTCCTAGTTTGGGCCTCACTGTTCGATGATGAATTTCCACTGATCATTTCCTAAAAATCACGAATAGAATGCCATTATCATTCATAGTCCCCTCATCTAAGAATAGCATTCATGTGGGAACTATATTGGACTAATTCATGAGATGTATTTTTTTTTACCAAAACAAATCTAAAATTTGCAATTATTGATCCCAATGTCACAAACGTGACTCATATTTTATATAACCTTTTATTAAATTGTTAAACTAATATTAAATTGTTAAACGATCCACCCCCACATCCATATTAATAAAAAGATAAGACCACCCAAGTTGTGTTTGGTGCAATTTAACCAGTGAATGGCTTAAAACCACAACTTACGCGTCGAAATTTTGGTTCGAATATGTTACGCCCGGGACCCTGAAAATCATAATTTCAATTGTATTTCAACTTGAAATTTCTCACAATTTTTTCCGTTTCGATAACGTCATCTTCCCCGGCAAAATCTGGCCTCTGCAACTTCAATTCGTGAAACAATTAACATTTTTTTTAAAACTAACAATTTCGTCTTGATGAGGTTGTTCGGAAGTTTTGACATCTGTTCGAGCTCTCCTCTGAAATTTTTAAAATCGTTTGAATATTACTGAAAATAATATCTCACATGGTATCGCTCATTGTCACTATTGATGGAATACGAGAAAACTAGAACGACTAATAAATTGAGAACGAATTGTGTTAACATTCTGAAATTTTGAACAATCGGAAATTTGAATAAAGTATCTATGTGAATTTCGAATATTTCAAATACCCTTATATACACCCAATTTGATTTTCAAGCAATTCATTTTTTTTTTTGAATATTGAATTCAACACCGCATTCAAAATATAATAATACAATCTAAAATGTAGAAATTCTAATTCTAAAGAAGACCAAATCAAAAGTATATCGAAATTGTTCGAAAAACACATTTGCCAAGCACCATTCGTTGATTTTTCCCCCCAATTTAATTTCATCTACAATGCTCCACATGTAACTATATACCACCCCAATTTTGTCGAGTATCTCGAAAAGGCGTCATGGTGTGGGAGGCAATCTGCTCGCATGGAAGAGTCAAGTTGTGCTTCGTTTCGCCGAAGATAAGTGGTTCTGACTACCGATACGTCATTAGACGTTGTCTGTTGCCATTTTGGCGTCGAAATAGGCACAAAAATTACTCTTTCATGCAAGATGGAGCCCCTTGTCATCGCGCTCGCCGCACCATCCAGTGGATACGCAGCCGTAGAATCCCAGTTCTCGACAGGCCAGCCTGTTCTCCAGATAAAACCAAATCGAAAATGTCTGGGGATTTATGGTGAAGAAGATTTACGATGGCAACAAGTCTTTTCAATCAATTACGGATCTCAAAAAGGCAATCGGGGAATCCTGGAAGCTTGTCGATCAACAGCTTCTTGACAAACTTATTTATCAATGGACAGTTAAATTTTAGACGTAACACGACTCAATGGAGGTCCAGTTAATTATTAAATGTTCATTTTCTTTCAAATTCAAATCATTGATGCTTGTTTCTGATTTTTTATCAAGTGGGTATATAGATATGTGGAAATTTTTTCCACCTTTTCGTGAAAATGACGAAATTTTAAAAATTGTTATTTCTTGTTGAATTTTACAGATGTAACATGAAACTAATAATACATAAATGCGCATATTTGAAAAAAAAAACCATTTCTGGATCTATTCGCGTTTCTTCTAGTTATTCGACAAAATTGGGTTGGGTATTTAATTATATGGAGCACTGTAGAATTTCAATTTTTGCTATTTTAAATTATAAATATAATTTATTCTTCCTTATTTTTGAAAAAAGTCAATGTTAAAATCCAAAAAAAAATTTTAAAAAAAGATTAAAATGTTGAGTTTGATGTTGAATCACCGTAGTTTGAATGAATATACATATTTTCAAGTTAAATCCCGCAGTGAGAAAATTTTATGGCAATACTATAATCATTTGTTGACAATGTTTGTGTGAAAAGGCACAGCGAGCTTGTCTTATATTCAATGGTCCGACATTGATCAATAAAGTTCGGAAAAAATAGAAATGTATTTACTAAAAAAATATACAGAAAAAAAAAACAACTTGGAGTTGATATATGTCTAATTACAAGGAAATTTCTTGAAGGAATCATCCGAATTTTTTCGGAAATCAATTAATCGACAGGATTCAAGTTTGATCGATCTCTTCCATTCATTCCTGGATGCTCCTCTCAATTGACTCATCTATGGTCATCTTTAGGCATCGCCGGTTGTGTGTAATATTAAATACAACTTATAAAAAAAGAGAAATCCACATCGACTCCTCTTCCGGAAACATGGGATATCTAACATCTGGGACACATAACGTCGATCTTCGCCTGCATTCCAAGTTCGAATCAGGTTCGTCGTAGTAGAATTCATTATTTCTTAATACCCCTTATAGCCCCTATAGCACCGAGACCCAGACAGACAAGGGCCAGAAGGAGAAATCGGCGTAGCCTCGAAATTCTTCCTTTATTTTTAAACTTTTGATCGATAATTTATCAGTTGAAATAAATCAAATTTTGTATTCATAAGAGTCAAATCCATTTGTTTCAGATTCAATTCCAACATTCGGAACTCGAGTGTACTGATACGAAATCGATACGTTTTGCGTCTGGTAACGAGAGAACAAAACGATTGGGGTGGGATTCAATTTTGATTTGAACGGAACGTATAGTTGGTGCAAACAGCAAAGACTGAAAATCAATTTTTGAAAGGTGGAAATACAGAAAAAAGAAATGATAAAACTTACAATGGATTTGAAATTCTCGGATCAGCGAGATATTTGACTTCTATACCGTTTTTTCGACAAGTATAATTGCAGTCGGCATTTTCCAATTTGTTAATATATACTTCAATTGTCGTGTCATTCGGCGCCTAAACAATTCGAATAAATCAATTTCGATTGATTGAATACCTTGATGTGTAGTACTTTGAAACTAAATTCTGGTTGAAGGTCATCAGTCCCCGGACCCCAACTTCCTTCCCACTTTTGCTCCTGATCTGTTGCTTCTAACAATATACCATTTTCAGGCTTAAATTGGTCATTCTCCTATTATTTGAAAAGAATATGTATATACAAGTTGATCACAATGCGGTCCGCCGAATCCAATAGGGCAGATGCACGTTTTGCAGTCGTTCGGATTCAGATATCCCCCATTCGCACAACCTTCCCTTTTGGGTTCACCTAAAAATAATTCAAGCCTCTTATCAAAATGAAATTTTCCAATTTCGTACAGAAACAGTTGTAGGCGTCGTTGATCATTTGCACATCGTAAAATGTCGGCATTCGATGTCCCATCCCCACTTTGTACGACTCATCTTTTGGATCGATTTTTCCGCTAAAATAAAAAAAATGATATTTAATAATAATTCGGAATTCTTGTTATTAGAAATCATTGTGATATAGTCTGCTTCTGAAAAAAACGGTATTTGTATTTTTCGCAAAAACTAGTTTAAAATTTAGTAGTCCAATGCCATTGAGAAAATCGAAAAAATTATGACCGCAAGTGAACCGCAAAGCGTCTTGTTACGACCTTATAGGGGTCTTGCGACGGTCGATTCTGATAGCTGCTTCAAACAAACTATACTAACTTTCCATAAGAATAATGCATTGTGCTCTCATATTCATAGGGGACTGCATTGTACGTCTCCTTCTTGCTTTTTATATTAAAATCATAGGAATCCTTAACATAAAATATTTTAATGGTAGAATAATGAAGTAAAAATAACCGTATTAATTCTAACATAATCATCTCGATCATATCGAGCCATTGTGTGATGAATTCCGAGCGAATGCATCAATTCGTGAACAGCGGAGCCGAACTGAAACGGATTTTCTTAAATCAAAAAATTATTATTTAATACTTCTAATTCAATCAAGAACATATTTTTTGTTTGCAATTTAATGGTTTAAATGATTGCAAAAATAGTAGGAATACCCCTTCACAATATTCGCCGTAGCTCAAATATTGCTCATCACTGGTCATTCCGACGGTTGACAGACAACTACCGCTTAAATTTTAATCAGATCAATAGATTGTTCGAGCGAAATACTCACTGCTCCATATTTACCGAAAACTCGGCATCGCGATTTTCTTTGAATTCAATACACGTATTTTCGCTTATAAATTTCATTGCTTTTTTGATCATTTCTTTATCATATTCTAATAGCGAATCGCTGAAATAATAGTTGAGAATTCCGTTTGTCCATAATTTGTTCTCGTCTTTTTTAATTTGGCGTTTTTCCCGAATCTCGTCGTTTAAAATGATTGGATGCGAGATCTGAAATTGAATTTTTTGGTATTTATAATGGCCAACAACTTACCGATTCTTCATCTTCAATTGGATCATCATTATTGAGAAGATTCAATGGCAGCAGTTCCTGAAAATTGAAGTGACTAAGATTCAAATTTGTCGAAAATTCCGAATAACATCATTTTCTTGAAACTCGTCGATCCCCTGAAATGATGGAATAAACGAATTGTGATTTGGAATTCAATTCAAAAACCTTTTCGACTTGCTCATTTTCTGGTCGACCTCGTCTCTGAAAACGATCATCTTCGAATATCAGAATGCGATAAATCTTACGTGATGCTCGACTCCTTCCGATCTGACCGAATATGAGACTACCGTAGTGACCAGCAATAGGCTGACAGCCAGTTCCTTCAGCATCCTGCAATTCTATCGATGAGACGAGTCAACACTTTGAGCGACTCTGTTCAAGCTCAACCAATTTATACCATTTTATTGTCTCATCATTTGCATAATTATTCAATATTAAAAGAAAACTCATGTGAAAAGTGTGATCAACAACATAATATAATTTGAGCTCGCCGTTTCTTTATAAACATTCTGATTTTATCATTTTCAATGCCGCTACCATAATAGAAAAGTTTTCAATAAAGCAAAAAATAAAATCAAAGTCCATATTCATATCGACATAATAAATGACGAATTTATCAAAAAGAAAAATCACAAGTTAAAAATGCATTCAATATTTTATTTTTCGTGTCAACGAAACAAAAATCTATCCAACACCAAGTGGCATGCAAGTCTGTACTGTGAAATCTCACAAGGATCCAGTGAGACCAACTCAAGTCTAACGGAAACTTCTAACTCGTCATTGACATATACAGGAATCCTGATTGATGGCCCACGGAATATAGCAGTTCATATTATTGGACATAAAATGGTCTTTCGAAATGTAATCATTAATATCATCTTCAGATATCATTACAAATCCGATTTTAGAAAAAAATACAGGTGACCGCACGCGTGTTCTTCTTCTTCATCAAGCTCCAACTTTTATTTGATGAATCAAATTTTAATTGAAAGGGATGAATAAGAAGCACACCACTTCTATGCATTAATTGAATGACACGAGACAAAAGAACAAGAACTGCGAATCTACAGTACTGGCCATAATGATGTTCGCCTAGTGTTTTTTGAGCATAACTTGGCACAAACGCGGCCGATTGGGCTGAAATTTTTACAGTAAACGCTAAACACAGTTGCGCAACCTTGGAAACGACAAAATTGCATCATCTTGAAAAAATTTTTTTTCAATTTTTTTGTTTTTTTTCGATTTTACCAATTTTTCATTTTTTTCAAACTTTGTCCATAAAAATTTTTTATTTGAAATTTGAACTTGAAACATGTTTTTAGTAATTTTTCAACCTTCTGGAAAGAAAAATTTCACGGCGGACGTTCAAAAAGCGATCGTCAACGGTCATAAGGCTAGGTCATCCAGAAGCTCTCTGGTTCAGCAATTCCTGTGCTCCCGAAGAGGAATCCAAAAAGTTTTGCAACGATTAAGACAAAATTTACGATTTCTTATTCGTTCTAGACTATTTCTAATCTATAGGGCTGTATTTCTGTCAACAAATCACACAGTGGGCCTCGCAAAACCACTAGGCTTCAAGATCGGAACATCTGTCGGGCTTCAAGGGAAGATCCTAGACGGACTTCAGCAGATATCCAGATGCTTGTGTTAACGCCAAATGCTTCAATGTCATCCAGAAGAACAATTGAACGTCGTTTGGGGAAGAATGGACTTCATGGAAGACACTCGATGAAGAAACCATTGATCAGTGAGAAGAACCAAAAGACGACGGTGGCATGGTGCAATGATCATCTGTACTGGGACGATGTGAACGGGCCAAACACATCTGGAGCGATGAATCGAAGTTCAACTTGTTCGGAACTGATGAAATCAAGTGGATTCGTCGACCTATTGGAGCCTGATTCATGCCAAAGTACCAGCTCCGAACGGTGAAGCATCTTGCAGGGTCTGGGACTGCTTCTCCGACGCCGCCATGGGACCGCTACGACGTGTAAATGGAATCATGGACCGGTACCAGTACAAGGCTATCCTGGAAATCACAATGAGACCTTGGGCATTGTCAAACGTCGGACGTGCATTCGTTTTCCAGCAACACAACGATTCAAAGCACACGTTTGGACATGTAAAGAATTGGTTCCAACGTCGCCAAGTTGATGTTCTTGCATGGCCATCGCAGATTCCGGACCATAATCCGATCGAACATCTCTGGGAAGAGCTGGTACCCATGGTTAGAGGGCTCCGTGCATCAATCGCCGACGAGAAGTTCGCTCAACTCGAAGCCGCATGGAGTGCCATTCCGATGCAGTGATCCACACCCTCTTGGACTCGATGCCAAGCAGATGCCAAGCGCTTATTGATGCCAAGGGATACGCAACAAAGTTTTGATGAATTAAAAACCGGTTTTCTACACATTTGTAATGTTTTCGGGTTTCTGAGACTTTCAAATCACATTGTGTCATTTTTTCCATTTTCTGCATTTTTATGAAATTTGTGATTTTTCGAAAAAAAAACTTTCCTGCAGTATGCGATATTATTCAAACGTATTTTCAACGCGTTTTAAAGATATGGTAAAAATTTCAGCTCGATCGGCCGCGTTTGAACCAAGTTATGCTCAAAAAAAAACTAGGCGAACGTCATTATGGCCAGTGCTGTAATCTGAATCAGTGCTCGACGTCAGGTATGTTCAAGTCTTGGAAACGCAAATAGTGGTGAATGTCAAATGAAACCAGTTTCTTAGAAGTAATAATATGACCCAACATTTCCAAAACGTCGCGAGGACTTGAAAAGCCAACATGTTCTCAATGCATTCTTTTTTTGATGAATGGGAGTTTTAATTTAAAACATTTTGCTTTGCTCAAATCAATAATTCGCTCGACTGATTCGAATGGTCAATCTTGTGAAATTACTTGGGAACCATTTGTCAGATGCACATTTGAATTGGCATAGTTCACTTGAATTAGTATGTGTGAAACAAAAATTCTTGAATGAGCAATTTATTATCACACTTAGAAACGATATTCATAAGAATCATATCCATTCTTCTTCGTTTCTGTTCCTACACTCGGAGTGTCCACATAACGATATTTGATTGTCGCCATTTGAGTTGATTTCCGAGAGTATAAAATAATCGGAGTTGGATTCAATTTCGATTCGATCGGATTTTTAGGAAATTGTTTTACGCAGCATCGTCTGAATTTAATAAAAAAATAATTGCGAATTTCACTGAATAAATACTTTGGATTCGATATTCTTGGATCAGCAAGATATTTGATTTCGATTCCATTGATATTGCATCCATATTGGCAACCCAAATTATCGACATATACGACGTCAACTTGGATAGTTGTGTCTTCAGGAGCCTTTAATTATTCACTTGAACAATGACTAAATCTAAAATTACTTTGATTTGTAATGTTTTTGTCATGAAATCAACATTGAGCTCGGTTGTTCCGGGACCCCAAGAGCCTTGCCATGTCTGCCATTCCGTTGTCGCTTCAAGCATCTCGCCATTCTCTGGCTGAAATGAAAATCTCTTTTTGAGCGTCTACCAGACTTCTCAAACAAGCTCATCGCAATAATCTCCTCCGTATCCTTCAGGACATAAGCAAGTCGAGCATCCATTCGGATTCCAATATCCTCCATGCGCGCATTTCGTATTCGATTTTGCACCTTCAATATAGCCCATAAATAGTGTGAATTTAATCGAATTTCTAACAGAAGCATCTATAAGCATCATTGATATTTTGGATATCATAAAAGGTGACCATTCGATTGCCCATTCCATACGCGTATTCTTCATCCAGCGCCGTTATTGCGCCACTGCAACCATTTTTCAGAATTAATTTTCAGTATTGTTTGTTTCGTCAAACTATCCATGAGAATAATGAAGGGCACTTTGATATTCATACGGCACTGCATTGAATGTTTCCTTTGGAGTTGTAATTCGATAATTATAAGCGCCTGCTCCCTTAAATTAAAATTAAATTAAATATAAATACGAACGAATGAGAAGATACGGAAAAACGTTGAGGATCAATTTTAACGTAGTTATTTCGATCATATCTGCTCATGGTATGCTCGATTCCCAACGCATGCATCAATTCGTGAACAGCAGAGCCGAACTGGAATTCGAAACAAAACGATGAAAAATCAATTGGAAAAACTTGCAATGTGGCATCCGTCATCAAATGATAGAGGTTGTGGTTGATATTGGTTTCCAACATACGAATAACAGCCTTGGCCGCTGAAAATCATTGAGAAATAATGCATGCAAGACGGACACCAAAACGACCTCCCTTGTAAGGAAACTCACTTCAATATCACAATTCGATGAGGTGCACTTGGTTTTTCGACAAATTTCACACATGTTTTATCTCCAATAAACTTGAATGCTTTGTTGAAAGTGTCGAGTTGTTTTTGTGTGATATTGTATATCTCATAAAACGCAGTTTGGTTTGGCCACGCCGCTTCCGCTTTTGTGATCTGCCGCTTTCGTCGAGAGTTCTCATTCCTGATTATTTCAATTTTTCGAAGAAACTTTTGTCGATATCAACGTACTCTTTCACGAGAATGTCTCCTTCGATGAGATGTTCGTGCAGGTTCGAATTCTTATTGATTTCAAATAGATCGAACTCATCCTTTCCGACGACTTCCTATACATCAATTTTAAATGATATCATGAAAACCGCTCACATTTAAAATCTCGTCGTTTAAAATGATTGGATGCGAGATCTGAAATTGAATTTTTTGATATCTGTAATGGCCAACAACTTACGGATTCTTCATCTTCAATTGGATCATCATTATTGAGAAGATTCAATGGCAGCAGTTCCTGAAAATTGAAGTGACTAAGATTCAAATTTGTCGAAAATTCCGAATAACATCATTTTCTTGAAACTCGTCGATCCCCTGAAATGATGGAATTAACGAATATTGATTTGGAATTCAATTCAAAAACCTTTTCGACTTGCTCATTTTCTGGTCGACCTCGTCTCTGAAAACGATCGTCTTCGGATCTCAGAATGCGATAAATCTTACGTGATGCTCGACTCCTTCCGATCTGACCGAATATGAGACTACCGTAGTGACCAGCAATAGGCTGACAGCCAGTTCCTTCAGCATCCTGCAATTCTATCGATGAGACGAGTCAACACTTTGAGCGACTCTGTTCAAGCTCAACCAATTTATACCATTTTATTGTCTCATCATTTGCATAATTATTCAATATTAAAATTAAAATTTTGTGAAAAATTTTCCCACACGAAGGAAAAATGAATAATTTGAAAGCTTACCAGCATTCTTATATACATCCACAGTTCAAAGCAATGAATAGTTGAACCACAAAAGACTCTGAATAAACGAATTGAATCAAAGGAGAGTATTCAAATAATTTCACAAAAAAATGACGAATTTGAAGTTGCGTTTGAAAAATTGAAACATCAACTGATATACAATTTCACTTTTTTATCATAACTTTCTGAAAAGTTGACCAATCAATCTGAAATTTTTTTTACAAAACGGATAGTGTGTTCCCAAACATAATTTATTCATTTTGGGGTACTATAGACGCAATTTTTGTGTGTTTGGACCTTTTTTTGCGTATTTTCAAAAATGCGATTTTTTTTAATTTTTAAGTTTTTCCGATTTTTTTTAGATTTTCAATGTTAACATCAGTTTTTTTTATTTGTTTTAGCAGGAGACGATCAAAAAGATCAAAAAACATTCTATCAGACGTTTTAAAGCAATCAAGAATGACCGAGCACTAGGTCTTTTCATCCAATGTCTATCACACCAGTTGAACTCATCAACTTGGACCATTCGTGTATGTTTTAAACCTCGATCGGATTCCAATCCACTTGGAAATCCTTCCGAAGCATCCCCGGCAATCAATCGCACAATTATAAGAACCAGCAAGAGCAACCCGCGTCTATCCGATTCCGAGATTAAGCGACAACTGAGACATTTCTATGAGGTCAACGTAGATTTTTCCGAAAAACCATGACTTTTTTCCACCAAAAGTCACATATAAATCATTATTGATACTGTCAAGCGTCGTCTACGTGGTTCTGGATTATTTGGACGTCGGTCTGTCAAAAAATCTCTCCTTTCGGAGAAGAATCGCCGCCCCCGGTTGAAGTGGACTAACATAAGTAGCTTTTGAATTGGACTTTTCAACAATGTTCAAAGGTTGTATGGAGTGATGAATCGAAGTATATCTGGCTCGGAACTGATGGTATTACCTTTGTGAGGCGTTCGGACAGCAAAAGATTCTATCCAAAGCATCAATTACCAACAGTGAAACAAGGAAGAGGAAGCGTGATGGTTTGGGGATGTTTTACTGCTTCTGGAGATGGCCCACTTCGTCGAATCGAAGGAAATATGGATCGATTAATGTATAAAGACTTTCTCGAGAACCATATTCTTCCGTTTGCGAAGTCTTTGCTTCGCGTGGATGCTTATTTCAACAATGATCCCAAACATTGCTCTCGCTTCATCAAAGAGTGGTTCTAGCAGCGTCGGGTGACCGTCATGGACTGGCCAAGCCACTCACCTGACTTGAACCCCTTTGAACATTTGTGGGAAAATCTTGGTAGACGTCTTCGAGGTCAAACAGTACAAAATTGTGCCGAAATGTTCGAACAGCTGAGGAGAGCATGGATGGATATACCAGTTTCAACCTTCTCGAAGTTGACGAGGCCATGGGTCTCCGATATCAAACTGTGATCGATGCAAATGACATTTCAACAAGATATTGAGTTGTTTTAAGCTTCCTGACAGATAATTGTTGTTTTCCATTTCATTTCAAGTCGTACCGGTATCAAAATTATTAAAGTCGGTTTTTCGCTATAATGGAATTTCAGATTATTTGTCAATAAAATTTTTCCTAATGTGTTTTACACCTTCTAATTTTGATATATAATCACTCTATCGATGCTTAAAGTTGTCCAAAAATTTCCGATCGATTGTTCAACTTTTCGGAAAGTTATGACCAAAAATGTGAAATTGTACTGCATCTTACTGCACGGTACTGTATATATAATACTTATACGAAAAGTGAATGGTGGTTTTTAAACTGATGAGCAATCCGTCACAATCGAATGCAAAATTGGTGTATATTATAGATTATTTGAGTGGTTTCGATTGTCATTCAAAAAATATCGAAAATGCCAAATCTCAAAATATCTAAAAATATTTATTGAAATCCTCGAAAATGGGAGTATATGGGGGTGCAAAATATTTGCTCGTCTCCTATTGTGTTCTGATTCCACTTTCAACATCCTTCTAATCCATTTGATGTTTGAGCAATATAGTGCTACTCCGCGTATTTCTGCTATTCGCCGAGTTAATTAATTATCGGGAGTTCCTGTAACTTTGTTCGTTGTACTTGGAACATCTCTCGCTATGCCAATCGGGAATTATGTCGACGAATGCCCATATATCTTCGAACACATTTGGGCACTCAATTTCTCGCGGCAGGCGAAACTCACGTTTAACTGGAATGTGAGAAGGCTGCATCTCAGCGCATATAATGAGCAATTCATCGCTTCCATTAATAAATGGTTAACTTCTTTTCTTTTCAAACATTGAAATTATTTTCAATGCTATTTTTCAATTTCTTTTGCCATTTCATTTCATCAATTGTTCGTTTGAGCAATGATTTTCAACATGTTAAATTTTTCATACGACTGTTCGCACTATTTTATGGTTTTCTGTAGCATTTCTCATTATTTGCCTTTACTTATAGAAAAGACGATAGATAAAAACGTCGGAGAGAGAGAGAGAGAGAGAGAAGTTATTTGTTCCACGAAGCCACCTAATATTGCGCCTTATCTTCTATTAATGTTTCCAGACACTCGGTTGATCTGCACCTTCTAAAAATTTAATGTATAATTTTCATGCCTGGAAAGATATTTACCGGAAACAGTAATGTGCAAGGTTTCTCGAATTGGGAAAATTAGTAGTGGCTCGTGAAAAGTTGCTTGGCTCGTGATTTTTGGCTCCTGAAAAGTGGCTCGTACTTACTATATTCTTTGGCTCGCGAATCTTGGCTCGTGATTTTTGGCTTGTGATCTTTGGCTGCCATTACCTCAGAAAAATACAATTGCCAATAATTTGTTTGAAATCACTGGATGGAGGAACGTCTACTTTTTGTCTTAATGGGGGAAATGACTGTATAGGGGTAAAGTTGAAAAATTGTATTTATTGAATGGGGGGGGTAAGATTATTGCTAAGTCATTTTTTATTTCTGTAAGCGTAAATATTACGAAATTGTTTTTTTTCTGGAAGAAAAAATTATTGGCAATTGTATTTTTCTTGGTAATGGCAGCCAAAAATCACAAGCCAAAAATCATGAGCCAAAATTCGCGAGCCAAAGAATATAGTAAGTACGAGCCACTTTTTGTGAGCCAAAAATCACGAGACAAGCCACTTTTCACGAGCCACTACTAATTGGCACCGAATACAATTCTCAAATCAATAGAGGATTTTATTTTTTGCCGAGTTAACAAACGGGTAAACATTAAAAAAGGCCTATTCGTTTTATCGTTCTTTGATGGTTTTAAATATCATTTGATGATTGATCAGCTCATCTGTCGGATATCGTTTTAAGATTCAAGCCTATTGAATTTATTAAAAGTTTCGATGAGGAAATTCCAAAAACTCTCAAAAAATTGCACTTATTTTTTTTACAATTTGCTCAATAGAAACAAAACTATTTTTTCGAACAAATTCTATAATTTCAGTGACGCGACGACCACTACAAAAACACAATCAAGTTTCAGAAAATTTCCTCGAAATGCTATAAATCACAAAACACTTTTATTCAAAAATCACCTTTTCCTCATAACCAATTCTAGAAAATCTATCGATAAAACATTTGCCAAAGTTCAACTCCTCCCCATATTGTAAATTAGTTTTGACAAATGTGGTCATACATATTTGCTCCGCCCAATTCGCATATTTGTCAGCATCCTGGATAGAATGTAGTGAGTTTTAGACGAGAAATGTAGGCGGAGTCATTGTCTTTTAAAAACCTATTATCCACGTGTTTTTGCGATTAAATTTCAAATCGGATTTCGAAAATTATCGAAAATTTATTCGATACTTGTTTACTGCGAGTCTTAATAACCAACACACAGCGTGTCATTAGAGCACCAATGACCAATCAAATCCGTCCATTTTCGACTCATTGCGCTTTATTTTGATTTTTTCGATCTTTTTTTTAATATTTATTCAGCAAACTCATCGAACGACACAATGGTTTTGCTCGGTTTTAGCACTTTTATTTTTTTCGCCTCGGTTTCTTCCGATGAGTTTACCGAAAAAAACTTGATTGAAACAATTTTTGCATTATTGACGAATACTTTTTTTATAATTATCAGAGCAAAATTTTCAATATATAAAGCAAAATTTTCAATATATATTTACGACTGCTTTAGATTTAGTCGCTATGGTCTCGCCGCTTGAAAATGTTTGAACTTAAATTTTTTCCATATTTTTGCGGTTGATTTGAAATTTTCTCCAATTTATAACTTTCCAATAAAAAAATATTTAAACGAAACTATGATTTTTAAACAATCTGTGACTCTGCGCAAGATCATTGCGAAAAACGCATGCCCGTAAATCGACCCACATAAATTGTAGTTATTGTAGCTAGAAGCCTGCTATTCTTGGAAAACAAGTAGTTATTCATGTTTCCGCGAATCGCACGCCATTCTAATCCCCATCATTTTTTCCCCTATTTTTGTTGGTTCGACTAATCTGTCTTCGTATTTCATTTTATGATCTCTACCGTATTCTTTATGCAATGATAACGAGGCAGATGTTTAGGTATTTAGGGTATAAAAGTCACATATAAATCATTATTGATACTGTCAAGCGTCGTCTACGTGGTTCTGGATTATTTGGACGTCGGTCTGTCAAAAAATCTCTCCTTTCGGAGAAGAATCGCCGCCCCCGGTTGAAGTGGACTAACATAAGTAGCTTTTGAATTGGACTTTTCAACAATGTTCAAAGGTTGTATGGAGTGATGAATCGAAGTATATCTGGCTCGGAACTGATGGTATTACCTTTGTGAGGCGTTCGGACAGCAAAAGATTCTATCCAAAGCATCAATTACCAACAGTGAAACAAGGAAGAGGAAGCGTGATGGTTTGGGGATGTTTTACTGCTTCTGGAGATGGCCCACTTCGTCGAATCGAAGGAAATATGGATCGATTAATGTATAAAGACTTTCTCGAGAACCATATTCTTCCGTTTGCGAAGTCTTTGCTTCGCGTGGATGCTTATTTCAACAATGATCCCAAACATTGCTCTCGCTTCATCAAAGAGTGGTTCTAGCAGCGTCGGGTGACCGTCATGGACTGGCCAAGCCACTCACCTGACTTGAACCCCTTTGAACATTTGTGGGAAAATCTTGGTAGACGTCTTCGAGGTCAAACAGTACAAAATTGTGCCGAAATGTTCGAACAGCTGAGGAGAGCATGGATGGATATACCAGTTTCAACCTTCTCGAAGTTGACGAGGCCATGGGTCTCCGATATCAAACTGTGATCGATGCAAATGACATTTCAACAAGATATTGAGTTGTTTTAAGCTTCCTGACAGATAATTGTTGTTTTCCATTTCATTTCAAGTCGTACCGGTATCAAAATTATTAAAGTCGGTTTTTCGCTATAATGGAATTTCAGATTATTTGTCAATAAAATTTTTCCTAATGTGTTTTACACCTTCTAATTTTGATATATAATCACTCTATCGATGCTTAAAGTTGTCCAAAAATTTCCGATCGATTGTTCAACTTTTCGGAAAGTTATGACCAAAAATGTGAAATTGTACTGCATCTTACTGCACGGTACTGTATATATAATACTTATACGAAAAGTGAATGGTGGTTTTTAAACTGATGAGCAATCCGTCACAATCGAATGCAAAATTGGTGTATATTATAGATTATTTGAGTGGTTTCGATTGTCATTCAAAAAATATCGAAAATGCCAAATCTCAAAATATCTAAAAATATTTATTGAAATCCTCGAAAATGGGAGTATATGGGGGTGCAAAATATTTGCTCGTCTCCTATTGTGTTCTGATTCCACTTTCAACATCCTTCTAATCCATTTGATGTTTGAGCAATATAGTGCTACTCCGCGTATTTCTGCTATTCGCCGAGTTAATTAATTATCGGGAGTTCCTGTAACTTTGTTCGTTGTACTTGGAACATCTCTCGCTATGCCAATCGGGAATTATGTCGACGAATGCCCATATATCTTCGAACACATTTGGGCACTCAATTTCTCGCGGCAGGCGAAACTCACGTTTAACTGGAATGTGAGAAGGCTGCATCTCAGCGCATATAATGAGCAATTCATCGCTTCCATTAATAAATGGTTAACTTCTTTTCTTTTCAAACATTGAAATTATTTTCAATGCTATTTTTCAATTTCTTTTGCCATTTCATTTCATCAATTGTTCGTTTGAGCAATGATTTTCAACATGTTAAATTTTTCATACGACTGTTCGCACTATTTTATGGTTTTCTGTAGCATTTCTCATTATTTGCCTTTACTTATAGAAAAGACGATAGATAAAAACGTCGGAGAGAGAGAGAGAGAGAGAGAGAAGTTATTTGTTCCACGAAGCCACCTAATATTGCGCCTTATCTTCTATTAATGTTTCCAGACACTCGGTTGATCTGCACCTTCTAAAAATTTAATGTATAATTTTCATGCCTGGAAAGATATTTACCGGAAACAGTAATGTGCAAGGTTTCTCGAATTGGGAAAATTAGTAGTGGCTCGTGAAAAGTTGCTTGGCTCGTGATTTTTGGCTCCTGAAAAGTGGCTCGTACTTACTATATTCTTTGGCTCGCGAATTTTGGCTCGTGATTTTTGGCTTGTGATCTTTGGCTGCCATTACCTCAGAAAAATACAATTGCCAATAATTTGTTTGAAATCACTGGATGGAGGAACGTCTACTTTTTGTCTTAATGGGGGAAATGACTGTATAGGGGTAAAGTTGAAAAATTGTATTTATTGAATGGGGGGGGGTAAGATTATTGCTAAGTCATTTTTTATTTCTGTAAGCGTAAATATTACGAAATTGTTTTTTTTCTGGAAGAAAAAATTATTGGCAATTGTATTTTTCTTGGTAATGGCAGCCAAAAATCACAAGCCAAAAATCATGAGCCAAAATTCGCGAGCCAAAGAATATAGTAAGTACGAGCCACTTTTTGTGAGCCAAAAATCACGAGACAAGCCACTTTTCACGAGCCACTACTAATTGGCACCGAATACAATTCTCAAATCAATAGAGGATTTTATTTTTTGCCGAGTTAACAAACGGGTAAACATTAAAAAAGGCCTATTCGTTTTATCGTTCTTTGATGGTTTTAAATATCATTTGATGATTGATCAGCTCATCTGTCGGATATCGTTTTAAGATTCAAGCCTATTGAATTTATTAAAAGTTTCGATGAGGAAATTCCAAAAACTCTCAAAAAATTGCACTTATTTTTTTTACAATTTGCTCAATAGAAACAAAACTATTTTTTCGAACAAATTCTATAATTTCAGTGACGCGACGACCACTACAAAAACACAATCAAGTTTCAGAAAATTTCCTCGAAATGCTATAAATCACAAAACACTTTTATTCAAAAATCACCTTTTCCTCATAACCAATTCTAGAAAATCTATCGATAAAACATTTGCCAAAGTTCAACTCCTCCCCATATTGTAAATTAGTTTTGACAAATGTGGTCATACATATTTGCTCCGCCCAATTCGCATATTTGTCAGCATCCTGGATAGAATGTAGTGAGTTTTAGACGAGAAATGTAGGCGGAGTCATTGTCTTTTAAAAACCTATTATCCACGTGTTTTTGCGATTAAATTTCAAATCGGATTTCGAAAATTATCGAAAATTTATTCGATACTTGTTTACTGCGAGTCTTAATAACCAACACACAGCGTGTCATTAGAGCACCAATGACCAATCAAATCCGTCCATTTTCGACTCATTGCGCTTTATTTTGATTTTTTCGATCTTTTTTTTTAATATTTATTCAGCAAACTCATCGAACGACACAATGGTTTTGCTCGGTTTTAGCACTTTTATTTTTTCGCCTCGGTTTCTTCCGATGAGTTTACCGAAAAAAACTTGATTGAAACAATTTTTGCATTATTGACGAATACTTTTTTTATAATTATCAGAGCAAAATTTTCAATATATAAAGCAAAATTTTCAATATATATTTACGACTGCTTTAGATTTAGTCGCTATGGTCTCGCCGCTTGAAAATGTTTGAACTTAAATTTTTTCCATATTTTTGCGGTTGATTTGAAATTTTCTCCAATTTATAACTTTCCAATAAAAAAATATTTAAACGAAACTATGATTTTTAAACAATCTGTGACTCTGCGCAAGATCATTGCGAAAAACGCATGCCCGTAAATCGACCCACATAAATTGTAGTTATTGTAGCTAGAAGCCTGCTATTCTTGGAAAACAAGTAGTTATTCATGTTTCCGCGAATCGCACGCCATTCTAATCCCCATCATTTTTTCCCCTATTTTTGTTGGTTCGACTAATCTGTCTTCGTATTTCATTTTATGATCTCTACCGTATTCTTTATGCAATGATAACGAGGCAGATGTTTAGGTATGATGTTCATCAACGCATCCCTCAGTCAATTACAATCGGCACTGGTTAGTGACCGGAACCTGGTGAAGGCATTTGACTTGCACACATTAGCGTTCAGCAAAGCATTAGTCGAAGGAAGTCGGCAGGATAATAAAGAGAGCATCTCATTTGAGCCAGAGCAGAGGTGTGCACCCGGAAAAGAATCAACTGCCCATTACGGAGCAATTGTTTGCGGGTTCGATTTTTGAATTTGCGATTCGACAAATCAAATAATTTTAGCGGTTGCAAAATCTTCTTTGCGCGTACAGTCACCAGTGGAAAGGGCTACGTGTGCGAGAAAGGAGGGAAATGCAGTATAACAGGCAGTAAGCAATTCAAATGATCCAAAATAACATATAATTTGATAATATTGAGAATATGGGAAACGGTCGAAATGTAGAGCGTGTCGTTTTCAAATGTGCTTGCTAGCAAAAATGTCACCTCACGGTACGGTTAATTTTAAATGTTTTCTGATTTAACAAAGATTTGCAGCAGTAGGAAAAACACGAGAGGAGCGTGTAAACGAATACATCGAACCGGTTAAAATAGAAGAAGAAGAGCCGATTGTTGGATATTATGACGAGGTTTTTTTTCGAATCTCTTTAGACATTGGAGAGTCTTGACTCGAGCCAAGACTCTCAAATAACGTTTTACATGTTCGTCTGAACCGTAGTTTATTTTTGAAGGCTGACGTATTGAATGAAGAGAACTTATCGACCAATATATTTAATCTTTTGCACACTGAGCCGGTTACTGCTGCCCAATATTTGGTAAATTTGGAACTGTGAGTTTTCTTCATCAGTTTACTCGATTGAAATATTGTCGTGCGAATTAATAGTTTGCTGCTTATGCGATATTATTTGAATTGCCGCCTAGGTCTCGTTTGGAAAACTCTCAGAGAAGTGATTTTTGTTTATTTTTGCCGTTGAACATATTTTTCTAAATAAGTTTGAAGTTTTTTGGTTGTTAATCAAGCACATTTTATTTTTCGGAGTCGCAATCCGCAAAAAAATTAAGTGGCCATCCGCGCTTCTATTTTTTCAAACTTTTAAACTTGATTATTGAAATTTTTTAATTTCGTCTTTCTTTGACAATATTCTTTGACAATCTCAGGTCGATCACAAACCAAAAGGGTATGTGTTATGCGGAAAATTTTTCGAAGGAATGCGATGGTTCGATGGGAATCGATACAGCATTCTACTTCGCCATGTCCATTACAGCAAACTTACCGGTATTGGGAACATTTGAAGAAAAGAAAAATTGATTAAACTTTCAGATTGACTACATTCTTGAACAATGCTGCGATCATCCTCTCGAGAATTTTAGATTAACATGGTTACGTTGCCATATTGAATATTGCGCAGCAATCGAAGATGTGGCGCTTCTCGAGGAGTCGGAAAAGGTTTGTGCAGCAAATCAAAAATATGTTGTGGAGATATGGGGAAACGCCCATTTGCCGGGAGGGCTGATTCTCTGTTTCCCTCCCGGACTGCTTTTACTCGGGCCCTAAGGAGTCGTTCTGGTCCCGCGCGGACTCACCCAACGACCCATCTTCATCCACACCGAGTGATCTCGTGGTAAAATCTTCGAATTGAAATGAAGAATGTTTTAGTTCCGACTTGTCACAACCAGCATGATGCCCTGTGTTCTGCTTGTTATGGGTGCTTCGATGATTCGAGTGATGGAAAAAAGGAAGGAAACGGATCCGAAAGCTTCAATTCGCGAATGTGTCGCACAAGTGACAGCATTCTCGGATTTTGCAAAAATCGCTATCGACAAGTTCACAGTGAATGTATTCGAAGAACTATTAGATATGAATATGACGAAGGAAGAGTTCGTCATCCTTAAAATATATACATTATTCAACGGTATAGCAATTTCAAAAGAAAAACAAAAAATAATAATAGATCATTTTAGGTCGAGGACAAGAAGAGAATAACACAATACTCGAGTTTCGATCAAAGTATGCAGATTTGCTTCGAAGGTTTCTCAATGCGACGATCACCGATGAAGAGATTCGAATGAAAAGACTCGAGAGGATATTAAATCTATTTTACTCATTACGGGTTAGTATCGTTTTTTAGATTTGTATTTTGACCACAATATGCCTATCATTATAGCTATTTTCAGATAACATCAGCTGCATATGACAACTGGTGGGCTGAGATTTTCTCAGGAAATGTTTGCGGGTTACAAGAGAAGCTCATATACGACTTTTCCATATCAAATATTGATCCAACTTTGTGCCAATTTCTAAAACAGGAAACAAATTCTGAGAACGAGGTTTAATTGTTTATTTGTGATAAATAAATGTGCTAAATTATCTAAAAGAATTCACACGAAACGCAAAACAAAAAGAAAAAAGAATGGAAAACGATAGCGTAATATAATAAGAATTAGGCGAACGAAGAGAAAATAAAAGAATTATGAATACACCGTGAGTGGAACACAAGCAAAAAAAAGAAGAAATCTAACGAGGAAGAGCGTAAGAGCACTGTTTTTGAATTAATTTAGCACACATTTTAAAACGAAATACGTGAAAAGATATACTTACAACAATTATTGATTCTTTCGGGTAGCGTTAACAGTCTTGTTTCCGCTTCCACCGCTTACGGCTTCACCAAGTTGAATCGCATTTCCCAATGGCCCAAGATTTCCAGCATTCGGCGAGATGAAGTTTTTCCAAACATATGAAACCGATTCGTCAATCTTGAATCACAATAATGAACAAATTCGAAATTGTTTTGCAGTGAATACCCATGTTCCAGCCTCACGGAGATGTCCAGAATAACGCGAATAAGCCCAAACACTGAGAGCTCCAATCACAATAACCAAAATGGACGAGAAGATTCCTTGAAAATCGTAAATGATTCGGAGAACATTAATAAACGAATATTACCCGCAATTCCGTCCAACCCCAAAAGTTGGAAGAATTCTTGGCAAATGTAATCGACAATCATCAAAGTGACAAGAACCGCCGGAGTTCGCATTGATTTGAAAAGATTCTTTCCATTGTTGACTTTCAAATAATTCTCATAAGATTCCTGAAAACGATTCGAATTTCGATTTCGAACGAAACATTTGAATACCTGAAGATCATCCTCAAGTCTTTGCAAGAATGTCAAACTGAAATCGACACCGCCCATTTTGCGCGCATTTCGGAACTCGCGAATAGCCTCGTTCTTGCAGCGCTCGTGTTCTTCGAGAAGTTCGCTAGTCGACATGTATGGAGTTCCTCCCCCACAAACTTCCTCCATCAATCGCTGATAAACAGCACGAGAAGCAGCAACAGCAGCGAGATTGTTGGCTTCAGCGGTAGCACGAAGCATTGATTTTGGTTCTGGCAAGTCCTGGCCTGAAAAGGAAATATTTCTGATCATAAATGATTTTATTTTGGATTAGCGCTCTTCTAAGCACTTTGTAAATTTCTCAAAAACAATCCGCTTAAAATGTAAAAATAGTACCTTGGAATATTTTCATGTAAGATTTGAAATACTCCAATAATGCACGACAAGTTATTTTCTGCCCGTTGATTTCCTTATGGACCAAACTGTGAGAATCCAAAATCCGTGGAACCATTCCTTTGAGTTGCTGCTGGAATTCAGGTTCAATTTCTGAAACTCGCTGATCGTCATATAGAGTTTGAATAATTTAAGATACCGGTAAGTTTTCCATCAAAGTTCGGATTTGTGGCAACACGAAGTCCCGGATGAGGCATCAAAAAGCATGAGATATTCTCGAAACAGTTGCGAATATGTTGACGAAGCTGCTGCAGTTCAACATGCTGCTTCTCGGAAGCTTCAAGCCGTCGATCAAGAATTCTTTGGCCTCCTGTGAAACCGAATTCAGCTTCATATGGGAAAGACCAATCACGAACCAAAAACAGCAACGTCTAATATTTTACAATTATTATTTAAATAGATTTGAAAGAATTTAACCTGGAAAGGTTTAGCGCTCGAGTCTTCCAGAGCCAAACGTCCGTATTCGGTGAACAATTGCAAATGTTGAAGGTCATCTTCCTGGATGTTTTGCGATATGTTGTAAATCTTTAAAACAAAAGGCAATTAAATTGTACTCGATTCTAAGGTGTATTTTACTTGAACACTGGAAATCATGGTTGAAAGAGCGAAAATAGTTGCACATTCCTTGACAGTCGATTGCGAGTCGAAAGCTCCCTGAGTGTCCATTAGGAGAACAGCAATCTGCAATACAAACCATTTACTTTTAATAATAATATTGTTGTTTTGTTTCAAAACACTGCTGACCAGAATTGGACGACACTCCAGTTTTTATTCCCCGTTTTTTTTTTCAAATCTCCCCAAATTCTGTTGCTGACATCCAGTGAGAAACGACGAATATTGAGCGGAGAAAATGTTTGAGACGAAGCATTTTTGTTCAAATTTCAAAATATTACCTCTTCACCATTTTTGTCTTTCATGATGAACGGTTCGCTCCAAATAAGGATTCCGTTAGTGTCTCTTTCACTTCCGCCTTTCCATGAAAATCCTTGAAGCGGAACAGTCGGATACATCCATTCAGCATCTTCCAGCTCGATTTCTCCGTTTACTTTTTCAGCGTTTGATCGCCATTTCAAATAACGAAGAAAGAAATTGAGCAGAAAACTTTTTCCTTTTCTATAAGCTCCAGCAACACCAATTACGGCAACCTGTGTTAAAGTAAATAATTAAAATGAAAAATAATCTAAATTACCTTTTTATCTGCAACTTTGGGATCCAAAAGAATTGATTCAAGTGCTTTAACGTTCAGTTCAAACGAGTGGTCAGTATCTTCGACAACTTCGACAATTCGAACGGCATGAGGTTCAGATGGAATTTGCACTGGTTCCACACTTGACGGGAACTCGCTATCATCCTGAACACAAAATGTCTATACGCAAACATTAGAATTAAAAAAAAAAAATATATATATATATATATATATATATATATATTTGTTAGTCTATATATTCTGTTTGCATACCTCGTTCAAATAATCACGAGAGTTGTCCATGCCTGAAAACGACTCATATTACTTCATTTCAACACGAATTAAATAGAAAAAATTGCCGGCAACATTATATTGGTTTTTTTTGTGAGTGTTATCGTTAAATAAAATTGGCGAACAGCGAAGAACATACGCACACAAAATGCTATCATGAAAGAGAAACTGCGGGTTTTTCATAACTAGACAAGCAGAGTGTGCAAAACAAGAGCCAGAGACGCAGGGTGCAAGACGACGAAATATTCACCTCGTGGCGAGAGAAACACTTTCGGTAACATTCGAGTGCTGCCAGCTTTTAAAATAATCTCCAAAATGTATAGATATTTCAAAACGGTGAAATTTAACACGTTATGATACGTATTAATGATTAATTATTGCGAAATATATTTTAGGGCTCATCGATTGCGAATTTTTTTTCTCGTGAAGACGAATAATCAATTGGAAATATGTCAATTAAAATAATGTTAAAATGATCACGCATAATGTGCCGATGAATGAAGTCGATTCAAATGATTTAAATTACAAAAATTGATTATTTGGCAAATGTCTCGAGGCGAAAACACTGTTAACTCAAAACCAATCGCCAAAATTCGGATTCGGAAGCAACCTTATTATCAAATTGTATTCCAAAAAAATTAAATATTTTCTTTTGAAAAAAAGCAAGTACTGTTTAACAAAATATTGGGAAAAACAACGACAGCCAGTGTGAGAGAAGAAGCAAATCTCTGCAACTCTGCGTCAAGTGTACAACACAATTAAGCACCGTATATTTACACCTTCGCAGTATTTATCATTTCGTGTTTAAAAATAATTATTTATCTGACAATTGGAATTCTGGAAACAATTAATGATAAATGAGCAAATACAGAGTGACGGTTTTCTTGAATTACATCATCAAGTAGACCCTCTTCGCTTGAGAGAACGTCCTGAATCAGAAGACTAAATCAATCAAAAAAGAAAAAAGAAACCTTCAAAAACGTTTTGAGCTCTTCAATCTTCTTGTTTTGGGTTTTGTGTGCTTCGATTGTGAGTTTTCGAGTTTGTTGCTCTTTTAGAAGTCGTTCTTCAAGCTCATCTCTCGTTTTTTCTGCTTTAGCCAACATCTCTAATGTGTCTTCTAATTTCGATTTCAAATCAATCTCTATTTGAGAATATTTTTCCATTATCGACTTTTTCTTGTTTTCTGATTCTTCAAGCCTTCGCTTACTATCTTTCAAAGCTTTTTCAGTCTGAACCCCAAACTAAAAAATAACTTTTGTGCCTCAAACCGACCGTCTGTCCGCTTTTTTCCAGCAATCGACGACATTAGTTAACGGGTCTGACACTTCTTTATAGTAAACTCCTTCTACATAGAATTTGATGTAATTTGATGTGTTATGTTGACCAAAGTGCAATTGGAAGAGGCGATTAAGCATTTTGGAAACGATTTCATAAAAAATGCCAAGAAAGCGGAATTGATTGATATGTTAACGAAAATTTTGGAGAAGCGCTTGTGAGAAATAAACGCTTAATTAAGCAAACCGAGCGGGCGAAACCGTGGCAGAAACTAGCTGAAGGCAAAACTAGGGTGAAATTGTGGAACAACGGTGGCAGAAACCGCCGATGGCACAACTAGGGCAAAAATGGGGGCACAATGGTGGCAGAAAGCGGGCGTCCGTTACTTTTGCCACCATTCTGCCACGGTTTCGCCCGCTCGGCTTGCTGAGAATGAGTGTTGTGTGCATTGATGCGTCGCGATGAATGCACAGATTTGCATTACCGAAATCAGGGAAAAGGAGAGCGTGGAAAAATGAACACTGGTTTTGGTCGGGCTCGGCTTTGAAGCGACAAACCTGAATTTGACATATTTTTGATGATGATTTCAGGATACCATAAATCATCAATTGTCCAACTGTGACGTTGAGAGCGAAACAAGGCTCATCTAGATCGACATATAGATTCTTAATAATTCTAGTAAAAAAAGGTTTTTATAAACTTCAAGCACATGACTTATGAGATTTCCCGATAGATTTGTGCATGATCGAAAGTGATTATAGATCTGGCCTGCAAAACAAAAATAATTCTGTATATTAATTTTCGCCATTCTTAAATACTCCAATCATATTCTTTGGAAAATGACCAACGAAAAAATCGAAGTCGCGAAAAAGCAAAAATTTTAAAAGAATGAGGGGAAATTTGAAATGGCTAGTTTTCAAGCCTCGCGCGTTTTTTTTCGGTCGAACTCATCAATTTATAATTAATAACTGCTGCCCATTTTCTACTGGAACGGAAACACGTTAAAGTGTAGCTGAAAGGTTTGCGAAATAATAAGCGAGTCGAATTTTTGATAAAAACTTAAAATAACTTTGTAGTCTTATGAGATTTTCTATAATTTAATCAGCAAATTCCAAAATCTCTTAATAAATTCTAAAATCATTTAATAATTTCTAAAGTTGATTGAGAAAAATCTAAATTATTATAGAGACACGTTAGTTTCTCAATGAATCTCAAAATATTTTATTCGACTTAACAAATTTAATATATATTTCGGGCATTCAGTTTTAAAATTATTTTAAATGTAAGTGTTGTTTTTTTCCTCAATAAAAACAATCTAATCACGTGATCGAAATTCTCCAATTTTCCTTCATTTTCCATTTTTTGAAGTTCTGCACGTTGACGATTTTATTCTCCGTGTTCGCCATTTTGCCAAGCAAATCTGAAAAAAACCAATGCAATGGAATGAAGATTAATGAGACATGAAATTGTAAGTAGTTCAAACAACATTTTTCGAAAAGTAAATTGCCGAGAAATCGAGAACATTAGTTAGAATCGATAATTTTAAACAAAAATTGAAAATTGTTCCTTTTTTCGTCAATTTTGTCATATGCAGAATTTGTCATACAGTAATCACAATTTTTCCACGTTTTCAATTGCCACGCTCCTTTCATTCATTTTCAGTTTTTCTTTAATTTTGCTGTAAATTTTTGACTAATTTCATTTAATCGCGAATTGTTTATATTATTTGTAATGAAAACGTATTAAATTAGCTGTATTGCAGACAAAATATGAATTTGCATCCGTCGGCGGCACTCGGCATTTTGAATTTCAAGTGTTAAAAGGGCGAAGAAATTTCGCAAAAAAGCCGCTGCGTGATTGGAGGCTGACAACTATCCAGGCGGGGGAGCCAACGTCCAGGGGCTCGGAAGCTCTAACCCGCCAGCAAAAATGCTTAATTTAGTTAGGGGTAGTCTGTCGGTTGTTGTCTCACAACAGCTCATTGGAGCTGGGGCGCTTTAGCGCGTAATTTTCTGATTGCCCTTCGACGCTTATGGATCCGGATATTGCTACTCTCGGAAATCAGTTTGATGCAACTTTTTTGGTGTTTTTTAATTGAATATTTCAGAAAGCTCGAAAACATTCAAAGCGCCTGATCGAATGAGAAGAGATTCTGCCGTGTTAAAAGTCAAACGAAACTCGAATCGCTCATGATGTAGTTTGCTTTTTATTTTTGAATTTCAGTAATCGTTTTAATTTCAGTTAATTACTGTAATTTATCCAAATTGCTCAATCGGTTTCAACACGAAATACACTTGAAATCAGTCATTTATAGCCGCTTCCTAGGTGAAAAGTGTTGGGCGACCTGCAAAAGGATTTGAAAACAGTTCGACCCAACTTCTGATACAGTGCGTTATCTCCTACATCCCGTTTGTCATTAAAGACCGGGCTAATTAGCACATTAATTAGTTTTGCAACTTAATCAATTGTTTACTTTCGTTTCCCATTTCGGTTATTATTTTTAAAATAGCGACTTCAATTTCAGATAATAGAAATGAGTTGCAATTTGCCTCAAGTCGCTCAATGATTGTGGATATCCCAGTAAAAAGCTGGATTACCACTCTACCTATGAGGCGAATCGGAAAGATTATCATCTGTATAAGGTTGGTGGTTTTGTATATTCTATTTCAAACTTGTTTCCCACGTTTTATTAATGTTTGAAAAACTCTAGTAAATAAAAAATTCAATCGGATTCGAAAATAACTTCATTTTAATCGAATCGAATATAAATTAATCTGTTTTGAATTGTTCTAATATTTCAATCGAATACGATTTCAAATTTGAAAATGAGAAATAAATCGATTTCGACAATTTTTGAATCGAATTTAAACATTTTCTCAATCGAATTTCAATTCTGTTTCTATCGAATCATGTTAATTTACATTTAATTTTCCTGCGAATCCGATTGATATTTATTTACATGAGAAGGGATTGTCGAACATTGGCCAAATACAATGAAAATCCAAAGGTTTCGGCGAGTGGTGTGCGCTTTCAACTATAATTATCCTGTGAATCTCCACATGTTTTTTTTTCAAGAACGCTGTAATTGGTTTTTTTTTGCATTTAGCCAAGTTCCGCAGGCAATATTAATAATTTAAAATTTCCACGAATCCCAGCGAGAACTGATTCAAATTCTCAAATTGACCCGAATCGATTGATTACCAATTAAGGAAAAATGTTTTGAATTTCGAGAATAAATTGGAATAATTTCAGGGTTCCATCGTTTTTGCTGCTCTCTGTTGCAGTTGAATCTGAATCAATTTGGAATTTCGATGATTATTTTGCTCTTTTTTGTTTTTTTATTTATTTTTGTTTTGATTTGATTTTTTGAATCTTCACCACAAACAGGTAGGTCTTTATTTTTGAAAACGGACCATATTTGAAAATGTTTAAAAGGTTTTGTGACAAAGAGCTTTTGTGTAGTATGCTGTGTGTAGTTGTGTGACTGCAACCGGAATGTTTGAAAAATTTCCTGATGCTGGAAAATTTTTAATTTCTATCTAGAAATTTTCCGATTTTTTTCTTAACATCTGTTGAATGGAAGGTTTTTCGTCATATTTTTATTGTCAAAAATTAAAACAAAATATTTTCCCAATTTTCCTAGATTTGTGGCTCCGGTAACTCAAAACCAATCGGTTGCGATAAAATTCGGATTTTTTGGATCCGATTGATTATTTTGTCGGACCCGATTTGTATTAGATTGAATCAGACTGGTTATTATTCGCATCCGATTTGAATTGAAAACCCTATTTCTCATTCCAAAAAAACACCTAAGCCTAATTTTTTGAGGACAGACACATACCTTTCAATTAAAAAATTGTTTTTCTAAAATAAAATTGGCAGTAAAGAATCACCGGCCGTCTTTGAATAGCAGGTAGGGTCTTTTTTTTTTTCTTTGAAATTCAATACGGTTTGTTTTTGCGGTCATCTGTTGAAATAAAGTATCTTGAATGTTCTATTTTGTGTACCGAAGAATTTCCTGCACAACTTGAATTTTCTGAAAACGAAAGACGAAGATTTTGGTGAACCGCGCCGAAAATCAAAGTTGAATTCATTTCTTTTCAATTACGTGCCCATTTTAAGACAAAACTAAAACTCGCTCAGAGATTCTTTGGCTCCGATTAAATAAAGAGGCATATTTTCATGATAAAAGAAATCATGATGTGTGATTGATCTACCAGCTCATTTTTTTTGTTTTTTTTCTACCAGCTCAGTTTTTCCTTTTTTTTTTCGACGTCACCAGGCATTTCCCTCCTGGCTCGGACCCTTTGGGCGGCAACATTGGAGAGTTATATTCTGAAAACTCTTTCGAGAACTACTCAACTTAAAATACATGTGTTGCCTTCTTCCAAATACGCTCGCTATTTTTGATTGATTGAAGAGCTCATTAACACTCTCGCAAATAGCACCTTCTTCCGATCATCATCAGACAATTCAACACTGGATTCTCATCTTTAATATATTACGCATATACATCCCACTTTGAAAAAACCCATTTTTCAAATCGGGATTTAAAAATTACTCAAAAAATTTGGAACGCTTCACGAATTTGCGTGTCATCCTTGCGCAGGGGCCATGCTAATCTTCTCTGTATTGTTCCAATTTTAGTATATGTTCTCGGAAGAACGAACACCCGCTTATGTGCAGTGTTTATATAGCCCCTGTTCACCATGTACGGACGTGCCAACGGGACACGGCATATTCTATGTATATTATACGTGACAAGACAGAGTACAATTACACTGAAGTGCCAAATTTGGCCTTAAGAGGAGACCAAATGAGTAAAGCCAGATTTGTAAAAAAAAAGAGTATGATCTCATTTTGGTGAAATGCGAACCAGACAAGTGGGGCAGATTGAATTTAACATTAAAATCGTGCGGGAATTGAGGGTCCGGAGCTCGGCCGTGTGGTCCATATTCCCGGTTCTATTCCTTGTTCATGGTTTGTGATAAAAACCAATGAGCAAGAGAAGGGGGACCATAATATTGTGTGGTTATAGAATAGAATGTTTGCCGGCTTCCTACTCCTCGTTCACATCCTGAGCATCGCTTAAATAGGGGTGAGCGTGTGGTATTGATAACCGCCGTATACAGGGTGTCATTTAAGTTCCCGCACAAAAGTTTGACGCCATGAAGAGATTGACTGTCGCACTTTTTGTGCACCAATACAATTTATTTTTGTTAAATAAGGTGTATTTTACTTATTTTCCAAGTTTCACCTCATTCGGATGTGTTTCCGAGAAATGGCGAAGGCTAACATCCATCGCGCTTCCATTATCGAACTTCATAAGCAAAATGTGAGCCCGAGAGACATCATTCAACGGGTCGGTGTGCTTCGTAGAACGGTTTGCGACACCATCAAACGATTCAAGTAGCTAAATACGACCAGTGTCCGTCCCAGACAAGGAAGACTCGTCTCAGTAACCACTCCTCAGAAGATCAACGCCGTTAAATCGAGGATCAGGCGAAACCCACACAGGAGCATGAGAAAGATGGCGTCAGACATGGGAATGAGCATCTTTGCTATGGAACAAATCGTCAAAACAAAGCTTGTACTGACCCCATATCGTGTCCAAAAAGCGGCAATTCTATCGGCCGTCAACAAGCAGAGACGCTTCGAAAAAGCAAAACGACTTCTTGCTCGCACGCGGTCTGGAGAACACCTCGTCACTGTCTTCTCCGACGAGAAGCTGTTCAGTGTGGAGGCGGCATTCAACTCACAAAACCATTGAGTACTTGGCCAAACATCCCAGCAAGCTTCTGAGAAAGGAAGAACATATCATCCAGCCTCACATCCTACCAGTGTGATGGCTTTTGGTGCCATCTGCTCAACCGGGAAGTGCTACCTGGTTTTCGTGGATCAGATGGTGAAAATGAACAAAGAAGTCTACGTTCGGGACATTTTGGAGAAGCATGTGATGCCCTGGACCCAAACGCATTTCGGTGGGCAGAAATGGGTCTTTCAACAGGACGGAGCACCCGCATACACTGCCAAAACTACTCAGGAGTGGTGCCAGACCCATTTTCCCGACTTTATCAAGTCATCCGAATGGCCTGATTGCTCCCCAGACCTGAACCCGCTTGACTTTTCCGTGATGGGGTCTTGCAGGAGAAGGTCAACGCAAAACCCAACTCAAGTGTAGAGGCTCTGAAGAAGACATTACTGGCGGAATGGGACAATCTTTCCATCGAATACCTGCGTACCACAGTCGAATTCTACCCGAAGCGTCTCCGTGAAGTCATAGCTGCGAAAAGAGGCCGAATCAAAAAGAGTTAATAGATAAATATTTGTTATACTATAGATAAAAAAATATTTCGAGTCTCGTTTGATTTGGACTTTTAGTTTCAGAAATGTACGTCTACAAAGTTGTGCGGGAACTTAAATGACACCCTGTATGTATTATTGCTTCCGGTCGGAGATTTGGTTAATATAGATGTCTCCTTCGCTGTTTGATTGACCTGATATTCCCTTCTGACTCAGTTACAAAATTGTCAATTTCGCGAATTTCGAATCAGACTATCGAAATGCTGTCGAGAACAAATCGAACTGTAAAAAGAATAAATGCAAATTTAAAATCGCGTTTCTAAGCCAATTCGGCTAGCGCGTTCTGCACAATTCTGGTTGCGAGTATCAATTTGAACAGCGCAGTTTAGTCTCGCGGATACCACTGATTTGCTTTTATTTCGTGGATTTCCATTCGACTCGATTCTGGGATTCTTGCGCTGTGATTTTCATTCAAATTCAGCAGGACCACGCACTCACAATAGAAATGATGGAAATGAGGCTTAGGAATGATAAAATACATAATTCTCATTAAGATCTACTGACGTGATTCTGATCTGTTATCAGGAATTCCCATTTTAATTCATTACGCTTAAATTGATCACAAGAATCATGTCAAATATGGCAAACAACAAGCGAAAGAGCCCGAGTGCTCATGATGATATTCCACGGAAACGTGTTTTTTTTAAAGAAGATGTGACCGAGGTCCATCTTGAAGTCGTCGAAGGTGCGCCATGTTTTTACTCATCTGTCGTTTTCTCGAAAATTCTATTTCCCAACTATTTTTATCAAATATTCACTATTTTCCAGTACATTTAATTCTTCCTATGCTAATTTATCAACGAGAAAACGACAATTTTTTTTCCATTGCAAATTATCATTTTTTTTTGTGGTTAGAAACAGAAAATTTGACATTTTTTTAGTAATTCAAGAATCACTCTGTGTGCTTAACCAAAAATGGTACCTTTTAAGAACTTTGAACTTGCAATATTTTTTAATTTCCTTTTTTCGTAATTTCTTCAAAAGACACTTTTTCTCGAGCATTACATGATCTCATGGAAATTCGAAAATACTGCACAATTAAGGGGATAAGTGAACCACGCAAGAGGGATATTAGAATTTAATGAATTATTGGAAATTTGAGGAATGAGGGGAGATTGAAGAGGAAGAATTGGGGAGATGTTAATCAATACTTTTGATACGCATTTTTGGTGCGTCGCTTTTTTCGAGCGAACAGACATTTTAAAAAATCATTAGAATCGTGTAGCAAACAATTCTCGGTGAAAACCGAAATGTTTAGCTTTTTCGAGCATTTTTCTTTTTAAACGACTTCAAAGGCGACTCGTGCCGCCTGCATTCGGATTGTCTTCGTCGTTTCATCTACGTGCTTCTCCAAATTTGGTCAGTCTTGCGAGTTGTTTTCGTTGATTCCGTCCTGCGAAATCGCCTTTAAAGTCGTTTAAAAGCAAAATGAAAAACAAAAAATTTGTTCGAGTTCAAAATTTTTGATGTTAAGGCCCCAAAATCGGCCAAAAGCGCACTCGAACCACCGGAGATCTCGTCGAAGTGCGGATCTCGAAGATCAAGGATGCGCCGAGCAGCCCGAAGCGGCCCGCAGTGTGGAGCCAAGAAGACATCGAACGCAGCTTCGGACCGGAGGATGAGTCGTTGGCGGATCCGGAGGCGATGGTCGCGCTGTGCTCGACGCACTGCTCCGAGGCGTCAGGCTGCTCCGAGAGCTGTCCCTGCCTGCTCGACGAGGTGCTGTGTGACGGAACCTGCCCGTGTTTGCCAAGTAACTGCCGCAATCACAACACCATGCGGCTACTGGCAGAGTACCGTGCCCGTCGAGACCGGAAGGAGAAGCTGGTCGAGGCCAATCAATGGTGGTCTTCGGTTCCGGTGGCAGCGGAGCGCCCTCCATTGGTCGTCGTGTCGGAGGAGGAGGAGAAGACGGAGACGGCGGTGGCCGGAAGCAGTGAAGACGCGGAACAGTCAGGACAGCCGGAGTTAGTGGAGGCTCAGGAAGAGGTGGTGGTAGCCACTTTAGAGATGAGACACTTTCATCCCGAGATGATGGGCGCGTTGCGAGGTCTCATCACTGATGATGACCTGCCCACGGGATACCAGACCTTACAAACATCTGGTGCTGTGACGGCCGGGCTTTTGAACCTGGTGCAGTCGCAATACCGCAAGGTCGGTGTGGTCCTTCCGTCGGCCACGAAAGCTGTCATCGAGCGGACGGTGGACGAGGACGGCGAGCATGTTGCAACCATGCTAAAGGAGTGTACCGCCGGAGTCCGAAGGCATTGCGAGGTGCTCCTCATGCCAGTGCACCACCATCAGCACTGGCTGCTCGCAGCCTATACAGTGGCGACCGGCAAGTGCGTCATTTACGATTCGCTTGTCGCGAGCCACTCGCGCAAAACCAAGGCCACCATCTCGAATGGGCTGAAACGAGCTCTCGCCGCGCTCTATCCGTCGACACTCTCGAGTGTCAGATGGGCACCTCAGAAACATCAAGAGGCCCAGACGGACGAGTTTAGCTGCGGCCTGTTCGTGATCGCCAATGCCAGGAAGTTCCTTTGCTCACCAACTAGCAACCTGGCAGCGGCTGAGCGTATGGATTTGGCGAGAGAGCTCAACCTTTTGCGAGCTGTCGTGAAAGGGCTGAGTTCGCAACTTCAAACAATTGCGAACGAGGCATCTGCGAATCCGCCACTTCCCGAAAATGAACCGAGTGTTCCAATAAGATCTAAGAGAACCTCGGCGATTCGCGCGACAACCAAGATCACACGACTGTTCTGCGAGCGATTGGCGTGACGACGAGGCACAATTAAAAGAATAAAATAATTTAAAAGAATGAAAGAAAAAAAATTAACAATAATAATAAGAATTAAATATGAATTTAAAAAAAATTTAAAAAAACAATGAAATAAAGTAAAAAAAAAAAAAAAAAAAAAAAAAAAAAAAAAAAAAAAAAAAAAAAAAAAAAAAAAAAAAAAAAAAAAAAAAAAGAAAAAAAAAAAAAAATAAAAAACCAAAAAAAAAAGAAAAAAAAAATACAAAAAATAAAAAAAAATCATTTTTTGATGGGTTCCTATATTAGGAAACCATTAGTTTCATCACATTCTTCCAATCACGTTTTTTTACGAATAATGAAATGAGATGAAGCCGATTGTGATTGGATTATTATGCTCAAATCGAATGTGATACTCTTCATAAAACAAGTCGAGTTTTCGACAGAAGCTTTGCCAAATTCTTGGATTAGAATCTTCTTGATCTATTTGAAGTAAGAAGGGTTTCTTATGTTGACCAAAAATAGTTGTTCTTTTCAGTTTTATGGAATATTCGAATCAAATTCTAAACAAGCTTATAGAATGAAGAAGCTCTTACGTGGAATGCAGAGAACTGATATCTATCAATCTATTGTGATGCTGATGATGCTTGATAGATTCCCAGTGAAGGACATTCCTTCGGATATTGGTTTCTAGTGAACAAAGACAGAATTTTTATTCTATCGATCTATTGCTTTGGTCTGATCAGTCTGAAATCGAGAAGCACAAGGGAAAGGTGCAAATATTGTGGTAATCAAATCAAATCTTTTCTGGGCTTCTTTATATAAAATAGTTTTAGAAAATAACAGCTGAAAGTATGCTCGAATCGATGTTATGATCAATGAGACAAACAATTTTGATTGCCGCAGATGATCTCTACTCAATTTGTCCGATGAGTTCAGCACACGATCAAGGTGCTTCTGGAACTTCTTCGATTCCACACGCGATTCTTCCATTATTGGACACTTGCCGACTTCTTCCAACCATCAATATTTTATATTTTCATAACGAAGACAACTGAAATAATAGACCAAGATATGTAACGTTGATTTGACGTTTTCTCAAATTATGTTGATATATTGAAGAAGCATATAATAATGATGCATATTACGAGGTAAAAAAGAAGACTTTTAGGTTGCTGAATTTAATTTTTGGTTTTTAGAGAAATAATGAAATATAATCAAGAAATTAATGAATCAATGATATTTCGATAAATAATGACAAGGAACAACGTTTATGCGGAACAAACCAAATCGAGAAGACAGTTGTTTCGAGCGCGCAATCAAGGTGCTCTTTCGATGGTAAGTAAGCTTATTTCAAATTTCAAACCGATATTCTTATTTAGTAACCCTAATATTGTTCACTGAATTCATAGTATTAGTTTAACATTAATTGTCAAATTAAAAACGATGGACAAAATGAATTGTAGAAAAAGTGGAAAAAGATCCATTATCGTTCAGAACTCTCATTTTATTGTCGAATCCATAATATGTATAGTAATTTTTATATAGTTGATAGGAACTCTGTTTCTTTCAACCCTTTTTATTTTACCCATTAGTTTCTCTTTTTTTTTATCGATTCCCTGTTATCCAGGCTCATTTATTAGCATTCATTTCTCGCTACAGTGTTGCCCTTTTTCCCGTATTTGTAATATTTTAAACGACGGACAACTTCTTATTGTTAAAAAAAGAAGAAAAGATCCAGTGTCGTTTGATTGGTTGATTTATTTTGATTGTATTATTTTTGTTTCTACTTCCTATGATCGTTTGATAATTGAAAACGATTTGATGCGAAAATGGTCGCCTCCAAAATGTAATTAATTCGAAATTTATGGCCTAAATACAACAATAATTTTTCAGATCGATTAAATATGAAGTCGATATACAAATTTGAAATTGATTGAAGAATCTGGAATCAGCAGAAAAACAAAAATAAATGAGCCGATCGAATCGTATGATTATATATTCCAACTTAATTTTCATTGATTTTCATTTTTTAGAAAGGAAATTCACCCAAAAACCACGTGCAAATCCTTATGAATTGAAGGATCTTCTTCGATTATTTATTTCTACACACATTTTTGACGGAGCCGAGCTCGAAAGAAAGAGAACAAAGAAGAAAACGGCTGCAATTTGCTGATCTTTGAATGGAATGGCTCCTGATGCGAAAGAAGACGGAATACAGTAGCAAATTAGTTATGATCGTCAACATTTGGTCGCAAATGTTAATTTAATTCATATGATGAGAAAAGAAGACACTTGAATCTCTAGTTAAAAGAAATGCAAAAACGAAAAGAAAAATTCCTTTAAAAAAATTTTAAAAAAATGATATTGAATAGTTAGCGACGGACAACCATTTTTAATGTAAATAAAAGATCCATTGTCGTAAAAAAATGAAAAAAATCTCCATTTGTTGTATTTTCTCTTTTAAACTCATATTTTTGCTGTTTTTGCTTTTTGCTTTACAATTTTGATTTGATAGAACTTCATCAAAAAGGTAAGCACATATAAAAACCTCATGCCATTGCATAATTCAATATTTCAGAAGCCTTCTTTGGGTTTTTCAGTCGAAGATGCGCGCTGCCCAAAAAAGTTTTACCCAAAGGATTGCCAACTACGTTCGTTTTTTTCGCCCGATGATGTTCCTTTAAAAGTAATATCGGAACGGAGGGCAGGGACACCATAATGTCGTATCCAATTTAAATTCGGGGAAGGAGAAGCGTTGACTGACACTTTTAGCAATTACGATTTTTGCGCCCAGTGATGAACCATTTGTTGCAACACAAGTGGATCGGAGGGCGGGGAAATTGACGAAACCTACTAGTTTGCTGTCATTTTTAAGGACCCTAGAGTGCATATGGGGCCGATCGCCCACCATATATAGGACTTATTCATCTAAAAAAAATGGCATTATGCCAGGCAAATATGCCAATCAAATATAAATTTAAAAAATGCAGATAATTGAGACGAAATATTATAAAACAAAGTTATTTGAACTCACATTTTAATTAATTTTTAAATTTTAAAATATTTCCATAAGTGAAAGACGATTTCCTAATTTAAATTCAAACAACACTAAAAATTTAATAAATATTTCGGGCATTCAATTTTAAAATTATTTTAAATATAAGTGCTGTTTTTTCCTTCAATAAAAACAATCTAATCACGTGATCGAAATTCTCCAATTTTCCTTCATTTTCCATTTGTGAAGTTCTGCACGTTGACGTTTTTATGTCCGTGTTCGCCATTCTGCCAAGAAAATCTGAAAAAAAAAACCAATGCAATGGATTGAAGATGAATGAGACATGAAATTGTAAGTAGTTCAAACAACATTTTTCGAAAAGTAAATTGCCGAGAAATCGAGAACATTAGTTAGAATCGATAATTTTAAACAAAAATTGAAAATTGTTCCTTATTTCGTCAATTTTGTCATATGCAGAATTTGTCATACAGTAATCACAATTTTTCCACGTTTTCAATTGCCACGCTACTTTCATTCATTTTCAGTTTTTCTTCAATTTTGCTGTAAATTTTTGACTAATTTCACTTAATCACGAATTGTTTATATTATTTGTATTGAAAACGTATTAAATTAGCTGTATTGCAGACAAAATATGAATTTGCATCCGTCGGCGGCACTCGGCATTTTGAATTTCAAGTGTTAAAAGGGCGAAGAAATTTCGCAAAAAAGCCGCTGAGTGATTGGAAGCTGACAACTATCCAGGCGGGGGAGCCAACGTCCAGGGGCTCGGAAGCTCTAACCCGCCAGCAAAAATGCTTAATTTAGTTAGGGGTAGTCTGTCGGTTGTTGTCTCACAACAGCTCATTGGAGCTGGGGCGCTTTAGCGCGTAATTTTCTGATTGCCCTTCGACGCTTATGGATCCGGATATTGCTACTCTCGGAAATCAGTTTGATGCAACTTTTTTGGTGTTTTTTAATTGAATATTTCAGAAAGCTCGAAAACATTCAAAGCGCCTGATCGAATGAGAAGAGATTCTGCCGTGTTAATAGTCAAACGAAACTCGAATCGCTCATCATGTAGTTTGCTTTTTATTTTTGAATTTAAGTAATCGTTTTAATTTCAGTTAATTACTGTAATTTATCCAAATTGCTCAATCGGTTTCAACACGAAGTACACTTTTGAAATCAGTCATTTATAGCCGCTTCCTAGGTGAAAAGTGTTGAGCGACCAGCAAAAGGATTTGAAAACAGTTCGACCCAATTTCTGATACAGTGCGTTATCTCCTACATCCCGTTTGTCATTAAACACCGGGCTAATTAGCACTTTAATTAGTTTTGAAACTTAATCAATTTTTTTTGCTTCGTTTACCATTTCCGATATTATTTTTATATAGCGACTTCAATTTCAGATAATAGAAATGAGTTGCAATTGGCCTCAAGTCGCTCAATGATTGTGTATATCCCCGTAAAAAGCGGGATTACCACTCTACCTATGAGGCGAATCGGAAAGATTATCATCTGTATAAGGTTGGTGGTTTTGTATATTCTATTTCAAACTTGTTTGGCACGTTTTGTAACGAAGAGCTTTTGTGTAGTATGTGTTAAGGAATCCATGCGGGCGAAGACACTACCCGCGTCCGCTTGTTACTTCCTTGTGGATTCCCGCATATTTGCTCGCTCACATGGATTCCTTACTGTGTGTAGTTTTGTGACTGCAACCAGAATGTTTGAGAAATTTCCTGTTGCTGGAAAATTTTTCATTTCTCTATCCAAAAATTTTACGAAAAAATTCCGCGAATTTTTTCAACCAAACGTTACTCTGTTGATTTTCGAAGGTTGGAAAACGTTAAAATATTTAGAACACTGGGAAATTTCAATTTTACACATAGGATTTCGTTCATTTTTGCTTCTTTCTGATTTCTTAACATCGGCTTCTGTTGAATGGAAGGTTTTTCGTCATATTTTTATTGTCAAAAATCAATACAAAATATTTTCCCAATTTTCCTAGATTTGTGGCTCCGGTAACTCAAAACTCAAAACCAATCGGTTGCGATAAAATTCGGATTTTTTGGATCCGATTGATTATTTTGTCGGACCCGATTTGTATTAGTTTGAATTTGACTTGTTATTATTCGCATCCGATTTGAATTGAAAACCCTATTTCTCATTCCAAAAAAACACCTAACAAGGGAGGTCATTTTGCTGTCCGTCTTAAAATTTTTTTATTTTTTGCATACAGATTCTTTAGAAAATTTCCAATCGAATGAACTAGGTCGCTACCTGCGCAAACTTCTAGTTATCGAGATATGGACCTTCAAAGTTTTAGCCCCTCCCCACGTGAATTTTGTATACAAATTTGCGGAAACTCGAAATGAAATAACGTGATGTCTTATCTCGCGCTTATATCCTGATCAGGTAGGGTCTTGTTTTTTTCTTTTTTTGAAATTCAATACGGTTTGTTTTTGCGGTCATCTGTTGTTTTATTTTGTGTACCGAAGAATTTCCTGTACAACTTGAATTTTCTGAAAACGAAAGACGAACATTTTGGTGAACCGCGCCGAAAATCAAAGTTCAATTCATTTTTTTCAATTACGTGCCCATTTTTGGACAAAACTAAAAGACGCTCGGAGATTCTTTGGCTCCGATTACATAAATATAAATATTTTCTTGATAAAAGAAATCATGATGTGTGGTTGATCTACAAGCTCAAAAAATGATTTATTATTATCAAATTGTTTTCCAAAAAAATTAAAATATTATCTTTTGAAAAATCAAAGCAAGTTCTAGTATTTAACAAAATCAAGATTTCAACTAAGTAAACACAAAAGAAATTAAAATCTCGCACGTTTGAAGAGCAACAAATTCATTTTACAAAACACGAGTCGTTCTTCAGCGAATCAATGGCTAATATTGGGAAAAATAGTGACACACAGTGACACTGTGAGAGAAGAAAAAAAATCTCTGCAACTCTGCGTCAAGCGTACAACACAATTAAGCACCGTATATTTACACCTTCGCAATATTTATCATTTCGCGTTTAAAAATAATTATAGTCGGCGTCCGATTCGATAATTTTTTAATCGAATGAGGTTGGAAATTCAAGAAAATGCGAAACTCATCAAGAAAAATGAAGCAGTTCACTTGAAAACAACAAAATAAGCGTTCACGCGTGGCGAGACCTTTTCAAGGCGGATGCGCGTAAATCTACCCGCGTACAGTAGTTGTCGGACGCCGACTATATTTATCTGACAATTGGAATTCTGGAAACAATTAATGATAAATGAGCAAATACAGAGTGACGGTTTTCTTGAATTACATCATCAAGAAGACCCTCTTCGCTTGAGAGAACGTCCTGAATCAGAAGACTAAATCAATCAAAAAAGAAAAAAGAAACCTTCAAAAACGTTTTGAGCTCTTCAATCTTCTTGTTTTGGGTTTTGTGTGCTTCGATTGTGAGTTTTCGAGTTTGTTGCTCTTTTAGAAGTCGTTCTTCAAGCTCATCTCTCGTTTTTTCTGCTTTAGCCAACATCTCTAATGTGTCTTCTAATTTCGATTTCAAATCAATCTCTATTTGAGAATATTTTTCCATTATCGACTTTTTCTTGTTTTCTGATTCTTCAAGCCTTCGCTTACTATCTTTCAAAGCTTTTTCAGTCTGAACCCCAAACTAAAAAATAAATTTTGTGTCTTAAACCGACAGTCTGTCCGCTTTTTTCCAGCAATCGACGCATTTTTAAATTCTCCTCTTCTTTCTCGCTCGTTCTTCGCATTTCGTTTTCAATTTCTTCATTTTTCTCGTTGATTATCATCTCAAGTCTTGCAATTTCTTGAGATTTTTTGGTTAGCTCAAGTTCCAAATGAGCAATCACCTAAAACAATTATTTTATTTCGAAAATTTTCGGCGTCGCGCTGTGTTGCGTAAATTGTATAATAATTAAAAAAAATGTTCATTCACCTTTATTTCTACATATAAAGTTCTGCTCAACATTGCTTGAGAAAATTCCCACCACCATTTGCATTTTTAATGGATATTCAGCTAATATTCTGTACTCGTGAGATGTCGATAATACCTGGTTGTTCATCAAAGTGTGTCCTTTGTTTTCTAAACTCGTTTCGGCTCGAATTTCCGCGACAGCTTGCTCAAACTCGGCAACTAAATCAGCCCGAGCTCTAAATATTCAAACGTTTTTCGAAACAGTCTTCTCAAATCTTTGGAAAGTCGAGAAGAGTTTGTTCTTCTTTTTAAAAACTACTCTTTTTAGAAACTAAGTCGACTAAAACTACACACAGATTCTGCTGAACGTCTAGTCTTTTTTTGATAGTCTAAGCAGTGTTTGATGGTCCAGAACCCCTCAGCAGACTTTCAATCATTCACTAACAATTCCTTTGCTACAATTTTCACACTTCGTTCTTCAGCTTCTTTTCTTCGAATTATTTCTTCTTGATCAGCCACAACTTTTTTCAATTCGTTCAATTTCGTGCTCATTTCGACAATTTCCAATCCAATTCTATGCTGATTCCCGAGTTGGGTATCTTAAATCCATTTAAATTATAGTTTCCTAAAAAATTCAAACAAACCCATAATTTTCATTTCACTTCTCAATTTTTCGATTTCTTCTTTCATTTTAAATTCCTCTTTTTCAAAATTTTCGCGGTTGATCGTCATTTGCTTCTTGAAATCATTTTGTTGAATTTCCAGCATATCTTCTAGTCTAGCAATCTGAAAACCGTTCAATTTTGAAGGAAAATCATAATAAAATGAGAGAACCTCTTCGTCTTTTTCCTCGACCAATTTTTTCAAATAACTGATCACATCATTCGTTTCGAATGTCAAATTCGCGAGTTTGTTCTCTGTCGTTTCATTTGTCACAATCAATTTTGCAATCGTTTCCTAAAAACTGCCCAAAATTAATTTAAAAAAAAAGAATATACCTGTAGTATTTCGATTTGCTCTTCGTAGGGTTTTTCGTCGGAATCTTGCTTGCGCATTTCGCACAAAATAACTAGGCAATGTTCATATTTCCGGAATAATTTGAGTATTTCCGTTGCCTATTCTTCTCGTTTTTTTTCGAATTCGCTAAAACTAGCATAAACCATGCAAAATATACATTTTTGAAAGAAAAATTGTTATGTAAAAATTGAATCGCATAAACTTGCCAATTTTGTACATTATATTATTATATCACATTCTTAAATAGATAGGACAACTGATTGCAGTGACATCCAGCCAGAAGATATTCTACATAGAAATCGACGGCCTCCACAAGCGACGCGCACTGTCTATAAATTCGTCATTCGATGAATCAATTCATTTGTCATCTGGCTGCGGAAACAACCCCTACAGATGTTTGAATTTCGCGTTTTCAACGCAAATCTTATACAGTGTCTACACTATGTTTTCCTACCCTTTTTTGAGCATCCGTTTAATCACTTCAATTTTTGAAATCTTCACTATCTATACTCAGTTATGATTAATATTACTCATGTAATCCACACTGGATAATATCTTGCATAATTCCATAGAAAGCTCACTCGAAGTTGAGTGTATGTAATTGTGAATGAGTCGCTCACTTTGTCCCGCAAAAATAATTGTTTTGGCTCGCAGTAATGATTCTCTGTCGACGATCTTTAGTGTTCCGAGCTCATTCCTTCTTATCCCATCATATTTCGAGGCAGATATCACTTGAAACAATCGCATCGCCGCAGCCGAATTCATAAGCTGCTCTCGGAGGTCTCGGAGGGTCTGCGTCACTGGCATTCTGCGTCTCCGCGCCGCTCGCACTCCCTCCTCACTCAGCTGACTCGTCGCGAGTTGCGGCAAAATGAGGCAAATTTCGTCTCCGATTTTTGCGTCTTATTCTTCGTTTTTTTTTCCCTCGATGCCATCGTTTTTTTGTGCGGTGCATTCGACCCCCCCCCTTCTTTTTCTTCAACACACATGTTTACCACCATCGATTCATGCCCTCAAATGATTATTTCAAATAATTTTGTTTTTGCAAAATCCAAATAATAGTGTTTCGTTTTGTTTTCGTGTGAAAAATGTAAACGTCTATTATCAACTATTTATGTGTATAAAATATGCCATAAAAACGCGCACAATGTAGCACGTGACACCTGGTTTCGGCAGCCGTTTTGACCATCTGCGCGAAATATTCGATTTCTAACATATGCTCTTCTTCCTATTTGTTCCTCTCAGTACTGTTTCATGTTGACAAACTTTTCTGGCATATAGTTAAACATCACATGGCACTTCTCTAGCAACGTGTAAGCATTTGTTAGCATTCTGTGAGCGGAAGGAGGGGACCGGTTGAGCACAAGCGAAACACGCAGCTTCGTTCGATCTCATATGGTTTCGTTCGACTGGTTCGTTGTAATTAACGCGAAAATCAATTGCCTAACTTGTTATATCATCATTTTGTTTGTTTTCGCTTTCGGATGCTGAGAACACACCCCATTTTGGTCATTTTTGGCATCGCACAACTTTTACTTTCATTTCAATTCTTTCTTTCTTTCTTTCTTCTATTCAACAGTTTTAAGTTTTTTGGTAGTGCCGTATTCTATTCAAAGAACAATCAGACAGTCAGTCATCTGATACGCTTTCGAAGCCGAAACAAATCGAAATCTTCAGAAATTTTGCAGATTGATGATTTTGTTTTACTAAAAACGCCAAATGACTATCGATATCCACTGCAACGTTGAGAAAAAAAACACAGTTGGTGGTTATCACAAAGCATTGGGCAGATGTCTTTTCGCCCACCTGACTAACAACTAATGAGACAAGAAAAAAGCGAGCGACGTTTCAAAGAAACGAGCAAAAAATTCAAAATATCATGCGTTTTTCCGCTTTCAAGACAAACATTCCAACTATTAAACACACTTCAGATCAAATTCGTCCAAAGAGACAACATTTTTCTGAAGGAACAAATAATGAAATATGAAATATACTCGAATTGTTGTGATAGAACAACAATCATTTTTCTGTGTTGATCGCAATTCTCATTTTTCAATCGTCTAGATCTTGTTAGCGATCCGAGTTTTCGCTATAACAAGTTGAAACTCGAATTCCATTTCACGCGCATCCTATTATATGAAAAGTTAATATAATCGAATTGGCCTCCCTATTTTTGCTATTTCATTTTGAACTAGTCAATATCGGCTACCAATCGTTATGGTTCACAATGAAAGAAAATTCGAATTGGCAACGAATCAGCAGAAAATATGCGACGGAAGAGATGTGTCGTGTCTATAAATTGATAATTTGATGTATGTCGGTCAGGTGACTTTACCACTAATTTCACTGCATCCGACCTCTCCTCCTCACGTGTCCCGATGCTTTTTTGAGCGCCGCCGAATAACCGGTTCGCTAGTCTGCCAATGGCAACTCATTCTCTCGCTTCTCCGCCGCCGCCACCGCGTTTCACCGATTCTCGATTTTCAACACACTCAAAATGAACCATGGCGCGATGACCTTATGTGTGGTTTCGAAGCGAATCATATGACTCTCACGACACAAAAGTAAATGCAACACAGTATTACACTGTCAAGCTCGTCGACCGTTTCCGACTATTTAGGCTCCCTTCTCTCTTCTCATACTCCATTTCATTGTTGTTTCATCGTTTATGAGAACAATTTTACAGACAATTTGGGTAGAAGAAACCGAACTGAAAATCATGACGCCGCGTTTACGTAGTGATAGTGAGACCTCAAGCGATTCATGGTCTATTGTTGAAGGTACGAGCATTTAAAACATTCAAGTTTCGCAGATCCCAATCGATATTTTCAGATGGGGCACATGATATTGTCGAATTCTCTGCGCAATCGGATGATTCCGACATTGAGGATCAAAATGAACAAATCGTCGAAGTATCGCCGTGTAGTTCATTTCAGTCTGAATTAGGAATTTCAGGAGCCGATCAGCGACAACGAGAATCAAGAAAGCGATGTGACACAGTACAGTTCAGAAGAGGATGATCGGTACGAAGATGAGGAAGGAGAGCAAGAAGAATTCAAAATTCAAGAGTATGCAGAAGATCGCCAAAATACCGACGATGACGAAGATTCCGATGATGAAGAGGAAGATGAGGAAAAGGTGGAGGAAGACGAGAATTGTGATGATGAAGAGGAGGAGGAAAGCGAAAGCGAGGATGAGATAGAGGATGAAAATGAAATTCCGGACAATGTTCTTGATGAGATTCCATCGTTGTTCGGTAAAAAACAGCGAAAATCCGTACATTATTTTTTTTTCTAATTTAGTGGCACTTTCGGAGCTCAAGATTCGTCCACTTGTGCTCTTCACCTCTATTCTCATTGTTTTCCTACCTGTCCTTATTACCCGCCAGGGTGTGCTCTTCCGCCACCCATCACCGGATGTCGAACCCAGCCAGCAGCGCTGGGTTTCCGCTATCGCAGCGGAGGGCAGTAGGAGATTTCTCGCATGGATGCGACACCAATTTCAGACAAATCCCTATAAGCATAAAGAACCCGATTTTCCCTATAAGAAGTTAACTGAGGTCTCGTTTGAAGAATACGTTAAGAAGTTCGAAGAGGCAAGTTTTTTTTTTCATATTTTTTAAAATTTCTTTTTTTTATTTTTTTATAGGAAATGAAGAGGAAAGAGCGAGAAATGAACCAAATTCGAAGATCGAAAAAGTGGGATTTTTTGTATAGCGGAAACTACACAAGCCAGATGACTCCGACAACTTCGTTCTTCAAAGTTTGAATTCCATTTTACATCAAATGTCGAATTCTTACTTGTAGCCCATAGCTGAGCCAGTTCCACCATTGAACATTTGCGAACAAAAACCACGAAAAAACTTGTCGATTACTCCTCAGCAGAAAGAAAGTGACCGAAGAGTATTGCATCAGATGCGAGCATTTTCTCGTTTGGTCACTCCAACGATTTTCAAAGCTCACGAAGTCAAGACGAAGGCTGTTCAGACCCTATTCAGACCGGTATCACCTAGACGGGTTGTCCGCAAAATGAGACCCTCGTTTGCGCCATGTCTCGACTGGCAGAATTCTTCTTTCGCGCCATGCGAAATTCGCTCAAAAAACGTGCCGAGTGTCGTGTATGATCACTTCAGTAATCAGAAGAATTATAAGTCGCAGGTAAGGCCATTCGAACGAAAATATGTGTCACATCGAAATGGAAAATCCCTCATCTGTTCGGAATATTATTTTTTATATTCATTTTCAACCATTCGAACTGCTCATTCGAAAGTAACGAGTTTATGAGATAAGAAATATCAGAGATAAGAAATATTGAAAAACCAAAACAAAAACAATCGAATATTGATTCAGATGCGCCGCAATTCAAAGACCAAACAAAAATATGCAGTTTTAAAGAGAAACGCTGATATAATTTCTTCAAAGGTACAAAAAATTGATATTATAAATAAATGCTTGAAATTAAGAAGGCAAGCGAATCAATGAGGATTAAAAGAGCACCCCTGAGGCAGTGTGATTCACGCAGTTACACGGTTTGATAAATTTCTGTTTTTTATTTTTATTTTTAATCAAATATTTTAAAGAAATATCGCCCACAAATCCAATACAAAACGCCAATTCCGTGTGTTGTTCCAACACAAAGTAAGATTTTGAGAAAATCGCGTTTGAGAAAATTGTTGAAATTTGCAGAGCCAAGCAAATATTCGCAAAATGATTGGTACAGCGAACGCAATCGTGTTCGAGCCAATCTTCGCAAACACTAGACGATTCTCTATGGAATTTTTCACGCTAGTTGTATAATTTTGTAAATATGTATGTGAATATTTTACAATGCCCTCCCGATTCATCTTTCACCAATAAATGCTAGCCCCTCTTCAATCGTGGAACGTCGATTTGTATCGGTTATTCAGCAAAATTCGCTCGCCGCCCACTGCGTTCAATCAAATTCGTGTCTTTTTTTTTCATTTCACCAATAAAATATGTAGTTTAATGACTGATGCCATTCGATGTCGATGGTCTTTGTTGTTCGTCGAGCTTCACGAGTAGTTCAAGAGACTGAAACAAAAAACATTGGGTTGATCTATTGAAGTCTCAATCATTTTTTTCGGCATGAAAAATGTTTCAAAATTCGCTTACCAATATCATTTCTTTCTTGTCGATTATTTGTGATTGAATGTCGAGAATTTTAGTTCGATGAGTGTGCTGAATTTATAATTTGTTTCCCACAAATATTCTTGTACATTTCCCTACAATATCTTGTTCGGTTATTCGAAGATTCTCGAGAAACTCGTCCTCATTGTCAGTCGCCGTCTGAAATTTCAAACATTCATTTTTTTGTTATAATACGAAATCGATTACCCCTTTATCGGATGTGTTCATAATGACAGATCGTTTCTTAACAGATTCCGCAAATCTCGATTCTTCGGCTTGTAAATTCGTTTGCAAATCGCGAAGCTCTTCGCGTAAATCGACGAGTTCGTGCAATTTCTCAAATATTTTCAGTATTTTCGAAAAACCCCCAACAAACTCACTTTTCTTCTGTCATCTGGGATACTATCGTGTCGGGACATTTTCTGCAACTTAAAAAAAGATATGGATGACAGCTCAGAAAGGCGGATATCAGAAAGCGAGTATTTGTCAGTTCTCTCTCTGGACAAAGAACCAATTGGTCATTCGAAAGGACTCAATTTAATCGAGAATACGTTGTTTCGTGCAGAAAGTTGGTTTTTCGAGAAAAATGAGGAAAAAATATCTGCTCGTATTGGCGAGAAACGACAAACGGACATCGAATAATTGGCATGTTGAAAACAACGAAATTCCTCTGAAATTTTTTCTCTGTGATTAAAAATATAGTGAATATCGTGCGTTTTCTTATTTTTATAATAAATAAAACTTTTAAAAATTGAATGAAGTTTTAATTAAATTTTCGACAATTCAAAAAACCAAATTTTGATTTTTTGATATGAGCTTAATCATTTATCAATGAAGCCAACACAAGCAAGATATATAATAGCAGCAAACTTCATCATTGGCGTTCTATAATTATTTTGCTCAAGGGATCGAAAAATCGGCCAAAATGACATGGTCATGTGACTTTGCGAACAATTATCTAGTCCGATTTTATTCAAAAAATTTTGGATAAATGGATGACATCGAAATGAAAACACTATCGGAGACTTATTTGTTCGTTTTTTGTCAATTAAAAAAAATCATGGAAAATTTGATAGAAAATTGTCCATTTTATACAGATTATCGCGATAAATTTCTTGCGTAAATGAATCGTTATCGAAAATCGAATTGCGTATGTTCGATTTTTAATCTAATTGAAATTGCTTCTTTTTTTGTTGCCAAAATGGTTAAAATTATTGGAGAGGAAGTCGAAAAGTGAGAACATCTTGCAAAATGCATTTCTTGCTTCTCGTAAAGTCGCATGTTTTCGACAGAAATTCGAGGATAGCGAGTTGAGAAAAAAAAACATTCGTTTTGTAAATTTATTGTTAATAAAAAGAAACAATTGGAGAAATCTCTATGGAGACGAGTAATAAGCTTAAAACGAATCCGATTTTTGTTGAAAGATTGATTAATCCCGAGTGTTTGCACTTTGATGGGCCGCGCACGAAACGAAAAAGTGTTGGCATAATGAGGAAAACGTTTTGAATAATATCCTTCGAGTAAGGGGCCGAAGAGAAAAAAAAATGAACAAATAAAGTTCATGCTCATTGACGCAAATAAGGAGAATACATAATATATATATATTGGAGAATTACACCTCAGACGATTGGCGTTTTACATACATACATATATGTACATGTTGCTACTTTTGAATTTACGATCACCATACGAAGAATAGGCATTCATTTTGGTTGCGCGAATCTTCGGTGTTTGCATTATCAATCATTTCGATATTTTATAATGTCAGATTCTCAACTGAAGCTGATAGGATCTTGTTAGAATATAGGATTTTCAATAAGGTCTCGAATCGCATTTAGTGGAGAAATATTGCATTCATTTACGCGCAATAGTCGTCAGACGCGTTGCGGTTCGCGTGCGGTCACTGTCGAGAAAGTTATTTCCGAATTTAGTAAGCAGTCCGCTAAAAAAACCTTAAAAAACTATGAAAAATAACGCGTCGGTCCTGCAGCGGCCGATTCTGGTAGTCACTTTTTTCCAGCAACAAGCTATACGAAAAAGTTGTAAAAAAAATGGCAGTGTTTCAACGGGGAAAATTAATTCAATTTTGAGTAAACGATGTGAAAACCTTTTTTGTCGACACGCACAAAAAACGACGGGGAGTGGTTTAAAAGAGTTGTTCTGTGGCGAGAACAAATCTTTTCTTTTTCATCCTCAGGGCTCGAAAATAGTGCGTAATGGAAAGAAGAGATGAGGGAAAAACTTTGTCGTTTTTCTACATGAACTGATTTAAATAATGCCGACATCTTTTTTCCTGAAAGTTCTTTGCAAAACGAATATAATTCGAGAACGGAATTTGAGGAAAAAAATTGTCTGCCGCGAAGAATGCGAGTGTCGTTTGCCACGAAACGGCTCGCCTTTCAAGTTTCTTTTGTTTCGAGAAATTGTGGCCGTGAAAAATAAGGAGTGAAAAATGAACGAATTGATGAAATGTCGAGGGATTCGAGCAAATCGGAATGGCGAAAATAAAAGAGAAAACGAAAAATATTGTGATAGAGAAGAGGCATTGGCGAGCAAGGAATGAGGTGTTCAAATAACTGGATTGCAAAAAGAATTCGATGGTTCAAGTCAGAATAGTCAGAAAATGTTTTTCTGGATATATTTAAAACATAAAAACATAAAAATGAGACTAATCCCAAATAGATCATGTGGAATTATCGGGAAAACATAACTTAAAATTTCTAGTGCATCAGATCAACTCAGCATCTCGGAAAACCATAAAATGAGTAAAAAAAATGTTAAAAAGAAAGCAAAATTACGAATTTAAGTTGTCAGACTTGATCCAAATTTGAAACAGTATTTTTTCATCATTTTCACCTTTTCTCTCAAAAATATAAAAATATCCTCTAAAAGTCTCTGAAATCGTTGTACATTCGATACGGCTTCTTAAAATTTTTTAAAGGCAAGCTTATATACATATGTAAGACCATAACAATTCTGTTAGCGGAATCATTCCTCGAAATTGCTTATCATTGAATTGGTGATCATCGGGATTTACTACTGCTTCCCATCAGTCGTTAGAAATCGACAATATCGTCATATTAATATTATCTTTGTAAACACACCGCCAGCTGATAAACCAATGCATACATGCACACATTGCTTTTAAACCGTTTTTTTTCCGGTCAATACTACTTCCCACTTAAAACTTTCCTATAGTATCATTTTCCGTAGGAAATTATTTAAGAAAGTCGCATTGTTTTTTTTTATTTCACATATTGCCAAAGACAGACCATTTCTGTAATTTGTCTTAAATCGCTTGGTTTCGCATCGATTGAGGATTTGGCTGCGAATCAAGCATAATCAAGACTACAGAATGTATATATCAAATTCGCATACAAATATTTGTTAATTTCGCTTCAAGAAACAAAATCCCCAATTTCATAATTTGACCGATTATGAAAGTTATTTAAATTTCCGACAGTTGTAAGTCTTCGACAATATCAGTGTTTTGAAATTCTATTGAAATACTACTTAGATTATAACTGTTATCAAGAATATATAAGAATTTGTTTTAAAAAATTTAAAGCAACCCTTGAGAAACAGTACTTCTCTTTTCTCTTTTTCGTTAAAATTTGAAGAAAAATTAAAAATTTATAAGCACGTTTTTACAAATTCTTTTAATTTTCTCCTAAATATTCACAGTTATTTTGCGGCGAAACATCTCTTAAAATGTTTGGAATTTTTGCCAGTTTTGAGCATAAGCTGACGATAATTAATCATCAAAAACATGAATGACTCACAGTTTTCATCAACACAATGGTTTTGAAAAGAGTTGACAAGGTTTTGCCGACGTCGCGCGACTTCGGAATATTGGCAAAATGCCAAACATTCAACCTAGCGGCACGAAGCACGCGCCTTAAAAAAAACTGAAGATTTGGAAGAACTTTAACCCGAATTCACACTAAATAAATCAAAATTTAAATTTACGCCCGAAAAAATCAATATTCGACAGTTTTTCAAGGTGCTTCCTTTCTTTTGTGATTTTTATAAAGGTTCATTCAAAAATTGGTTTTTTGACATACATTTTCAACCATGAGAAAACACTCAGAACGGAAACTTAAAAATTGAGAAATTCGGGGATTTGATTCAATACTTGAAAAAAAAATCTACTTATAAATCGGTGCCGAGTTCTCGTTTCTGTGCAATTGTATTAATTTGTCGTACATTCGACAAAGAGGAGAAAATTTATTTTAGTTATAGCTAAATCGAATGTTTTCAGATTATATATGGTATCGCCTGAATGCTTTGCGATTTCATTAATTTTGGTTTGATATTCTCAACAGTGAAAAAAATAAATCTGAATTTTCAGATAAATGGACGAAGAAGTTTACTGCAATACACGATTGGTTGCTTGGTCATTTTACTAATAATCACAAGCATAACAAATGCAGAGAAATATGATTTAATATTCGAGAAAAGCGAAAACTGCACAGATGCATCGGGAAAATTCTTACAGTGTAAGTTTTGACATTGCCGACTTCATTCATACTGATTGTAAGAAGACTTTCTTGTCTTTTTCGAACAGTGATGGATGAGATTTTTGAACTGACTCAAACTATTTCCAATAGAGCTAGATATAAACATTTTTCCGGAAAAAAATAATTTTTTTAAATCAATAATTTGAAGAAACTGACCGCGCAATTTGTTTCATTTATATGAAAGATTTTGGAAGAAAACCAAAAAACAGATTAAACTAGTTTTCTGATTAAACGATCAAAGTTTTTTTTTGAGTGGGCTAAAATCTGTCCAATAGCACCATAAAATGTTTAGTCACCGATAATAAATTGTTTTATCAGGTCCATATAATTACCTGTACTACTTCGAATGTTGCTCAAATGAATGTTGTTTACGCACACAGGTATAGTGGATGGTGATATCTCTCTTTTCAAAGTATTTTCTTCAGATGCCGTCAGCGATATTTATCTTTACAGTTGCATTTTGTCTAATCATTTTGTGCGTTTTTTCCTGCATTACATATTGCTGTTGTGGTGAATAAATGAAAAACGAAAACATTGCGATACTACAATTTAACGTGAGCAAAGTATATATAGATTGCTTCGAAAAAACGGCCAGTCGTTATGAGACTCACGAGAGACTGACTCACTGTTAGCATCATACTTGGGGACGGGCGGAAGCCCATTCGGAAGCTCTCTAGTCCATTCAATTTTCAACTCCAGCAGGCACATTTCAAGTTATGATTTTTACGAAATTCGTCTAGAAAATAATGTGCTTTGAAGTAAAAAAAAAACACTTTGAATGTTGAAAATCCATAATTTGAATCGACTTGATTTTCATTTACCTTAATGCAACAATCTAACAAGTATGTTCAGCCTTAAAACTGCATGTGCCTTTAATTAAAACGTCTCAAATTGTCTAATGAGCCAAGAGAAACGAAGGGAAACATTTTAAGGTTCAAAGAACTTTCAGAAAATTTTTCAAAACAACTTATTCCTGGTATTTCCAAAAATCCGGGTAAATCGGGAAATCCTGGTGGTGTTTGATTTATAGAAAGTTCAGACATTTTTTGGCGCAATTAGTTCAGCTAAAATCACGCTAGCCAACAAGCATCGATGTACCTATAGGGTGTACAGGGCGGGATTTAATTACCCGCACAATTTTGAAAGCGTATATTTCTGAAACTTAAACTCTTAATGGAAGTTTCAACTCTTAATGTGATTCGACAAATACGTCTGTTCAGTTCGGTCCCTTTTCGGGGCGACGACTTCACAGAGACGCATCGGGTAGGATTCCACTGTGGCAGCTACTCGAAGAAAAATTGTTCCATTCCTGAATCGGATTGGTTTTCTAGTTTATTTCAAACCCGATTTGTCATATTTCATCAAGCTTTTTCGTCTAATTTTCAAATGGAAACGAAAAGTGCGCCAGCATAAATTGAAAGCAGGAATATTTATTCAAGCTTAACAAACTTTAATGGGGGAATGCATTACATAATTTTTTTGGGGTGGGGATAATATAGTAGAGAGTAATGGAAATTATACAATTGTTTAAAAAGAATGAGGGGATAGATAACAATCAAGTTATACATAGTAAATCATTAGTTAGCCTTTGGCTGTTGTGGGGCACTGCTTGGGACGTACATCATCGACAATTTACGTTCGGCTCCTTCAAGACACACGGTTCTGACGAGAGCAGCGGTCACTGTGTATGGGTCGCAGTTCGACGATGGACGACGGTCCTCGAAGTATCCATAACCATCGTCATCGGTCGATCGCGGAATGCGGATCGACGAAGCACGAGAAGCGACTCCGTACGAGAATTGATCGATCTTTGCGGTCTCGTGGAGTCCAGTCAAACGGCGTTCGTTGTCCTTTCCACCATGTGGATCGTAGTAAGCGATGTGCTGAGCATGAACAAGCGAAAGTTTGTTGATGGCATCAGTAATCTCACTGAAATTATTATTAGACAATGAAATTTAAAAAATCAATTACTTGATTCCTCCCGGCTGACGCATCTTCTCCGTCGAGAAGTTGGTATGGCATCCGGCACCGTTCCAGTCTCCCTTGATCGGCTTGCAATCAAACGAAGCAATAACTCCAAATTCCTCAGCGACGCGGACGAGGAGATAACGAGCAATCCAAAGCTGGTCTCCCATCTCGATTCCCTCGCATGGTCCGACTTGGAACTCCCATTGTCCTGGCATGACTTCGGCGTTGGTTCCCGAAATGTTGATTCCGGCGTAGAGGCAGGCACGATAGTGAGCCTCAACAATGTCGCGTCCGTAGACCTTGTTGGCTCCAACGCCGCAGTAGTAAGGGCCTGCAACGACTTCATTCATTTCAATTTGTGTCATCTTTTCCTAACCCTGTGGTCCAGGGAATCCATTCTTTGGCCATCCGAACGGATGTCCATCAATGTCGAGAAGCGTGTACTCCTGCTCCATACCGAACCACGGATGTTGGTCCTTGGCTTTGTTCATAACTTGCACGCATCGGTCGCGGTTGTTGGTGGCTGCAAGAAACAATAAATGCGTAATTCGTTATCAATTCATCAAGACGTGTGTTGTTTTGCGTTTCAAAATACGATACACCATTTGGTGTGTCGTTCCGAGACAAACACCACTTTTTCGAAATATAAGGACTAATTGACGTCACCGTTTCGTTTTATTGGAAGATTGTGGCGTTGTCGATACGAAATATCGTGTCAAGACGATAACGCAAACGTACTATGCACTTTGGAACGAATTAGCGTTAAATCGGACCATTTTGATAAAAATAGACGATGCCCCCTCAAAAGAAAAAACTAAAAACCGTCTAATCTTCTCAGTCAACAGTTTAGCGGCGCGTCGGATAATCAATACGGCAGTAGAAGGATCATCGAAACGCGAGACACGAAAAGAGATGATAACATTAGTTTTGCGGCTTATTTTGAAGTTTATCGATCACGGCCACAAAGGTCAGCCGGGTCCGAATGGCACCACCCAGCACTTCAATTTCACGTGAACTCACCTGTTGGCTTCTTCTTGTTGTCCAACGTCTCGCACATGACGAGCTTGTTGCGTCCCTGTCTGAACGGGTCCGGATAGATGGCCACCGGCTTGAGGTAGACATCCGAATCAGCTCCTTCGGCTTGTCCTGTCGATGATCCATCGAAGTTCCAGATTGGAAGTTCTGCAAAACAACAATGTGTGATCTCTGCGATTGGAAACATCACGCGATTCTCAATGGTCGCAAAACAATAAACGAAACTTACGGCTTGGATCCGTTGGCTCAAAATCGAAGGTACGGGTTTTTGAGCGAACGTTCTCACCAGATCCATCGATCCAAACGTAGGTGGCCTGGAATCTTCCCTTCTGGTCGAGATTCAAAAACTTTTGCAAGACAGCCTTGTCGGTGGCGAATTGGCTACGGAGCGATTGGGCCATTCCTGAAAAGTTGACTAAATCGAAACATGGTAAATTGTGGAAACGAATAAACATACGGGACATTTCGCGATCCAAGCCTAATAATGAAACTAAGAGTTCTATCGCCAATATTTATACGCGAGGCCTTGAGGTCACTAATGCTTTGGGAGAAAGATAAGAAATATATAGTTGATAAAAAAAAGAGCAGCGCCTCTGAACACTAATGGCGATTGATGGTGGTATGAGAGAGCGAGCGAGTGAATGAATGACCTGGGCCGGTCGAGCCATCACACCGTTTTGGCGCCGCCTACATTCGCACGAGTGATGTAGGTCATACTTCAGAGATCAAATGTGTTCATATTTATGTGAAGACAATTGTTTTTGAAGCAAACTACGCAGAGTACTTTGGAGTCGACGGATCGATTAAAAGTTCTTTGAAATGAAGCACGTGCCTTACACATGTTTCCATTCCTTGAATTGTTTTAGCCGACCCGTGTTTGCCTTTTCGATGAGCGCTCGTTTTATAGGAGCGCTCCGCGAGGCTCCGCCCTTTTTTGGGGGGGGGATGAACCAAGGTTTTTGTCAAAAAAAAAGAAGACGAATAGACGGTGAATTTCATACGAGGCGGAGAGAAAAAGAATTCGTACTTGATGTAAAGAAATTTGTCTAATTTTGCCTTTTGCTCGGAGAATACTTCAATTTATCGCTGAATGGAAGCATCATGAATTTTGGAAAAAAAAGAAGAAGATACGTGAAAACCACGAAAAACCTTCTCTAATTTATTGGAATTTCAAAAAAGTATTTTATAGTAAATATTATCAGCTTTTATAAATACAGGAGAGATAGATTTTAAAAATATTATAATATGATTTTTCATTTTTTGAGTGCTGATTATTGTAAAACTAATTAATTGTTGATTAATTTAGCAGTTCAACGCTCATTCATTCGTTTTTCGTCATTTTTCGATTGTTATATGCACCTTAACAAATCGTGTCATAGAAAAAACAAACGACAGTTTGAGGATTGAATAAAGAGAAAGGGATTTTGAGAGACGGAGGCATTTCTTTTCCAGGGTACAATTTGCAAAAACACGAAAATTCGATAAAATATTATAATTATAATGTGCATTCGTCTCGCAATTTCTCACAGATACTAGTTTGCTTTTTTTTACTTTTCATTTTATTTTTTTTAATTAAACTTCAAAAAATAATTATCTTCGAATCTTTATTTGTTTATTTTGATATCAATTTTTGGAAACAAGAACCATAAACATTTTTATGCGTCGAAAATAAACTATGCATAAAATAGGAAACACATATCTTCGAAAACTGCTGCAAAATCCTGGGACCGATTTTTTCTGAAAATGACAGCTCATAATTTTTGAAAAAAAAAAGAAATATTAAAATCGTAAGTGTTTTTTTTTAACTGGCCAAAAATTTATCAATTGCAAAAATGAAATGTTGTTTTGAAAAACAAATCAACTTTTAAAAATCATTGTGCGTCGCTACGATTGATTCTAACAATGTTTGATCTTTCAGCCGCCTATCGGAGATCAGAAATGGAAAATTATGCATACATAATGAGACTTGCGCAGTTCTTTCTCTTCAGTCACGAGGATTTCTCTTCAGTCACGAGGAGAGTTCTCGAAAACAGCCAAACAATCACGTAGGATACAATAATCAAACGAAAATCATCGAGGCATCCCAATGAATAGTCGACATTAAAATAATTATTAAAATGAAATACAGTGCTCGACCAAAAAACGTTTCTCACTTGATTTTCCCATGCCCTTTTCAATTTCGACAACAAACACATCCTTAATAAACTTGTTTCTGTATAATATCGTCGCAAGAACATGTTCCACCCGAAAATTATGAATGTCCCGAAATTTGATGTCCTAATGAACATAGAGTTCTTTTTTGAAAATAACTTGTTTTTATAATTAACGTCTGAAGTTGAAAAATTTGTAAAAAAAAATTTTTAAGATGTACCAAAACTCAAGGACCCAGTGTAGATTTACAGGGAGTTTGATTCGTAGTATCCGAATTCCCGCAGTTTAAATTCAAATTTGAATTACTTCCTTAAAAAAACAAAAGCCTACAAATAAATAATATTATCGTTAAAATTGGAACAAAATCAGTAATGAAAAATCAAATGTATAAAATCTTAAAGATTTTCAGATGAAATTTCTTCCTCAAATCCCTAGCCGATTCCAAATATTTTATTTTCTTGACAAACTACATTTTGAGTCCGTCGAATCGCGATAATTTCTGATTGATCAGACGCTTCTCAAACAGATTTTCGGAGGTTATGCCATTCATTTTCCTAAAAATAAATTGTTCATCCATCTTCAAAAGTTAGATTCGGTCGGCTACATTTTCTCAATTAATTGATTTGATAAGAGTCAAATTTTGATCTTGGTTCAACATTTTCAATGTCTCGAATGATAAAAAATTCAAGTAGGCGAACTGTCTCAGCAGACGATCGAAAACCGAAATGTTTACGACTGATAAACCGGACATCATCGATTCGCGTCTGCATCTCAACACGTTTTTTTGGAAAATATGAAATTAATATAAGTATGCTAACATTGAATATTGAATCAAGCGTTTTTTGCCAAAGAAGAAGTTTCGAATAGAACGATAGGGATTTATAGGCTTTCTTAAAAACATCGGCAAGTTGACTGTCTATCATCCCAAATTCGGAATTATCTCAATCAAAAATGCCATTGCTCGTAATTTTATGAAGTATTTCTTATCAAAATCGCTGAAATTATTATTTCATATTCATATACAGAAAAAATTAAATGAACCTCAAAAAATTAATTATTCAAAACGACGGCCGGCCGTATGTTGGACCATGAGCAAAAGCCGGTCGCGTTGGATAACTTCGATTAAGTGCATCGAATTAGTTAGTGTCAGTTATTGAAGAACTCTCTTTTTTTGCACTTTATTCGAGACAACAAAACTAGAAAAATAAAAAGTACATAATTCACTTGAATCTCAATTAATGCTGACCACCAATATTTTATATTAAAAAACAATATAATTAAAAGAACGATGAGTTTATAATTTCGAGCTGCCCAGTTGTACGTATTCCGACCGTCCGAATTCCTCATTACCTAATGCTTGCCGTGCAGATAATGGAAACGGTCATCCAAATGAGAACTTCAAAACATATCTCATCGTTATAGTTCAGCGGAACAGAAATAGATTTAGAAGGGATTAGTTGACACTTCCTCAATTATTAAACTGTGATTCGTGGGTGAAAACCCCGCAAAGAACACTTTGTGGATAATTTACGAGCTTCATGCGATATCCGTGTGGTCTCCACATGTTCTTTTCTTTCTCTCTTTCTTTCTCAATATCTTGAGCCGATCTGATTGATGGGGGTCAGTTCAAGTAATACAATAAACGAGTGGCTCCACCATTATATTTATCTTATCATTCAAAACCAAATGTGTTCATTCGACCTCGCCGTTTTCTCGATTCTGCTGATTCGACGCTTCATGTCAGTGTAGTTTTGCCAAATAGGGCGCTAAAATCGACTCTTGATATGAATTGCATGTGACGACTCAAATGAATTGTATTATATGGCACTTAAAATCATTCAAATTTTTCGAATTGTGTGAACCTTGACCTCTAAATGCAATTAATAATCATTTATTATGTAGCCACGAAAAAAAAATTGGAAAAGTAGAAACTTCAACTTAATCTTTGATGTTCGCTGACAAAATTGTTGTTGACACACACGAGTAGAGTTCATTCGAAACATTTTGATCGCGGTTTCTTTTGGTGATAAGCGAAAAAGACGTTGGAATGCGAATATAACAGGAAATGCAAAGCGAATCGCGAAGTTTAGGAGGCATCACGTGGTGTCGATGGCGACGTCTCATTCTTCTCTTCCAATTGTTTTCGGAGTTGAGATACAAGAGTGCCGAGTTCGTCGATCGCCTTCGCCTCAAATCGTATGAGATTCGATTGAAACGAATGAGCATCAAAATCGATACCAACCTGCATTATTATGTGATTTTTAGCGAGAAGCAGAGTTGCGATTTTGGATAATTTTCTAACCGAACCACCATGAGCATAAGGGATAACTGCTCGCAAATCATCGAGAGCTTCATTCAAATCGTGCATTCGACATCTGAAATTTCTTTTTTTTTAATCGATCAATAATCTCTTTGTTTTGTTTCTTCATTTCACATTGTGTTCTGATGTAAATAAAATTTTAATCGTCGATTAAATGATTATCGCCTGATAATGGGCCTGAACGATAAAAGTTATAGCGGGTGTATTGATAACAAATCACACTTCGTCAACTAGTTTTGTACAATGAAGATATTACACAGCGAGAATATTGATTTTTCGAAAAGTGCATCAGCTAGAAGAACATGGCAAAATAAGGGCCCCGCCTGAGCCCTGTAGGTCCTTTGCCTGGTGTTTGAATTGCCGCCAAAATGTCCGCAGATGTTGACAAGCTAACTTCTCTCTCTCAAGATTCAAAAGACAGGGTCTCCGGCTCTGCCTGAGCCCGACCCAAAAAGGATCAAACGCAATCAAGATCTACTAAAACGTCTTCATCGTGGGTTCTAAGCGAAAAAATTTTTTTTATTTTATTTAAATTTTTATATTGAATTTTTAATTAGAATAATTTAAAAATTCGTCGGTTTTTGATGGTTCTCTGCAAAATGCTTTTACAGAAATCCTTTCTATTATACAAAAAATGATTACGATAGCTCATAACAATAAAGGATTTTATTAAACTGTTTATTTTTCACAAATTTGGCACAATGCGTATTACAGAATTATTTAAATTTTCAAATTTTCAGAGCCCATTATCACAAAAAATGTGTCGAAAAAAAAGAAATTCCGATTATTTGATTATCAAAAAATTGACAACCCCGATACGGTGTGCGCCTTTAACCTATTCAACATGTTATAATTGGACTCGTAAATCTACACATTCAGTTTCGCTGCAAGACCGCTGCTATAGCAATTGGATTTTTGGTATTTTAGAAAATGAAAGTCGCACAACACTGAAATGAACATATTTAAAAACCATAGAAATTATTTGATAAAAAATCTCCAAATCTAAAACTCGGAACCTTTCTCGGAGATTAATAGACAATCGTACTCCCGACTCGGGGTAGGTCGTCATTTCAGAAGGAATCTGCGGCTGCGGCATACGGTAGCTGCGGCTTCCAATGTCAGAAGATTCGAAATCTCAAGGGGAAATCGACGAGGAGTCGAAAACGAAAAATATCAAAGGCGAAACGAAAGCAAAGTGGATGTTTCTGATAATTCGAAGCGACAAGAATAGTCGAGAAGTAAGTTAGTGGGGGGCGAATATGAATATTAATATTGAAGCACACAAATATGAATGTATAATCGACGAAGATGAGAAGAAACTCGGAACGCCTACAAATCTGAATGCTAAATAGATGAAGCCGTGGTGACATCAACAGATGTGCAATTGTTTCAATCTTCCGCCGATAACAATCTCATCCGATACTTCCGTTTCCATTTCCCAACTATTTCTATTATTCCGCATATTATATGAATTGCTTTGAGACGGGCAATTGCGACCCACAAGTCGATGGTCGAGTTGAATGATTCCCGCTGTGCTCAATGGGCTCAAAACACCTTGTAATTATATAATTGGCGAGAGCCGCTATTTGAACAAACAGTCGCTTCTGTGTAAACTGTTTCAAATGAAACATTCTCGGACGGATAAGACAGTGCTTATAATCGATTCGAGGTCGAACAAGACGCCCGTGTGGAGCTGTTCAAACAAACACATTTCAACTTGTTTACAGGGTTCGAATTGGAACACGAAACAACTCCGAGAATTGAAGAAATCGAACGAAAATCCCAAAAATAGAGGGAATTAATACCGCTTTTTGAATGCTTCTTCATTGATTTTTCACTTTTTTTCATCTTTTTGGATCGGATAAATATTGAATGTACTCATACGATTTGAAGATTCCATCCAAACTCGAAAATTTCTAACTGTAAGAAATGAAAAATGCGTTTGAATTTTCCGTGAAAACAGCAGTCTTGTGGCTGCGTGATATTTTTTGGATTTTTCGGCAAATATAGTTCATTTTTTATTCTTGAGATTTAAAAGATCGTTTATAAAATTTGAATAAATGATACCGCGCTAAAATGCATATGAAAAAACCTGTATTTTCTCGAAAGTTTGAATTGCCGATGTGGGACTCGTATAAAAATAACTCCTTTAAAATTTATGGTCTTAAGAAATCGCTTTATTTTTGCAGGACCATTATATGAAAGAATATAATTTTATAACATATTTCAAGTGGCCTGGGTGTAAACGAAAGAGCCGTATAGCGGAGTATGAGCCCATTGATTAGGTGAATAATTAAATAGCCGCCCATACATTTAAAATCTTCGAATTCATCCGTTCAATTCTTTGCAATTTGTTTTTGATTTAATCAAATTCAGAGTTAAAAAATTAATAATGCACAACATTTTTAAATGTCTAGTTAAATAGTAAGAAATAGAGTACCGTTGTACGGAATCAAAAATCGCTGTAAAATCTGATTCCGAAGATTCCGAATCAATCGCCACAAGACCCAATCTATTTTCGGAGTTATGTGGCTTTAATCGATTATTTCGTTCATTTGAATATCGCTATTGAAGCGAGTTGACTTACGATTCTCATTGAAATTCCTGGTTATCCGAATATGATAATATTAAAATAATTGATAATTGAACAGAAAAATATGAAAAGTCAACGGTTTTCAAGAAATTTTGAGAAGTTTTCCAAATTTGAAAATATTTTTTTGGATACGGTAATGAAAGGAGCACTCAGCGGTGTCTCGCAGCGGCCGATTCTGGTAGCCGTTTTTAGGAGAGACATATACCCAAATTTTATTGAAGTTACTCTATTGCGAAAAATTGACAAAAAATAATAATTTCAATTTTTTCCAATGCAGAAATTTGAAAAAAAAAATGCATTTCGTCAAAATGCAATGCAAATGGTTTTCTCGATTCGAATCCATTCGATTTCCGATCGTTCATCTCATAAAATAATGGCAAATTCAAAAAGCTGAGACCGCAAACACACACACACACGGCGCAGGTGTAATGATTATGATGTTAGTGTGTCTGTTAGTCAAAATTGGACACATGAGACACTCGCAGACGAGCCCAGACCAGAAGGTACCCATCTGCACTCTGCACAACCCATTTTTGTGCTATTTTTTGAGAATACCAAAAACATATGCGGACCATATGTTTGAGAGAATAATATGAGCAAAATTAAAGACTGATGATACGAATAAAAGAGAAACGAAAAAAATCTTGGCAAATTTTACGAAAAGTGCCTTATTAAAATCTATTTATTATTATATTTAAAAAAAAACTTTTTTTTTATTTGTCCGATCGTTGATGATCGTTTGACACGCAATCAATCATTTTTATTTTTAATTTATGATGCAGGCTATTCGATATATCGCTGGACTGTAATAGAAGCTCGCAACTTCTAGAAAATGTTTTAAAATATTTCGGTGTAGATTGAAATACAAATGAATTGAGTATATTGAATATACTATATTCATCCGGCATATTTTAACTTACACAAAGGCTCGTGGGTTTTGCTGATGTCGACGTATTCGGAATGTTTAAAGTAAAGAAGCAATCAGAATTGAGATTAGTATTTATTGTTTATTCACGAACGATGCAATTTGACAAAATGGAAACGGCATCTTCAATTTGACGAAATCAGTGTAGATTTAAGTGAATAATGGCTTAATAAACGAAGAGTTCGTTTTAAAAAGCAACTTCTTCTTTTAATCATTGTCTCGCTTGGCTGAAATTGTAAGATTTATTTAAATTTGAATAAGATTATCTTTTTTTTAAAGATTTATAGTCGCAAAAAACGAGAACTCTGTTTAGCTTTACGGGGAGTTTGATTCGTAGGTAAAATTCTCATTTGACTTAGCGTCTCGAAAAAAGTTCGAAGTGTTTTTGCGATGGAATTTAATAGTTTCTGATTTCTTACGAGAAACTCACTTCTCTTTTTGAATAATTTTGGTTATATTTGAGTTCAAGTGACGATCGAAGTAACTATCAACGCATATTCATTAAACATCTTTTCTCATTCCTCCACTCGAATTAATTATTATGCAAATCCACTAGTGATTTCTTAATGCCCAAACATAGGTAACGTATAATTAGACGATGAAACAGCCCGGATTTTCGCGATACGCAGATGAATCTCATTGGAATTCATTTGGTTATGGTGTATTGCGATTAATTGCTCGTTGTGTTGCATAAATTCTAAACATTCTTCTTTTGTTTCAATTATTTGTTTTTTTTTTTCTTATTTTGAATCTGAATTTTCGCGCCGAAATTTTTGAAATGTTCGAAATTTGGAAAAGCAGCTGGTCGCAGATGATATGCATAAGATTCGACGCAGTCGCCACAGGTGCAACACCTGTGGCGTTGACACCATTCACGGCGATCTCGATTCCCACGCGGATTGCGCTTCATCGTATTGTTCCGGTATTACGCCCATGGGAAACGACGATTGTCATCAGGCGCGTGGCGAGACGCAAGACGAAAAGATGGTTGGAGAACACACCTACTAGATAAGCGCAGTTTAGACGGCCCTCTCTCCACAGATAAACGGCGGCATAGGCACAATGGAAGCATAGTGGAACGGCTGTGGATATCATAGGAATCTTATATGCAAGTTATATGGAAGCATAATGGAAGCATTTTTTTGCGGAACCGCGTGTTTCGTATATGGAATGAGCCGTATGCCTTCCATATGGGAAAATAAGAAAACAATTTGATTGCTGTATTCAAAATTTATTTCATATTAACACATTTATTTAATTTAAAATAAAAAAAAAAACAACAATGAAATGAATTTCAATTAAGATATAATCAAACCATTAGTTACTGGCAACTGCCGAACTATTCGAATCATTGTCAGTACTGACATCGAGCGGGACGCTGTAATAAGTAGATTATAATGGGCCTATTAATTTGAAAAACTTGTAAACCATTGTTACGTAAACTAAATTTTTCGAGAAAATACAATCAGTTTTTTTACATCAATAATTTTCTTAAAAATAAAAATAATTTATTTTTATTGCATTTTTGGAAACCCTTTAGTGCACAAAATAAAAAGTGAATTGGCGGAAGAAAGAACAACTCCAAAATTTGAAGCAAAAAGGCATTTTGGTTAAAATTTCAAAGACATATGAATACTCACATCTGAGGGTTGCTGGTAGAATCAAGCAGCTTCCTTAATTGCGCCGCGAGCGCTTCCGGCGCTACACCAAATTTCCTTTGAAGTCGTTGGCGCATTCTATCGCTTAATCAAATAAATAAATTAATAGTCATAGTTCAAAATCTTACAGAAGATTATCCATGACTTCTCGAACCATGCGTAATGCTTTCACATTGAAGTCATTTGTCGGTTGTTGCCCAAAGCCATGGATAAGAGCATCTGTAATATAGATATTTGCAATAATGTATAGGATCTTTATATAGTCGGCGTCTGGCGACTTCTGTACTAGAGCCCCACTTAAAAAGATAAATGCCACTGAATGATATTGGTACGAAGGCTGTACGGCAATCGGAAATTTCGGCGATTCGGCTAATGGCAAATTACCGATCGAAATTTTCTTCGGCAATTTGAAAAACCGGCAATTTCGGCAATCGGCAATTCCATTGCCGCACAGCCCTGATTGGAACCAAATAATCAACAAGCTTTAAACTTAGGAAGTACTTTATAAAGACTTCATTGCGCATATTTTTCTAATTGAAACCATTTCTGGAGTCGAACAGGCCAATTTTTGATGATAACAACTTACAAATTGGGCGTACGAAGGTTTAGGAATTGGCGTTGATTTTGTTGTTTGTGAGGACTGTGGAGAAAAATTTTTTTGCTGAGTTGGCGAGTAAATTGGACTATCTGGATCTGAAGTGTCGAGCGAATTTGGTTCCATGTTAGGGACTTCTGGTTCTTTGTTATTGACTTCTAGAGCAGTTTCAGTTATATCTGACAACACTCTCGATCTTGTCTTCATCTGTAAAAAATTTCAAAACATTATGTTTTATTAAAAGAAAAAAGCGAGCGATAATAAAAAATATGTTAAAGTAAATAAAAATAAAACGGATTCGATGAGAAATTAAACACAATTCGATTGAGAAAATATTTAAATTCGATTTTAAAAGTGTCGGAAACGATTTGAAAACATCGTATCGATTTTAAAATTTTCGAATGCTATCAATTTATTTTTGGTTTCGATTTTGATGATAAACATGAAAATTTTTCCTTTATTTTTTAAAAACATTTTTCCTTTAATTTTGAAAAAAATTCTTTAATTTTTGACAAAAAAAAACACAAAAAATCTTGAAAATTCATTGAGAAAAAGCAAAAGGACAAAAATTTTGAAAACGAATTTCGAAAATGTGAGGCGTGGCCGCATTGTGCAAAGCGGCGCACGGTTTTGCAATGCTGCGGCACGCCTCTTCTACGCGCGTCTGCTACCAGTTTGGAGCAAATTGTGAGTAGTTTGCGATGCCAATTTCGGAAAAACCGGCAAAAATATATTAATACGACTAAATTGTAGTTGGCAATCTTTAAACAAAGTGAGGAACAGTTGACTGAATTAACATAAATCTGAGTAACATAAGTCATTAAATGGTAGAAGCTAAATTTCGTCCGTTGTGTATCATGTAATTTTCAAATTTTCATTGTTTATATGATAGCATAAGTTTTTTGTATTGATTTTTCTAGAAATTGTCTTGGTCTGCCGTCCAGACGCCAATTGTATAATGTTTATTGACATATGATTATTTTATCCATATTCCATCCATATTTGTTCCACGGCTCGCAAACACCGGAAGCATATTCATCCCGTTTTCATTCCATCCATATTCGTCCCATAATTCTTCCACAGCCACTAAGAATTACATTATGCTTCCTATATGGAAGCATTATGCTTCCGTTCCACAGATTTCCCACAATGCTTCCATTATGCTTGCGTCGCGCTTAATCAGTGTCGGCCTGCTTAGTATAGTGGTTAGTACTCCACGTTGTGGCCGTGGCGACGCTGGTTCGATTCCAGCAGCAGGCATTGCGTTTTGAAATTTTGGAAATGGCTAATGGATCTCGAACGGAAAACCACTTCAAAATGTGAAGTTGGAGCTTCCAATTATTATGAGGATTTGGTACGGGCGGGTGGTGTCTCTTTAGCATATTAGGGCTATAAAAAGCTTGAAAATATACCAGAAAATATTCACATTTAGTTTTGCAACAAGACCGCATCCGCACTTTCTGTTGGCATAGTTAGTACGTCTATAATAGTCTGTGACTCCATAAAAGTAGTGGCATTATAAACGAAGTTTGGGAATATCCCCACCTGCACAAGATCATATATCATTTTATTGCGCAATACTTGTTGCACTTATTTCAACGAACACTCGCAACCATCGTTTCTGTTCAACAATCGAATATAAATAAGGAAACTAGGTCGAAAGCGGTATAATTAACAGGCGTTGTTGTTTTGTGTGCGCGCCGCCTGTCAATCATCACCTATCAATTTCACCGGCAAACTCTTTCGAGATTAAAATCTGATTCGCACCTCATGCGTTGGATCGGGTCGCCATATGGTGACAGTATGAAAACAATAGCACGCGTCGAACCGCTAGATAAGCATATCCAGCCGCTTCCATTTTTGGTCTTTTTAAGCTCCTCTAATTAATATGGTGGTTAGTACTGCTCCATGTTATTGCTGTTGCGACGTTTCGACGATTCCAGCAGCTGGTATCTCGTTTTTGCTCGCCGCGAGTTTCATACAAATGCGAAATCTTTCTTGAAACATTTGTGCGCGTTCGATTCCGGAAGCGGTTGCATGCCGCCTGCCTTCTTCGCAATTAGATGCAGCTGGCTGACTGGCTGGCGGAGGGGTTTGGTTGCCGCATATGGCGCGCCTTGAGGCAATCCGCCTACTAGGATCAAGTGGTCCCTCGGCCCAGATGCACACAGACACACAGACATCCGCCACGTACATTTTCGAAGGCGGCAATCCGCGAATCGAGCGCAAAGAGCATATGTCCTCGCCGTTTTCCAGGTGTACGCCAGACGGTGTTTCAGCTGCACCCATCACAGGCGGCTCGCTCACAATGAGCCAGAAGGTCCCTACACAGCTGATACATTCATTTAATATTCGATAATTGGGTTTTGTGCACAAAAATAAGCAATCTTGCGAATCTCGCGATCTCAAGGCTGACTTCCGAAAATTTCGGGTTCGAGATTCAAAAGGCAATTCGTGCCAATGTTCTTGACACACACACACACACACACACCTGCACATCGTCGGAATTCGGTGGTCATTGTCGGTCTCTCGGCGTCTCGCCAACTCCAATACTTTCTCGTAATTAATATCAACTTTCACTCGAATAAACAAAACAGTATGTCGTGTGACCGAAGATTTTCCAAAAAAAAGTGAATTTCAAAATTGTCGATTTAATATACACTTTGATCACCTGTCAGGCCAGGTGTGATCCGGATTTCAGAAAGCCTGAACACACACGCACATGGCACACACCTGATTGTTTTGGAATTGCGTTCTTTTCCAAGCACACAGGTGCTCAATTCAACTCCAGGTGTGCAATAATACGTTGTTTTGGTAATGCGCCTTTATTTAAATCCAATTTGCTGGGTGCGACGGAATGAAGAGACGGGAAGCCGAAGCACATATCACTTCTACCGCGATCATTTGCAACATCACCAGCGATCTCGTGGTGTAGTGGTTATCACATCTGTCTAACACACAGAAGGCCGGCGGTTCGAGCCCGCCCGAGATCAAATAGCTCTTTTTGCAGCGCATCTGCCACAATTTATCAACATCCAGCTGCCAATTGGAGCCCATCCCGATGACACCTGCGACAATGAGGATTAAACAATGTAATGAATCGAGCGAACAAATTCATTTCTTTCAACAAAATAAATATGTACAAGAAAATAGCAAAAATATTAATAAGAGTACCCGAGTGATGATGGAGAACATTTACAAACAACTAAATTACTAGTAAGGAATCGTTGCGGATTCAGACAGTACTGGGAGTAGTTGGTCGAGAAGACATTGTGCTGGAGCATGGACTTGTGCAGCATGAAGCAAAAGCTTGTTCGAAATCGGAGGGGAGATCGGAGTTTTCCTTTCCGTTGAGTTGAGCTTCAAGTTCTCGAATATGAGCAATTGCAGCGAGCACAAGTTCAAGTTGTGTTGAATCATCTCCGGTACCAACAAGTTGGCGAAGGCGAGAAACCACCTAAAATAAGAAAAATAAGAAATTCGAAAATGTTTAGCCAAAATGTGTTACCTTCTCTTTTTCCCTTCGTTCGGCAGAGGTTTTGCGAATTGCCTTTGACTTCGGAGAAACGTGGGTGATGGAATCGCGTGGCTGACGGCTGACCATGTTCTTCATGATGATCGGAGCAAGTAATAATAATGGAAATGGGAAAGAAGACGACAAGTAATACGAAGCGAGTGTCCGCTTTGTGAATGCGAGGAAACACGGCCGAGCGGCGAGGAGGCGGACCGCTGCGACGCCGACACCCCGCGACTCCGCCCACTTTTATGCACAGGTGCGCGGATGAAGAAGGGATGAGGAGGAAGAGTGCATGAGAATGTGTAGACAAAATACCATGGACTGTGAGGAGAACATGGCTCACAATTGGAAAAATCTCTTTAAAAAATCCTTACATTTCAAAGAATATTATGAAAAAACAAAAAAAAAACAGCTAATTCAATTAAATATACACCAAATGCATGAAGATATCAAGAATTATTCATAACAATTGATTAAAAAACGACAGTTTGTCGAAATACTAGTTTTTCGAATTAAAAATCGAAAATTATTCAAATTCTGAAAAAAATATTCATTCGCAAATTACTGCTGAAATAAGATTTTTTACGAAATAAGTTTCCCCCATTGAGTCCGTTTTTGATCTTCTCCAAATTTTTTTGAAACCATAACGCAATGAATAAGATTTTCCAAAAAAACAATTGTAGACTCGCTTGTAGACATGCATTTTTCATGCGGTTAAGAAGATTTTAGAAAAAGTCGCAAAGAAGTGCCTAAAAATAGTTCTTTTTTGGAAATTTTCATGACATTTTTAGATCTTTTCAGGGTATTTCAATCGGTTTTTAAATAATTATTTTTTTTTTCTGAAATCTGCTTAGTTCTTTGAATATTCTTAATCTAAATTAGGAATTATTGTACATAATCAAATTCAAATAATTTGTCTCGAGAGAAATGTACATCAAAAATCTAGATGTAATTTAAGGTCTCGCGCCAATTTTCCTCCAATTTTCGACATGCGATGCCCATTTTCCGTTTGCTCCAAATCGAGCTTTTTCCTCCGCTAGTATACACATTTTTAAGTCAGCGAGTGTTCGCCTTCTTTCATCGTTTTGCATCTAGGGCTCCATATTTCATTTTTGAGCAAGATGCGCACCAACGCCACCACGAGCCACAGCCACCACGTCTGTTCATACACTAAACGAAACGAAACGAGCACAGCTGTTCAACTCTTCGAGCAGCAGCAGCAGCCGACTCTCGCGCACCCTCGATTCCGCCAACTTTTTCCGGATACTAGTCTTTTAAGGCAATCGAAATTGGCGAGCAAGCGAGCTCGAAGGCAACGGCACCCAAGGTGATAATTGAGCAACTGCTTGTGTGTGCCGGATCACCTGATTTTCGAAAAATTTCAGATGGTTCCATTTATCAGGAGCGTTTCGGTGAAGACGTCGCGTCAGGTGAAAAGTTTCGAAATAGCTTACAGGCTTCTAACATCGAATCGAACAAGAAATCGGGAGAATTCGGAATTCGGGAAACACGATGTCGGATTCAAGAATGGATTCAAGGGCATCAATTGATTCGGTCTTATGAAAGCGAATTGCTAATTTCAAAGATTGAGGGGTTCCTTCAAATTCATGATTCAATCTTATTCTCTCCTCTCCAATTCCTCTTCCAACTATAGGAATTTTCTATTTCGTCAAAAAACGCGTTGAGTCAATTTTTTTGAACACAAAATTGTGGCGCCAGAACCTGGATCAGGCTGTTCTATGCAGCCATAACTCAACACTCCTTCATCTGACATCCAACTGCAGCTGCTGTTGCCGCTGCTGGCTCGGCTTGTCGTCGGTATGCTGTCGGTTAGCCGATTCGAAATAATCCGGCAACACAAAAGTTGGGAGACGGTGAGTCGGGCTCGCACATGGTTCACCAGATGACAACTAGTTGCAGCAGGCCCCCATCCACTTCGACATGTGCTCACATGTTCATTTGTGAATTATAGGAGCATTTGTTGGAACGTTCGCCGCTATCTTCCATATGTCGGCCTAATCGCACCAGATTTTTTGTGGAGAACCTAATGAAAACACGATTTGAATTTTCAAAAGGGTTCGGACGAAATCAAGAATTTTGATTTAAAAGACAATTCCATCGAATTGAAGGCATCATCAAAAATATGTATTTGCTCAAAATTTTACGATGAGATATCAACAAGAAATCAGCTACTTAATGCGTTGTCTTTGAGAATTTCTCGAATATTTTTGAATTATCAGAAAATTCAACCAAAAGTAATTATCGAAACCAATTAAATATACGACTATTATTATTATAGTTCTGCATCTGAATCGTTTGCCCCAATTGCCTAACCACTATCGGCTCGTTTAGATTGGGTTGAGCTCGTGCCAATTTTCGGACGAATGATCTCGCATCGGCATATGTGCAAGATTTTCAAGCATATTTTTGCGAAATAAATTGGTTCAAGCTGGCCGCACACCTGTGGCGAATACAGAAAATTCAATTCGTGAACGTGTGGCGAGCATCTGGCCGCCAGAAGGATAACCAGATTGTGTGCGTATGTGCGTTGTTTTGGGTGGTTGTGCACCAGGCGCCCCCCCCCCCCAAAAAAATATTACTCCGCCACACATTTCTATTTTTTCGAGGGGTTTTCAGATATGAACAACGGAGAATAAAAATACCATTTGGTGCTCAAATTATGCTAATTTGACGGTGTAATTAATGGTTTCGACAAATTCCCAAGCAATATGTTGTCACTGTAAAGATGTTCAACAGGTGTCAAGCATCGACAAATTGCACCATCTGATAGGCTCATTACGTAACAAAGAATCTAACACCAATCTGGCAGAACAGGTGTCGAAATTATGAGAAGAGCAGAAGACGAGAAATTGGCGAGCTGCGAATCCCGAATGGAGCACACGAAGCGCGTGTTTGTTGCGCAATTCGCCCCATTCTACCTTATGGGCTGTGTGCAGATGGTGATGAAGCTTTCGCGCACGAACACACATGCATCTGTGCTCGACGAGCAGATTTTTGCCATCCACAAGATGTATGCAAAACTGACATTTGTTCATCGAACGCACAATGAAAAATATGAAAATGTTCTTCCCCATGGGACGAGAACAATTTGCCAAATTTGTTCGCGCAATTTCAAGAAAGCATTTGAAAATTTCGAACCAAGATGGAAACGAAGTTTTAAAAAACCAAAAAAAAAAGAACAAAATTTAATTATGCCGCCGCATACGACGATTGTGCCGCAGATTAAAATCAACATTTTTAGACACTCAAAACAAATATTTAAAAGCGACTACACGAATATACCATATTTTTTAAATCTTTTTCATTTTTTTTCCAGAAACGCATTTTCTTATGTCACCTCTTTTTGGCCATAACTGAACTAATCTATTTGGTATAATTACAATCACAAAACAAGGCGAGCAGCAGATTTACGGTGAGTTTGATTAGCAGGATATCCGTTGTACGGTTCTTCTGTTAAAATTTAAATTCGAATTACCGCCTCGAAAAAGTGCGATGGTCCACAATTACTCGATATGCTCGATTTTTTGCGAGTGTAGTTATCAGTCCTTTTTCGTTGAATTTTGCAAGTTTGTTTCTTTATGTCTCTCTTTTCTCTCTATATTATATTGTCGGAGTCAAACGACTGAAGGGAGGCTGGCCGCTTAAATTTGCGAAATTAGTGTACATTTAAATTTATCGTTGACTCAATAGTAGTGCGCGTACGCTATAATGCAACGTACGCAATCTCGCTGCCTCGAGACGCATTGGCACATAGTCAATAATTTTTTTTTAATTTTGTTAAGTCGTTTGACTCCGACAATATTTTTCCCCTTTTTTGAATAGAAATATAATTATCCGTTTTATTCTACTTGATTCTAGAATAAATACCACTTCAAATCCGGTGTTCTGCCGTCATAAAACTTGGTGTTCTAACGTAAATCACCCAACACAGTATTCATTTACCTATCGGATTACTAGGGTCCCCCTGCGGACCAACATCAATATTTGTTCGAATGTGATTTGTCTTTGTTTCAAGAGGCGTCTACTTGACACGGATAATCGACCGGAACAGCCAGCTGCGGTATTCCAAGTCAGTCACCTTGACGGTACGAAATTCGAAAGAACAAAAAAAAACGCAAAGACCTTGAAATATTATTGACGTAAACGAGCCGACAAACGACCGACAATGGCGTCGGTCCCCCTAATCCAATCAGCCTGTATGACTACCTACCGTTACCAGTTCAATTTGGCTCGTAAAACGAATTGATCATGAAGCGCACCCCGCCGCCGCCGCCGCCTTGATTTGGGTCAAAATGATTGATGTTGAATGCCAATAGGCGCGAGGCGGCAAGCGAAAGAAACTAGAGAATATATATACGCAGTTGCTGCCCACACCCAACAGCTGGGGGTATAGCTCAGTGGTAGAGCGCTCCCTTAGCATGGGAGAGGGCTGGGGTTCAATTCCCCATACCTCCATGAACATTTTTGTTAACTTTTTACGCCTATTGTTTTGGTGGATAATTGCTGAATTGCGCAATTGAAAAGTTACAATTAACATCCTCGGCAGCAATTATCGCAGTTTGGCGTTGCCTTCGTGAAATCTGAGAAATGACTGAGGTCACTCAAAAGTTGGTCAATCAAAGGATTATACGTAGTGTTGTTTGTTATGCAACATATCCAACCTAGCTATCAAATAACTGCACGTGCATCATAAGTACATAATTGTACCATAAATCTACCGTAAGGTCCCTCACAGGTGTGCCAGTGTGTCACTTAGAGCCAAGACAATGCTTTTGACACTTTGGTATTGTTCTAATGGTGAAATATTTGCTTATTTTATTAGTCGACGCGTATGAATGTGAATAACACCTGGTGACAACATTTGCGAGAGATTTGAAACAGTCGACAAAAGGAGTCGCTTGCCTATCTCGCAAAATCTTAATTACCAATTTTGGCGAGCGGTTGAGTGACCTTTGAAATGGGACAAAAAGTGTCGACTCAAGTCAGTCAAGTCTTCGTTTTTTTTTTCAAAATATGGGCAAATCCCTCGAATATATTGTAAAAGGGACGCGAAAAAAAAAGAACGCCTCGTAAAACCGAAAATAATCGCTGAGAAAACGGTTGTAGACAACAAAAGGTGTTGCGCGAAACCCATGGATTGCTTTGAAGTGTGCCGCCCGTCCGACCCACCGTATCCATGAAATTGTTGCGTAACCGCTAGCAAAACATTTCAATGCCCTTTTTGGAGCCGACGCGCTTACAACACCTGTCGGTCCGAGGCTATAATTCTCGGATTAATTTCCTCTCATTCAGTCACCGATATTTCGCGGCACAAATTCTCCCTATAATCATCAGGTGGAACAGGTCATGCACACAAAAATTCGCGCACTTCTGTTTACTATTTAATGACAAGTTAATTAGGATACGACGACTTTTAATTAACGTGGCCCTCATGCTTTTGTTTCGTCGCGTCGAGTCCAATCCAGACCTATCGAAATAGTTTGTGTGCGCCGTGAGTTTGACATTGAGAAATGGCAATACTCATCGCATAAATCGTTTTGTTAGTTAATGGTTTGGAAACGAAAATGCCAACTGGTTTGTCTGTGAGCCAATCGAAACGACGTTCCGACTAAAAATGTCGTCGATGGAAAAATAAATCAGCGATTTCATTTAATATTGAATAGAACTCACCTGAATATCACTGTGTGATTCCAGATTTCATGGCATTTTTTTAAATCTGCATTTATCATTACCATCGCAAAAAATGAGTGCCTTACATAATTGTGGACCATCGCACTTTTTTGAGGCGGTAATTTTGAATTTAAACAGTGGAAATTCGGCCTCGTTTTTTTTTTGCGAATGTAATATTATATATTTTTTGCAGTAAAATTGTGAACGATATAAGGGATCAGCCATACTAATTTCCAATTGAAATGCTTCATATCCCATTAAGGAAAATTTAAGCCGGCTCGTGTTTTTATTCCGTTTTGTCTGTGCACACGCAGACGCAATTTTGCACACATTTAATTTAACACCTATCAGTGTCCTTTTGAAATTATTTTTAAAAAAGTTCCTGAATAAAATGAATTGACAAAGGTATTGTACGCAAACAGTGGCATTTAAAAGTTTTTTTTTTCAATTAGCTATCGATTTTTCCACAAATAAATTTGCAAAAGTGCAAACAAATGTTATAAAAATTTCAAGCTTAAATTAATTGGCATGAATTAATTTTCTTTACGAATAAAATTTAGCGACCGACAGAAAACAGCGGGAAACACCGTAATACTCGAATGTCATTCATTTGTCCCCGTGCCGGCTGATTTGTCATGACAATGTGCCAAAAATGAGAAAGATCGCCGCCCGCCGCCGTCGTCGCCCAATTTAGCAACACTCATTTCATTCTTTCCGAGTTTGAGGAAATGGAAACTCGTTGAATAATTCAATGCCCATCGTCGGCGGCCACCCAGTGCGGCAAATTCCTTTCTTGGCCCGCATTTTCTTGGTTGGCGAGTGTTGCGTCGCGCGAATACATAAACAATGCGGTAATGGATGAAGCACAAAACGTTGCGTTTGCCGACGCCTCCACCTGCCGTCAAAATGTCAAACACGTGCCGAAATGAGCGAGCGATATGTGTATATATATGGCACAACGGAGACCGCGGGGACGGGTCAAAAGGCGCCCGAGACACAAAACGAATTTGTCGCCGCTGGAGGACCGCTTATTCACACCTGCGCACACATTCTCGATTTGAAGGGGTTCGATTGATCTGCGGACAAAATCACAGTGTTTAACATATTTCTCAAAACGCGTTTTTGGTTCGAGAAGTTGACGGCTGAATAAAAATATTTCTGTCTGCCGTTCAAATACTTCTTTCATGTTCAAATTGCCGCCAATTAAACGCCTATTTAAACACGAAAGAAACGTTTGAACGATTCGAATTCTATTTAAATGTAAATTCACTATCGAAATAAGGTGCATCAATTAATTCAACAATTTTGGAACATATGGTGAGTGAACTTCAGAAAAATTGGTTATCTCTTGGAATATTCTTTCATTTTTCATCAACAATTTTTCTCTCAATTCGTCGTTTCCTACCTGTCACCATATTTGGTCAAATTGATTTCCTCGAAGACGTCAACAGAGGGAAGAAATCATTAGATAATTATCAGAAAATCGTCGGCGCCGGCCGCCGTTTGAACTGTCACTCATCGCTTCAACTGCGCAACACACATTTCTGTGCGGTCTCCACACAATCGAGTAATCTCTTGCCGGATGCTCAGAAATTATAACGAGTCGTGTTTATTTACGGACCTCATTAGCCAATTAAAGGCGATTGCATGAGATAGCGGGACCGTGTCGTCGTGTGGTGTCGAAAGTTTTGAAAGAAGCAACAACGGCGAATTTGATTCCAACCTTCGACGCGTTTGAGTGACAAATCGCTTCAGCCATTTTTTGCACTTTCGCCTGGTTACTGTAGCCTTGAAAAGATCGTGGAGCGATGGGCGAGGGCTTCGAAAATGCAACATTTTGATGGGAATCGGGTCACAATAATTCATCCTCATTTTCCTCTAATTGCCCCCCGACTCGAGGATTATATTATACGGTAAGGGCCGATGAGAAGACGATAATCGTTTTGCAACTTGTTTCGTCGAAATTTGAATTTTGTTTCGATTCGAAGACAAATCAACCAACTCGATCGTACCATTCGAATCCCGAAGAGAATGCAAGTCGTCGCTGCGGGACCCAACCAAACATCGATGATACTTGAGCACCTCAAAAGTGTGCAAACAATGTCGATACCCCTAATTTGTCGTATTGATACTTATACAATCCACAGGTGCGTACACACAACTTCTACAATGCGACACACCATTTCACACGTGCTCTATCGCCAACGAAGATTCGCTGATAGAGATAACGCGATGAGCTGGTGTGAAATCGGCACATTCCCATGCGACGATGTTTATCAGATAATCGAAAACAATGGGCTCGAGTATTACTGTAGCCGGTGGTGTATATCACGAGTTGCGCAACAATGGAGACGTATTCGAGGCGATATCAAGTGCCAGTATAAACATTCAAATTCAAATCAACACAGCGTTAGACAAAAATGCAGGTGGTTCGTAGGGGGCAACTCGTAAACTTACTCGCTCGGAGGTGGCGCATCTTTAATTTTCGTTTTATAGTCACAACACCTGTATTTTCGACCCAAGTCATTGGCTATTTTTAACGAATTCCGATTTTTGAATAAAAAGTGCCGCAAAAAATGAATGAAGATCGACGAACATTATTTTGACTATTTTTGGCAATATTCACTTGAACTCATATCAGTTCTCTTTTGACAAAATAATTTTGTCAGTAAACGGAAATTCATTTTTGATAATATTTAGAATCCAGAATTTGTTTTTCGAAATTGAAAGCACCTCTTTCATTTTATAATGTTTATTAATAATAAAAAAAGAGCTATATTTACAACGCATTAAAAATACCCGGGATAAAAATAAAAGATCACAGATTATGTATGAAAAACTCCTGTCTATAGTGGCCGATATTTAGCGTTTCTTCTCGATAGACTTGCGTTTCTTTTGGATTCTTGTGCTGCGGACGGAATGGAATGCTGGTGGGAGACTCTGGAGCATCTCTGGAAAACGGCCAATTTAGAATAATTGATTCAAATGAGTTATTTTTATTTAAAAAAATAATTGGAAGAATGGAATTACCTGCTGGAAGAGTTCCGTTCTTGACGCGGGCTTGAACTGTTGCTGCCAATTGTTGAATGTATGTGGCGGCTTGCATCACAACCTTCGACGCATCTCCACTTCTTGGGCCGGATGGCAGAAGGGCTGTGAGCTTCTTCAGTTCGGCTCGTTCGGCTGCGTTCAGTGACAACGAGGTGCTCGGACTTCGGCGCTTCGATGGTCCAGCTCCGCCGATCTTCTTTGGAGCATTGACGATCTTTGGAATAGAGCTCATGATGATCCAAACGGATTTACACTGAAATGATGGAAATCAATAATACAAAAGTCAAAAAGGCATCGAGAGGCAACAACAGAACAAGCGGGCGAACGATAGAACGACAGAACGAACGAACGAATGAGTGGGTGGACGGATGGTAGGAGATGGGTGTGAGAGGGAGTGTGTTGTCGCGCTGCGCGAAAGGAGGAGACCTTCAGATGGGCGTGGCCTCAAGAGGGGTTGCGCACCTGTCTTGAGCTGCAACCAAACCCAAAAAAAAACTAGTTGAAATCGTGGTATACGGTAGGGTATGGGAAACATACGGAATCTTTTTTCAGTTTTTTTTTGGCAAAACAATTGCGCAACCACGAAAATTTCCTTAGAAAACTAGGAATTTGAAAGAAATCGCTCAGTTGTGAAGTGAAAATGCAAATTTGTGATTGATCGCAGTTAAAAATATGGATTTGTAAAGAATTTCCTTCATTTATTTTCGAAGAATTATTATGGTAGCATACAGGTTTCGAAAAAAAAAACAAATCAAAAAATCACTCAAAAAATTCTTAAAATAGAATGTCGATTGCGGGCAAATCTAGTTTCACGGTTTTCTCTTCCAAATATCTTAATAGTTGCATTCGTTTCGCATTTCAACACTTCAACAAATTGAAATGTGAGAGCCGTGAAGATGATAGAAAATAATGAATCAAATAAAAGCAAACCGATGGCAGTCGTTTGAAGGCGTTTTGACTGTTATTGTGCATATTTGCACAATGTATCAATATAAACGAATCTTCTTCAGCAGTCCGACATCAATGACCTTTACCTCGTCCGATAATCTTTATTGGCTGAGATCCTCCTCGACTCGTCGCTTATCTCAACCCTAGAATCAGTTTACCTAATTGATGGTTTCACGACGCGCAACTTTTTTATTTATGAACTGCTCGTTGATTTACGAGAAGGACGATGTGTTGGCGAGGGTGTTTAATTAGCAACGATCTCGAGCAAAAATGGGACAACGATGTATAATGATGATATTGGAGATTATGTTGGATGTATTGTGAAATGGAAACGGGTCGAATAGAAGAGTTGGAAATGCCTACAACAAAATGAAATGAATGCACACATGTTGTATGGCGCAGAGGCCAACTGTTCATCATATGTGGCACATTTGCTTTTCTACTATTTTATGATTTCCAGACGGCTGCCGTCCGTTCAACGCAAGTTTCGATTTCGAATTCTGGGTTCGCGAAACAAACTGGAGGTTATGATTCAGAAACTTCGCTCGGACAGAACAACGAACTTAACCGGTCCTACCATCTGGGCAATCTAAGACCCATTAAGTCAAATGGAGCATGTCTTCCGGTGCCATCAACAATGAGTTTGTACATGTTGCATCACAATCCGTATGGTCACAGTATGACCTCGTGTTCCGGTTGACCGCTTCCGGACACGTGTTCATTATGGTTTTCCATATTCGGTGTTCTCGCAGTTGCAACAAGTTGACGACGTTGGACTCCTGCCGGGAAGTCGAGGTGTCAGAACAAACACTTTTTGCGGTATCCATTTAGGCACTTGTTGTGTGCCGCCGCACGTTCTCAAGTCGGAACAAAGAATTCTGACGATGACGACGATCGTGATGTTGATGGTGGGGGTCTGATTGAGCAGTTCATCGAAATGCAGCTCGTGATGCAACCAAATCCCATCATTACACTAAAATATTATGCAATTAAGGGCCATATTCTCGATGCGCGTACATCAGCAGATTATGCAAATTTCATGGCAATCATTGAGATGCACCGGGAGATCATCACCTAATAAGCTTCTCCACAGGACGCCACGTTGATTTTGACATGTTTGAGCGACATTATTTGATTTGGAGATTAATTAGAGGTGAAGCATACCAATAAGCAATCCAACACGGAAATAATTAATTACCGAAAATTGGGAAGAAAGACGAAATCGAGAAACCAAAGTGAAAATAGCTGATTTTGCCTAGTAGACCTTTTCAGTTATTATCAATCTTTAATAAAATCTCATAAAAAATTGTTAGATCTTCGGATTATTTAAAAAATTTCCCGATTATCTCCAAATTTTGCCGTATGATAAGATTTGAAAATTTGTGTTGAATTTGAATTTGAATACGCCAGATGTTAATGCTGATTTCTAAACAAACCAATTTCAAAAGATATTGCCAAACAAAGAAGCGCTTATGCATAGTTTCTCAGGCTATTCAAATACCAATAAGCACAGCACAACTGAATAGAAAAAATCAGCCATGGGAAAACCGTGAAAAGACGGCGCATGGGAAACCTGCATACAGTCGGCTGGTCTCACCGCGAAATAGCGCACTTTATAAGGAGAATCTCATAGCCGGCAGGTGGGTTCCCGATTTACGAGCGTTTATAATGCGGCTGGGAAAAAACTCTAGTCGTCTTTAATCATTTATATCAAATAAAAAGTATCGGTTGGGGTCGATGCGGGGGGAAATGCGCCGAAATCGGGGATTATGGTATGTAGTTGTTTGGGGTCATTGGATACTGTAATTAGAGCGGCGAATTTCTATTGAATTCAATGAGGTTTTTTGTCGGCGCGTCCGATACAATTGTGGGAGATGCGCCAATTTCGCGCACAGCACTACCTCGACTGACCGACCGAACCTACACATCAATTACCGATTCGTCGGCGCCGATACAACTTCCAAAAAATATAATAATAAACCATTGAAAAAGGGAACTGGAATGAAATAAGATCCGAAAGAACATTTCATTAAAAAAAAATGTCTATTTTTTCTTTTAGAAAATGCTAGCTTGTCCTCTAGAAACCGAATTGTCTGCAAACAACACGACAAAAATTCAGAATTTTAATAAATTGTTTAATACATTATTTCTTAATACCCATTAGAAGTTAATGAACATAGACGAAAGATCTTCTGAATTTATTTATTCAAGAAACATCAACATTAAAAATCCTTATAAATACATTTACACATTTTACTTGGTTTTAGGCAATTAAACGAATTAAACAAAATTTATACATATTTTCCGCAATCATTTTTAACTGTTCAAATTCCCAAAAAAAAAGCAGCTTACTCATTTATTTTGTTGATCAGTTCTCCATCGACGAAAATTCTAGACTCATTCAGAAAAGTCGTGAAAATTCTGCGCAAACTCTGAACGATTTTCCCGAGATTCTAGATGTCTGACTCTGGTCGACCGTAGGACTTGACCATTTCTAATTCTTTCAATCAAAATCTGAAAAATTGTGTGAATAACTCCAACTAGCCTCAAATCCAACGAGCAATCCTTATTTTTGTTTGAAGAATAGAGCAGATAAAGTATCCACATTCTTCATAAGAAAACCCGATTCACGTATCCGCAACGGCATTAGTCGTGCATTGATGTCTGATAAGAATATTACAAGTTTCCCATGACGTCGGAAAGTTGGCAAAGGACGACAAGTAGTCGGAAGTCGACCGTTAATCCGAAAATTGATGTGTTGTTGGCGATGACCCGAACGACGATAATCGCATGCCAAATACCGTTGGGAAACGTCGGAAGTTTTCTGTTTCCTTTTATGAATCCGCTTGATGATTCTCAAACTGGATTCAAGAGTGCTCACGGTGTGCTCTTTATGTTGGCTCAACACCAAAAACGGCTGGCACACTTCAGAAGGAGGCGCAGGTCAATTAATAAAGGCAAGCCAAGTGGCCGTCGCCGAACCACTTCACTTTTGATTAACATCACAAATATGGAATGGAATTCAAGCGGAACCTATTTATGCACAGCAGACACCGACCAACTTTTATGAGTTTCGTTTTGAATCAATGTACCGCAAAGGCGCCAAACAAGGGGGTCAACCTAGTTTTTGTTTTATGAATGGCTATGAGCAGGTGTGAGCTCCTAAACCTGTAACCACTAATTAATAATAAAGGCCGAAGCAGTGGCAGCGTGTTTGTTGATCCAATAAACGTTGCGTAACCCGGCAAAACGCCTTTGAATGCGCCGCCCGATTAGCCGGTCGAGTCTCGAATGTCACACATCCAAACAAAACCCATCCTGAGCACATGTAGGTACGTGAAACAATATGGAATATCGAATGACTCAAAAGCGGACACCGCTGACAAGTGCAACGGAATGCCACGCTCGAGTTGCCAGATGGCGGTCGGTTTCGCTCAAATATCGGGTCGAGCACGTCGGTTTCCGTTCCACCTTCATTCCAACCGACTAGTGTTTGCCGATCCATTTGACAAATAGGTCATATCGATGATTCTATTCAATTTGATAAACAATAACGAGCAATTCGGGGCGAACTGTCAAAAGAAAGATGGACGGCATAAGGGTCAAATTGGGTTCGAAAACACATTGTTAAATCCCCATTAAAACAAGGATGTGCTGATTTATGGACCACATAAGTTTGAGGTCAATTTCGTACGAACCGCTTAAAAATTGACCTATGTCGATAATAAAACTGGAAACTACAAATTTACACAAGGCTTATTTTTATCTGAATGTAATAATAGATTTTAAGTGTGTTTCTGAAAAAGGGGCTTCAAAAAACCAAATTTAAACTAAAATTTCTAACTTTCATTAGAAAATTTTTTCAGAAATCGCGTATTTTGGGCTTTTTGTGCCTATTTTTTTAATATTCGAGTTATCAAAAGCCGAACATTTATAATGTTAATAAATTTTTCACGGAAGCAAATCGCGAAATAAAAAAAATAAATCGTTAGTTAAAGGCTCATCGCAGAAAAAGAGTCGGGCATTTTTTTTTTGAGAAACAGACTATATTAAAATTAAAAAAACCTTATTTGTATGAAAATTTAACAATTGAAACGTGATCAAGTGTGCCCAAATTCTTGCGACGAAATTTTCACCGCAAAAAAAAACATTTATATGACCTTATGCGTCAAAATAATATTTTAATACAGCTTATTTAGAAGACATAATTTAAAATTTTTAATTTTGGGTAAAAATGATGGAAAATTAATTTCTTTCGCGTGGTTGAATCATCAAAACACACCAGAAGAATCATTCAATCCTTCAATCGAAAACGATTAAAAATATATAAAGTCGTTTTTTGAATGATTGAAAAAAAACCAACATTATTAATTTTAATTTCGTTTTTTTTCATAACCGCCCTCATCATTCGATGGAACATGTTACCTTTCGAATTCTGTTATCAGTAGCTGTTTGCTTTATATTAAAACTGAACGCAATGGTCATAAAATTGCGAGAATAATCATATTTTTGTGCAAACCTCTCAATATTACAACCAAAAGTTCCTCTTTCTATTTCTTGATCTTTTATAAAATTTTAAAATTATTAAAGATTAATGAAGATGAAGCAAATACAAAAACATTCAACTGCACCGCATACAAATTTGAAAAAAAAATAAATATTGTCGACACCGCGCAACTGCTGAAAATTGGCAAAATGCCAAAAAACAATGGAAGTGGTCTTAGCGCAAAACTTGAATTGTAAATTTACGGGTCTATGCATAAGGATAGATTAAAGGCGCACATCGCGCACCGAGACCTCTTTTTAAATTTTGTTGGCATTTAGCCAATTTTCCAAAGTAGCGCGATGTCAACAAAATATGTATGTATATATTTAGAAACCATTTTTTAATCAGTTTGTTGATTTGAAATTATTTCCCACATTCTTCCTATTCTAATCATTGATTTATTCAAACGATTGTCTTTATGCGTAAAATTTTGCAGATAAAACAATTCCCACACTGAATAGTTCATATTGCACACATGTCCTTCGCTTTGTCTTGCCGACAAAAAATCACATGGTCACAGGCGTAATCACTTTTTATAAAAGTAAAAAGCAAATTTTGCTAGTTCGATTATGTCTATCTAATCGAAACGCCGCTCTTATCATTATTCCAAGTCACTACTTACGATTATGCCCAGATGTTGGCAATCTGTCATTGAAATACTTCGCGCAAAGCTCGATCGATTTTACATGACCTTGGTGCTTTAAAGTTGCGCGTTCAACAAAAAGTTACCTTCATTTTCGAATATTCTAAGTACCGTTTGGATCCCAAACGCGTTTATCTATCATTTTTCCGTTGGTCACGTTCTGAATCATTAATAATTACTCATTCAAACGAATCGTTGTCTCCTTTATGTGAAAATTAGTGGTCAACGACACTTTTATGTATTTTATTGGTTTTTCGTAGTATGAATATACCATCTCCATAGCTCTATGTGCTCAAGTGTGCTCTCTCTGTTGATCATTTATTGGAAAGCAGTGGGTATCATTTGCCGGAGTTTTATAAGATTGGATACGGTGTCTGCAATAAAGCGTGCGGTGGCTACAGATTAATATTTTAAAATTTGAAAATATTTTTTCCTTCTCTAGAAGATCAGCAAACTCATCGGGCGAAACAGCGGTTTTCTTTTGCTTTTCCGAAACACGCAGATTCATATTTCGTCGCTTCGGGTAAAAAAACAAATTTGTACTATTTATTTTCGCCACTGTTTCGAACGATGAGTTTGTCGAGTTCCTATTTTTTCGATTTATTTTTTGGTTAATCGTTCGTTTTTTAATTACAGAGTTAAAAAATTATTTTAGGTATGCGGGTCATTTTTCTTTTTCTCATTTTTGCGTCGGCAGTATCGTCTACAAGTGTTGATGTGCTTAAGAAGTCATCAGAAGTATCGCATATTCCGATGAAGTATCTTCAAATTTGTCGTTTTTTTCGACATATTTCTTGGTTTTAGGCCAGAATTTGCCGAAAAATCTATGAACCCTCTTGTTGATGACGATGATTCTGAATACGAGGCTTCGGCCGACTATCCGCCTTCTTTTAATGTAAGGAAGACTAATAATGAAGTCTTTGAGCCGAAGAAGGAAGATGAAGACCCTAAAGAGGAAGCTGTGGATCATAAGAATTATACACCAGATGCTAAAAAGGAAGTTCAACCTAAGACAGGCCAAGTCGATTCTAAAGATGAAACCGCGGTTATTCCAAAGATGATTGATATTTACGTTGATAGTGAAGATTCAAATAATTCGACGGTTTCAATTCACTCTGAGAATGGTAATAAATATTCAGTAGACAAAGCATTAATAGAAATTTTTAGATGAAAATGAAGAGAACGAAAATCAAGATATCTTATCTTACATTGATTTGTTCCTCAGGAAAATCCAGAAGACCCCTAACCTCCTTGCACTTGCCATTGGAATCTTCTCCGGACTTATGACTTTCACACTTCTCGTCCTCATCACCTCGATTTGTTGCCGACCAAAGTGAGCTTTCAAATGGCTTCTAAATTAAATAAAATCGTGTTCGATTTAGGAAATCGGTTATTCCAAACATCACCAACGAATTTTATGAAGCTACTATGTGCTCCCAGCGTTTTGACTCGGTCAATCTCACTGATAAAGGAGAAGTAACTATTCCATTGATGTCCCCAGGACAAGACTCCCGAAACATGATTGTTTGAATTTTAGATTTCAATTTATATCTGTAAATACGCTTTATATATTAATTTAATGCCTTATCAATAAACAATAGCGTCTCGAATCGCGGATATATTTAACTCGAAACTAAAATATCTCTTTCGCAATCTCAACTCGTTGTCTGTCCAAAAATCGCCGCTGACAGTGGTTTTCGGTGATATCATGTATCTATTACGTATATACACTGTTTGAATTGCTCTCAATAGGTTCATTTTGAGTGTGTGTGCAAGCAGTACCGGCTCTCTATTTTCAGGTCACTGTTGAAGTATGTGAAACATAATACGCGTTTTCCATTCCGTTCGAACTTTTTTGCTGGACGTAAATAACTCAACTCCTCTCGACAAATGATTCGTGTTCGGACGTGCTGTTTCCTCAAATCATTTGTTGCGTTTCAAAATACAAAAAATTTAATTTTTTGCATCGTTTCTCGCCAATTCAAAGCATTCAATATATCAATTTCTTGTGAAGAGAATTCAATCAAATCTGTGATTCTTTCATTTTGTCGCCGCCTCCAATCACCCCCCCCCCCATATAAAACTGTGTGGTGATTCAGAATGTTTCAGTTGAATTCCGAGCGAATTCTTGCATTTCGCACGACTGACCTTGATTGACATTCATAAAACTGAGGATATAACGGCTGTTCAACGAAACGCACACTATTTTTTATGCATTTTTATCGCTCATAGTAATGGATTTGGCGGCGTAGATCTAGTTTTTCTTGCACGGTGGCCACTGATCCGTTTTAGGGCTCGCTTGATCGGTAGTTGACCCGGAATCCATGCAGTCAACAGTCGATTCATTTATCATCAAAAATTTCGAATTCATACGTTGCAAGCGAGCATTTTAGTCGTGTTGGTGGCCATTTGCCTACGTCTCTAAGCTCTCGTAATTCGCATATTCTCTAAAATGTTCTTCTTTTCAAAAACATTTCTTGTGTTTTTTTTTTGCAGAAATGACTGAGGATCAACTTCTTCACATTCTTTCTTTGCCACAGGTTCATGTAAAAGATATCAAAGCGACTGCTGCGAAATTACAAAAAATTGTGAGCGGTGGACCAGATCAGCTGATGGTAAATAGTATATCATCAAAGTATTAAAATATATTTTTAAATTTTTTATAGGTAATCTCTGACTTTGACTTCACATTGTCGAGATTTGTCGATGAAAATGGGAAGCGCTGCTCTTCGTGTTATTGCGTTTTCGACAACGCTGTCGGAAATGATGATCCAACATGGTGTGAGCGGGTAGGATATGAAATATTTTGTTAAAAAAAAACATATATTTTCAGTTTGTTAGTCTTTATCATAAATATGGTCCGATCGAACACGATCATTCGCTGACAATTGAGGAGAAAGTTCCTTTTATGGAATCTTGGTGGACCCAATCGCATAATTTAATAATTGAAGCTGGGTTCAATAGAAAAGAAATTGATAACTATGTTTCGAAATGCAAAATTAAGTTAAGGTACTTGAATTTTTTTTGATTTTTCCATTACAATTCAGTTTAAGAGATAACGCTGATGCTATGATGAAGGGAATGTCTGCATATAATGTGCCGTTCATTATTTTCTCCGCAGGAATCGGAACAATCATCGAAATGTTCTTGCGACACAAGTTTGGAAAAATCGAGGACAATACGCACATTGTGTCAAACATGATGAATTTCGACGCGAACGGCGCTGTCAGCTCGTTTTCCGAACCCCTGATTCATGTATTCTGCAAAAACTCGTCCGTCATTCCCAAGGATACAACGTTCGCGCATCAAATTCAAGGAAGGTTTCGAAAGTTATTTATGGGCTGAATTCATGACATTGTTCAGGAAAAATGTTATTCTGATGGGCGACAGCGTTGGCGATGCATTTATGGATGTTGGGGTTGAAGAAGAACAGCTCTCTCTGAAAATTGGTTTCGTGAACCATGATGTATGTTCTTGGAAATTAATGCAATATCTAAAATAAACTATTTTAGGTGGAAAAACTCGTTCCGAAGTATCTCAACTTCTTCGATATTGTTCTTGTTGAGGATCAAACAATGAATGTTCCAAATAAAATTCTTGAAGCAATTTACGCTGCAAAACCATAATTTGTGAATTCCTCCCCGAAATTGGTCGTCCTTTTTAATCATAACTATACCAAACTAATTTTCTCTCAATTAATAACCAGCGAGCTTTAACATTTCATAATGTTTTTTTTTGTTGAAGTTTTCATTGTTGTTGTTAGAAATTTAAAATAATTGTTTTCTTTTTTTTTGCAATTTACTGCGGCCTTCCGAAATTTCCCGGGATCATTTAGCTAATGATTGATTTTTTTTAAAGTTTTTCGAATATAAAGAATATAAAATAATAAATTCCAACCGAAACGTGATGAAGTCAAAGAGCAACGAAACACACAGTATAGTAATTGTACTGTATATGAGACTAATTGTTAAGAGGGCATATAGTCGGCGTCCGACGACTGCTGTACGCTGGTAGACTTCAGGGCTGTGCGGCAATGGAATTGCCGATTGCCGAAATTGCCGATTTTTCAAATTGCCGAATTGCCGAAATTTCCGATTGCCGCACAGCCCTGGTAGACTTACGCGCAGGAGCTTTAATAATTTTTAAATTTTTGTCAGATCAATCTTAATATATCCAAACTATTACATTCGTAGAAAACGAGGACTTGTGCATTATAAAATCATTTCCAATAATCATTTCCTAACTGGAATCGCATAATTATCCATTTCTGTTCCATTTTGAAAAAAAAAAACTGTTTTTTACTATTTATTTCAATTTTTTTCCAACCGCGACGCATTCGCAGCGCGGTTTCTTCTCGATCGCACAAGCGCGCTAATTTGAATACTTGGCTTTGGGTGGCAACGACCGGGATCGGCTTCGAAACGACAAGCCTTATTTGAAAATAATTTATATTTGTAACACAAATCATGTTATGGGAATTGGTTCGATGTTTAAAAATACATGAAGGATCAATTTAGGCTTATATAGCACTCAAAATAAGTCTACAGACAAAATACCGCTAATTGGCCAAAAAATTGACCAACAAAATATTTTTGCAGTTTTTACGTGATAATATTTATTACAAATTCATTATTACTTTTTACACATTTTGTATTCTGTGGATTTCACCTTTCGGCAGCGTTGTCTAAAATAATATATTTCTATCAAACATTATCAAGGCAAGAATTAAAGAGTAATATCAATCTGCAACATTTTCAAATAAAATAGAAAAAAACAGTCACAGTTAAGAATGTTGAAAAATAATGAAAAATAAAATTGTTCCGTAAAATAGTGCGTGTGTGTGTAAACACCGTAACGCACATCTACGCTGTCCTAATTTGAATGTTTGCCACGTTGGCACATTTTTTTTTATTTGATTTTTCTCAGATTGTAGAGTTTTTTTCAATAAAAATCAATTTCAGATGTCACAGAGCAAAATATTGATTAATTCTGCCACGAAGATCCGCATTGTTGATTGAAACGAGAATACGAGCGGTGCGTTTTTAAAGATTTGAAAATTATTCACTGGTCAATTAATTTTTCACAATTTGATAATTTGCAAAACATTTTGTCATTACAAAATTATTTCGTTATTAGAATATTGGAAATGCGAGTTGAGGAGAAACCGAATTGAGCGAGGGAATTGCAAACTGCGCCAATGACTATAGTCGAGAATATTATTGCACCTTAGTTTAGCTCTCGGCAAAGTTTCAAGGAAACTTGAAGCTGTAGTGTTTGGCTGCGGTAGGTGAACGGAGCATATCCGTGTCGTTCTAAGGTGTGTATGAGAGATTTGCGCAAATTCACGCACAGTAAGCGGTAACGAGCAATAAATACGGTCCGAGTTCTTTTTGTGGAATCGGTGAAGGTCAAGTAAATCCTTAACAGCTCGAGGCAAATGGACAATTATTTGATTTAAAAAAAAAAGAAAAATGGTGACAACAAGGCAAAACCACTTCCACAACGCATCAACGAGACAGGGACATCTTCAAGAAGCCAACAACCTAAACCAGAGCGCGAATCAATTGCCACATTTCCATCTCAACTGTATGATCCGACGACATTCCTACCATCACTGCCAATATTTCAACATTCTTTCAAATGACAGGACGTCCTTCAAAGGACGACATCCAGAGGCAATACGGGACACGGCGAACGACTTCAATCGCGCTCAATTGTCAAGTCAACAACACTGGCCAAGCTCGATTCTATCAATCCCGACTACTTCAGATCATGCATAGCATGTCTTCGGGATAAACGAGCACTCAAGGAGCTGCGTTGTCACCAAAAAATGAAAAAAAAAAAACAGAAAAAAAAACAAATAAAAAAAAAAACAGAAAAAAAGTAATAAAACAAAAAGATCCCACCTCGAGTTGTGTCTGGTTTTTCTTGATTCCAAACTGGACCTGCATTAGTTCGACGACTGTTTTTAGAGTTCTTAACGTTTGCTGTAGTGTTCGAATTTTCGCCGATCTATCAACAGCCTTCGAATCTCGCGGATCTGTTCGGCTTGTCTACCATAGTCTAACACTATCAGTCTGATAGTCGAAATGAAATTGTAACGATTGCTAGACATAGGTGTTTCAAGGTTCTTAACTTGAAGCTGCGGCGCAAGGAGTCTGAACCTCGCGAAAGGAGAAATCGATTCAATTTTCCCGCGCCAATCTAATGTTCTAATGACATTGGGTTCCTTTTTGAATATAATTTTTATTCTAATCGAAAAATTCGGCAATTTGTCAGTGTCATTTATTTAATGTCAATCTTTTTGCATAATCAACACCAAGATCTTGTAAACTACCAACGAAAAGGCTTCCAAATGTTCATAGGTTTGTGTAAATCTGTCGTTTGTTTTAATTTCAAATTTAGATCTGTTTTGTCATGAATGTAGTTTTTGTTGAAGGAAAGAAGTAATAATGGTTGGTTGGTTTGCATATGTGATTTTCGGCTAGATATATAGATTTTTTTTTTCAGATTAAACGCTAAATTTCGTATAAACAATAACAGCTACAAAATATTCCAAATGAGTGAAGATGGCTAATAAAAAAAGGTACTTTTATATGTATTTGACCACAAAAATTGGCGTGAGACTTTAGTATTGTGAACGTCGCGCAATTGCGCGATTGGCTAAATGCCAAAAAATAGGCGATGATCTTAGTGCGCAGTTTTGACCTTTAATCTATCCGACACTAACGTTAGATACAAAAAATTGTCAGAAAGGTTGACACGATTTTCAAAATGTTGCTTATTAGACAAAAAACAAAGTTTTCTAGTTTCTCTTCTTCTATACACAATTTTCCAAACCGTCATCATTCAACTAGATACGAAAACGACATTAACGAGTAATTTATCTTTAATAATGGAATATTGAGGCGTTAAGTGCTTGTATTCTTTTAATGTTCTCACAAATAAAAGAATAACATAATAAAACAGTTCAAAATATGAAATTAAAAAGATAAAAAATCGTTCATCTTTTTCTTTTTTTTTCATTCATCAGTTTTTTTTCAGACAAAACTGTAAGTTCGTGTTTTTACATTAGCCAATAAGCATTATCGAGGAGAATAAAAACATTTTTTCTTAATTATGCATATTTTTCAATGCAGGAATGCAAATAATTTTTAAAAAAAAGTTCGAGATTTTCTGTTATCAGTCAGATTTTGAACCATAAATTATTTACGCTTGCAAAAAAACTTAGAAATTGTGTAAAATTAAAAGTTTTATTTCCTGCGGAAATTGAATACTTATCGAAAATTTCCGTTTTAGACGATAATGCGAAAGCTAATTTTCGAGATGCTTCAATTCTGCTTATTTTGAAACATTGGATCGCAGTAACAAAGGTTATTTCAGAAACACAAAATAATTATCAACGTTTGTGATAAGGACTTCCTGGTGCTTTATTCGTCAATTATCTCTAATCTTTTATTGGGGTGTATTTTCTTTTTTGTCTCTATTTGCTCAGTATAATCGAGCTTTGTTGTTCAATTTTCTTGCGACGAGCCGTATTTGTGAGCCCCGTCGCAGATCTGTTAGCTGTACTGGGCGTTAGTGCTGTAAGCCCCTGTGTACGTCATTTGTGTTGTCTGTGATGAACGCACGTTCTCCAATCGCGTGCGTAGATATCAGGGCTGTGCGACAATCGGCAAATTGTCGATCGAACGTTTTCTTCGGCAATTCCATTGGCGCACAAGCCCGCCTATGGTACCACAGTTTCTTTAAATCGCTTCAAAAATTATGAAATTTGATCTTATGAGTCAGTCAACCGTAACGTTTTGATGGTTTTAAATACAAGTTTTCTACTACGGTAGCAATATTTTTTATTATGATTGAAGGCGCATACAATTCCATTTTTATGATTCTTGCAGCGATTTAATGAAAACCAGGCTTGTCGTTTCAAATCGATAATATCTCTCGCGGAGAGAGAGTGTGTGAACGGAGAGAGCGCGCGCCAAAGGGTAGAGATAACGCGCGCTGAGGGAAAGACAACGGGCGCAAAGGAGGCGCAGGGGGAGAAGTTAAAGGCCGGCACATTAATGCCGCTTGGATTTCTCGCGGCGCGGGGCGACAGTAACCTAACGGCGGCGTTAGGAGGTTTTTAAAAAACGTTTTTTTGGCTTTTGTTTTTTAACGGGATTCAAATTTTTTTCTGATTGCGGATTATGGAGCGATCTCGCGGAGGAAGGAGAGTCGCGATTCAAGGGGAAGAGAACCTCCCAGGTATGTAGTATAACTTTGGTAGAGTTCCCCGAATTGGCGGCGCGGCCGCGTGGGAGGTATTGGGGGGTTTTCTTTTCCCATTAAGACGGCGCGGCCGTAGGAGGGGAGTCGGGAGCATTGCCCTTGCGAAGGGCCGGAGTTAAGTGATGACAGAAGGCTCTAGCCGTCCATTTGGGCGGCGATGGAGAGCTTCTGACTGATAACTTCGTTTCTTGCTACACGAAAATTTGTTCCTTCGGGGACGTTGAATTCTGGGCGGGGCCCAGAATTTTCAAATGGTGCATCGACCGTGTGCAAGAAAATGCTCGAGGGGGATAGGAATAGTAGGAATAGTAGTAGTGGTATAATCAATGGAGGCTATTGATTAGAAAGAGGTTTCAGGCGGGAGCATCCAGGAGCTCCTAAGAGCGCTCGATGAGCACCCGAACCGCAATGCCTTGTTTGCGGAGATCGGCGAGCTTCTCGTCAGGAGGCTCGCCGAGGCGGAGGCCGACCGTGGTCGGGAGCGAGCTGAGGAGCCGGAGGAACCGGAAGAGATGGTCGAGCCGGAGGCTGAGGAGCCGGAGGAACCGGAAGAGCTGGTCGAGCCGGAGGCTGAGGAGCCGGAGGACCACGCTCGAGAGTGCGGCCATGGGTGCGGCAGCCGCGAGGAGGTGTGATGGCGAAGGCAGGTGGCAGCGCGGTGGACGGCGGCGGAGGAGGATCGTCGCGGGCGCGAAGGGTTGGAAGCACCGAGGTGCTTGTTCTGCTTCTCGGCAGCCCACCCTTCGTTGGCGTGCGATCGCGTGCCCTTCAGCTGCGAGAGATTGAGAGCAGCGGAAGCCGTCGGCCGCTGCTACCGCTGTGGTCGGTACGCCCACCACCGCCTTGAGCAGTGCCGCAGCGAGGTGAGGTGCCGATTGTGCGGGCGTCCCCACATGCATTGGATCCACCCCCACCCGACCGTTGGACGATTTTGTTAATTGTTTTCGTTCATTTATTGTATGATAAATGGTTGTTGATAACAGTGCTTAAATTGGAGTCTAGAGGAGTTGAGATCTCCTGAGTTACCTAAAACGCCGAGGGCGGATTGAGATATCGTGAATTTAGGAAGACTCATGACACCAATCAATGACACGCCTAAAAGGCGTACGAGAAGCGCGGGAGGCAGCGGGCCGTTGCGCAAGCGTGCTTCCACAGGAAGTTCGAGTGACAAGGTCGAGGGGCAAGTGGCAGCCGACGATAGCAGCGTGGCGAAGCCGAGTAGTGCAGGGGGCCAGCTTGGGCCGACCATTCCCAAGAAGTCTAAGAGCGGAGAGTTTGTTACTAAAGCTCTACTCGAGACTACTGGAGAAATGTGGGAGGAGAGGGTGGACAAGCGATGCCAGGAGCGCGCCAAGAGGTAAGCGAGAGATAGAATCCGCAAGCTCCTCGATCCGTCTCTCCAACGCCCGCTGAGCAGAAGTGACCACCATTCGGGTGGTCTCCTCGCCCAAGCGCCAATTCTCCGTATGCCTTAACACCTCTATAGTTACTCACGGATTCTATCTCTCGCTTACCTCTTGGCGCGCTCCTGGCATCGCTTGTCGACCCTCTCCTCCCACATTTCTCCAGTAATCTCGAGTAGAGCTTTAGTAACAAACTCTCCGCTCTTAGACTTCTTGGGAATGGTCGGCCCAAGCTGGCCCCCTGCACTACTCGGCTTCGCCACGCTGCTATCGTCGGCTGCCACTTGCCCCTCGACCTTGTCACTCGAACTTCCCGTGGAAGCACGCTTGCGCAACGGCCCGCTGCCTCCCGCGCTTCTCGTACGCCTTTTAGGCGTGTCATTGATTGGTGTCATGAGTCTTCCTAAATTCTCGATATCTCAATCCGCCCACGGCGTTTTAGGTAACTCAGGAGAACTCAACTCCTCTAGACTCCAATTTAAGCACTGTTATCAACAACCATTTATCTTACAATAAATGAACGAAAACAATTAACAAAATCGTCCAACGGTCGGGTGGGGGTGGATCCAATGCATGTGGGGACGCCCGCACAATCGGCACCTCACCTCGCTGCGGCACTGCTCAAGGCGGTGGTGGGCGTACCGACCACAGCGGTAGCAGCGGCCGACGGCTTCCGCTGCTCTCAATCTCTCGCAGCTGAAGGGCACGCGATCGCACGCCAACGAAGGGTGGGCTGCCGAGAAGCAGAACAAGCACCTCGGTGCTTCCAACCCTTCGCGCCCGCGACGATCCTCCTCCGCCGCCGTCCACCGCGCTGCCACCTGCCTTCGCCATCCCACCTCCTCGCGGCTGCCGCACCCATGGCCGCACTCTCGAGCGTGGTCCTCCGGCTCCTCAGCCTCCGGCTCGACCAGCTCTTCCGGTTCCTCCGGCTCCTCAGCCTCCGGCTCGACCATCTCTTCCGGTTCCTCCGGCTCCTCAGCTCGCTCCCGACCACGGTCGGCCTCCGCCTCGGCGAGCCTCCTGACGAGAAGCTCGCCGATCTCCGCAAACAAGGCATTGCGGTTCGGGTGCTCATCGAGCGCTCTTAGGAGCTCCTGGATGCTCCCGCCTGAAACCTCTTTCTCATCAATAGCCTCCATTGATTATACCACTACTACTATTCCTACTATTCCTATCCCCCTCGAGCATTTTCTTGCACACGGTCGATGCACCATTTGAAAATTCTGGGCCCCGCCCAGAATTCAACGTCCCCGAAGGAACAAATTTTCGTGTAGCAAGAAACGAAGTTATCAGTCAGAAGCTCTCCATCGCCGCCCAAATGGACGGCTAGAGCCTTCTGTCATCACTTAACTCCGGCCCTTCGCAAGGGCAATGCTCCCGACTCCCCTCCTACGGCCGCGCCGTCTTAATGGGAAAAGAAAACCCCCCAATACCTCCCACGCGGCCGCGCCGCCAATTCGGGGAACTCTACCAAAGTTATACTACATACCTGGGAGGTTCTCTTCCCCTTGAATCGCGACTCTCCTTCCTCCGCGAGATCGCTCCATAATCCGCAATCAGAAAAAAATTTGAATCCCGTTAAAAAACAAAAGCCAAAAAAACGTTTTTTAAAAACCTCCTAACGCCGCCGTTAGGTTACTGTCGCCCCGCGCCGCGAGAAATCCAAGCGGCATTAATGTGCCGGCCTTTAACTTCTCCCCTGCGCCTCCTTTGCGCCCGTTGTCTTTCCCTCAGCGCGCGTTATCTCTACCCTTTGGCGCGCGCTCTCTCCGTTCACACACTCTCTCTCCGCGAGAGATATTATCGATTTCCCTCATTTTTTTTTTTGAAAATAATTTGAATTAAACCTAAAATTATTTCAACTATAATTAATTTAAATCCAATTTTAAAAGAATATATCGCAAAAATTCGTTAAAGATAGGAAAAAAAATAAGTTAATTTTTAAAATATCCAATTATTAAAAATGCCACAGTTAAGCGAATGTTTCAATAAAAAAGCTGCACCTTTAAGCTGTCGGCCGTATTATTTTTACATCATTTTTTCTTTTCTTTAACGTTTTTAACAATTTTTTGCGAGATATTCTTTTAAAATTGTATTTAATTTAATTATAGTTGTATTTTAAGTGTATATTTTTGTAAACTAGTGGTTATTTAGGACTGAAAATTAATAAATGACTAATATTTTCCCACTTTTTAGGATTGTTTTATTTTTCGTATATTTTCTGAAATTTTAAAACTTTTGAATTCAGACCCCTTAAGACCCCTCCCCCATATAACACTGACAATTTCTAGGAAAATTTACGGTATTGGCCAAAAGAACATAATTAAATACTCAAGTCAAAAATTTGAGTCAATTAACATTGACCGGTAATAAGAAAATAAAAATGGAGGTTAAAATCTGGGGGTGGAAATTAGTGGGTGGTAGAAAAATAAAAATAGGGGTTAAATTGTGGGGGTTGAAAATTGGGGGTTGATGGCAATGGGACAGACGCTCGGCAAATTCATCGGGTTTTTTTCGCATTCAGGGGAACAATGACAAAGTTTGGGAAAAACAGTGGCGATAAATTAAATAAATTTGTTGTCTTTTTTACTGTGAAAAAGTGTAACCTGCGTGTTTCGCCAAAACTGAGGAAAACCACCGATGAGCCTACCCAGCGGATTTAATTGTATCACTGTTGCGAAATAAGGCGGTGCAACAATTCGTCGCGGTAATCACACAGACAAGCGCACACCACACACACACACACACACAAACACAAACCTACGTCCTCAATATTTAATCACTTTCTCGCCACTCTTCAATTTGCTAATGTTATTATTTTAAGGAAGAATTCGGTCTTCGATTGACTGGGTTTATGCATCGAGGCGATGATGATGACAAGAGAAATCGACCATCATCGGTACGATCTTAAAGATTTATACGAAACTGTTAAAGAATGACAATTATTCAGGAGAATATTCCGTTATCTGAGCGGCAAACATCATCAAAATCTGTTTTAACAAGAGAGCAATCAAAGTAGGTCATTTTATTGATAGGCCATTATTCAACTTTGAAATGTACTTGATGTTAAAAATGTTATTTCGAAATAATACTGATGAATGAATTGTGCACATACGTATTTTTTTCAGAATAATAAAACCTGTACTATCTTTTGTTGGTATCAGTGGAAGTTTTGATGGCGACGATAATGAAAAATTAAAATGGGATAAAAAACGACTACGGCGATTAGCTTCAAAATACAAATTGAATAATGAAAAAGCTGAACAACTTGGTGAGGTTACCTTAATACGTAGATATTTTATTTAATATTTTTTGTGCAGCTAATGAGGTGAGTCAGAGTTTTCAACATCAGATTCGAATTACAACACCTACATTAGAAAATGGTGAAACAACGGTAAATAATTGGAATATTTAAGAGAATATTTATTTTAATTATTTTTAGCGGCCCGCTCCTGTCACTCATATGTTCGTTGGGCCAAGTTCGTCAACACAAGATTCATCGTCTACAATTCATCATGTAAATTATTAAAATTAAGTTGTTATGCATCAATATGAAATTTATTGAACAGGATTTAAATCGAATTGTTCGGCCATCAGTGAGTGGAAATGATAAGAAGGAATCGGTACCAAGCGTAGTATTAAATTCATTGGCAACATTTGTTAAAACGTGAGTAATGGAATTTTATTTTGCTCTGGTATTTCAATCGCAAAAAAACGAGCACCTCGCTCCGAATACGATGGCTCACAAAAGTTCAGGGGTGCTCTTTTTTAATAACTCGTTTCAAATACAAATTTCTTGTTTTACAATCGAATACACGGACATACGGGTGAATTCGAATTGAATTCCAAATTTCTTTCGAACAAGACAAATTACTAGTTTAACCAGTTCATTTTGAAGCCCAAATTCATCGTATTCTATTCGAAGAGAATATCCAATGATTTCTAACTTTTATTATTCACAGAGGTTCATTTATCGACAAAAAGAAATTGAAAAAGCAAGTTTCGATAGCTTCGAAATTTTCATTCGATCGCGATGTTCTTTCAGTCACCCAAGTAGGTAATATTTCTTTTTGTTTTTTTTTGTCTTAACCATTGATCTCAGATGACGAAGAAGAAGAAGACGCTGAAAGAGCTCGAGCAAAGGAGTACCCTTTTATGGATGACTCGCCTCCGATACCGTCGTTTGTTCCAAAGAACTATTCGATTTCTGAGATTCCGGAAGAAAGCACATTTGAAGTTGAAATCGCCGAAAAAGAGGATAGCGATGGTGAAATTGGTAGGAAATTGATTTATTATTTTTTTTTAAATGCTATTCGATTATTTTAGATATATCTTCTTATTCCCGAATGACGGCTCCTGTTCGCAAAAAATCAAGTGTCCAAGAGCCTTTGAAACAACATCATAGAATCAAAGAGGTCATGGAAAGACCAACTGCTCTAAGCGAAGGGACACGCCCAATTGTGGTTATATTTAATTTTTTGTATGGTTAAATTGCATGTTTTTCAGTCTCAATCCACTTCACAGCGAAAGTTATCGTCGCGTTTGAGTAAGACATCAAAACATAAAACATCAGCTACGGTATGAAAAATGAATCCCTCGGTTTATTCGGATATTAATTTTTAGGATGATTTTGTCGATTTACTGGCTTCGAAATCTGAATCGGTTGATGGGAAAAAGAATATGGAAGAAATTCGAGCTCCTGCGACCCCATGGAGTAGCCAAAAATTGCGAAGACCCATGAAACCTGTATTAAAAATTATTCAGCTCTATTTAAACTCTTAATTTTAGCTTCAACTTCAAAAGTCACTATCTATTAAAGACGATGTCTTCTATGATTTGGAGGATGTTTTGAATATTTCACTACCTGTAGTTGAAGAATATCAACCTGAAGCTTCCATAACTTGTGGCTATCGTCAGCAATCGAAAATCACAAGGATAGGTATTTCGAATATTCAATTTTTTTCACTGTGACATTTTTTATTGAAGATGTTGGGGATTCCACCATAAACGATCCCGTAAGAACCGAGCTTGGACCAAAAATCTCGGTGGCATCTCATAGTAGTCGGTTGCCAGATAGGCCGGCACCATTTTTAGTAATTTTTTTTGTGTTTGTTTTCATATAATCAATGTTTATTTTGAAGCGAGATATGATGGAAGGAGAATTGTGTGATGATATGGAACAACGACGTGCAGAAGAACGGCGGAATAAACTGGCACGTGCTCTCGAAAAGGCTTCTGCGGTAATTTTTCTTATGTTCGAAGAAGAATAGAACGCTTCTAGAAAGTGTCTCAATCGACAAACAAACGTCGACAACGAGGAATCGGATGTTCGGGAAAAATGCTCAAAATAAGTTTCGAGAAAAACGCGCTCGATCAGTTGGAGCCATCAATTAGAGAAGTTATCGAACAAGGATCCGATGAGAGGTAGGGTTCATTCTTAATTTAAAGAGGTCAGAACCGAAATAAACCTGATTATTCAGAATCTGGTTTACAACGTGGGTATCGACGATTCAAATCATTGTGTATATTTTCTCGTTGTTCCTCTACGAAGTTGCACCGATGATGGAAAACGAATATAAAAAAGAAGTTAGATATTGAATTAATTGCTATTATTTCTTTTGTTAACTTTGGAGTTTAGGTCTGGGATACTTCAGCAACAATTCGAAGAGTAAGCTATATGGAGCAAGGAAATATTTGGATCGGACCGAGATATGTTAGTTTAATTAATTTTTATTTATTTATTGTTAACTAGAAGAGATCTTCTTGATATGACCCTTTTAAATTTCTTGCACACTGGTCAATTTTCCTCAAACTTGAGTAATAAAACTTGGATAATTAAGGTTGAATTACCCAAGTTTGAGGTAAATTTACCTTCCCTGATGATGATCTAAAGATCGAAACGTCGGATAAAACATTTAAACAGTGTGCAAGACATTTAAAAGGATCATATCAAGAAGACTCTTCTACTTAACATTAATCCACACGATGCACTCCAAACAAGTCGCTCCACAACTAACAAAACTAATTTATTTATTTATTAATATTAGGTTTTTAGGCTGATCTTGTACATCTTGGTGCAAAATATTCGCCATGTATGAGAAAAGAAAAAGGATTGTGGAATGTGATAGAAGAGGTTCGACTAGGTTTCGAACAAATTCTTATAGAAATAATTGTAGGATAAAAGAAAAGAAGATCTGACGGGATGTTGTATTGCTAACGATGGTAGTTGCTATCAGGCTAGTGAGAAAGTGTGTCCTGTAAGAAACATCTTGTTATTTTAACTATTACATTCTTACTTAAGAAAGAAATTGCTCGGTGGGCTGGTCGTTCTACGAGAAACCCTGAGAAGGTTTTGAGAAAATCGAAGTCGGAGAGTGATTTGTTAAAAAATTCGAATTTGATACCACCAGGACGGCGAGATCTTTTGTGGAGTCATGACAATAATGATGTGACATTTGTTTGTGGCCAAGATCCACGGTAATAATGCGGAATTCGTCGAAATCAAGTCCTGACGCTTATTTAGGTTTTGCGATTTTCCGCGATCAATTGAACCTCATGTTTGGTCGAAAAATATATCAGATTGGCCGGTAATAATTTATGTGGATTAAGTTATGACTAGTCGAATATTTAGATTTGTACTAAACCTCATGATCGTAGTCTTCCACCGCATATGACATGTGAAATAAGTGGTCGACCATGTTGCATACAACTTCAAGGCCTTTGCCGTATTACAACTAAAGAATATTGCGATTTTGTGAATGGATATTGGCATCAAAATGCGACACTTTGTGGCCAGGCAATTTGATTTAATTGTGTTTTGTAAAATTTTTTTCATTTAGGTAAACTGTTTTAATGATGTTTGTGGAATGTTACCATTTTTTGGAAAATATCCTGACCAATTTTATCGATTGTTCTTTAGTTTGTTCATTCATGGAGGGTAAGTTACTTTTATTTTCCTAAAAAATTCCGTTTATTTAGACTTATTCATTTATTCTTGACACTCATGTTTCAAATTTATTTCATGCGGGATTTAGAACAACTAATTGGTTCGACGCGAATGGCGATAGTATATATTGCATCAGGTGTTGGAGGGAATCTTGTATCAGCCATTCTTGTTCCATACAGCGTAACATCCTTCAGTTGTGCGGTTTTTTATTGTAGAAAGCCCAATTTTTCAGCCTTCTGTTGGACCATTTGGTTCACATTTCGGAATACTTGCTGCATTTTTTATCGATATTTATCATCATCGCCAAATTATAGAAAATTCACGTTTAGCGTGCACGAAATACGCTATTATTGTGGTCGTTTTGTTCTTCTGCGGTCTTTTTCCGTGGGTTGATAATTGGACGCATATTGCCGGTTTTTGGTTTGGTTTTCATGCAACCATTGGTATATACTTGAGGTTTTCTTTCTAAAATTCTCATTTTTCAGTTGTATTTCCATACCTAGATTTTTCTAACAACAGTAATTCCAAAGGTAAACGACAATTCATAAAACCCGTTTAAATACATTTTTTTTTCAGGGAAAACACACCAATATAGAAATGTGGCACCAGGCGCAATCAGTTCCCCAATAAGCACTGTTGCTTTTGCTGAATCGCCAAATGTCATTTCTAGTCCTTATATGTTTGTAAATATCATTTAAAAAAAACTACTTATCATTGTGTTTTTAGCGATCTTCCTAATGGATTTCCCGAAAACAGTAGTCTCTTTGGAAGTTTAGGATTAGCGTTCGAAAATTTACGCACATTTGCCATGCAATTTTTTCACAAAAGAAAGGTATCACGGCTTTTTGATTTTTCTTAATCAGATACTGTTTCAGTTCTACGTATACATGTGTTTAATATTAGAAATTGTTTCGTTCTTGCTTTTTGGCTTTATTTACTTTAATAATATTGAGGTAAGAAATGCTCTATTTTTTGCCGCAATTTTGATTATTTATATTTCAGTTGAATTGCCCGTTTTGTATTTACCTCAACTGTCCATTGACGTCGTTGAATTCTTGTGAGAATCAAGGTCAAAAACTTAAAAAGTGGCTCCCAATCTAATCATTCTTTCTACTTTATATTTTTACTGATACTTTAAAGCTTTTATTGATCTTCAACTCACGTGTTATATCACTTGTGCTCATTAACTTAACTGTGATTTTGTATGGCCAGTAAAACCGTTTTATAATCTGCCAAATTGCTTTCATAAAGCGTTGATAGTAACCTATATATTGGCCCCATATAAGAAATTTGGAGAGATCTTCACATGAATGAATGACAATGATGAAATAAAAGTTGATAAATGTTTTCATTTCCTGTCTCCAACAAAACAACCTCGGGGCACAAACTCGCCTTGAAATATCACATATGAGTTTATACCAGTGTTGCGCCACTATAAGGACCTCGATTAGTCCGTGAACGGAATCCGGCGTCGCGCGATTTTGAGACACTTAAGAAAAGGTCTTGACTGTCGGTGCGTGAATTTAAGCGGAGTTGTCACAATGTGACCGGCCCAGACCGTACAATCCCTATGGCTCTGCGTTGTATTTCAAATCTTAACAATAGAAATTTAATTGTAAACAACTGCGGACATTTTCGGCGATGCACAAGCGTGGTGGCGGCAATTCAAACACGAGGTGCCCTGTTTTTTGGAAACGTGACTTAAACCCATCCTTCTCTTTAAAAAATCGTTCACACTTATATTTGCGACAACACCTTATTTAGTCACTTTTTCACAGTCGCGCGACGCCGACAATAAATTTATAATGAATTACGAATTCGCCCATTAACTTCGCGGCTTCGTGCCGATTTGCGCAAACCAAGGCGAATTCACTTTTTTTTAATCATTTCCGACTACTGGGTGCTACAAAAATTATCCCGCGCAAGACCATAGTGAAAAGTTTTGCATAACACATAACCATTTCAGAAACGAGCGTCCTATGTCTTCGCAGGTTAACCATAGTACGGAACTCGAATTCCCAAAAAGTTACATTCAAATTTGTATCAGCGCCCCGAAAAGATAAAAAGGTCCACAATTTTTCAAGCTGCTCGTTTTAATTTGAGATGGTATAGTGCTTCGGGAAACAAAAAAATAAATTTTGGAAAAATAAATTGCAATTTTTCACCGAGTCCTTTTGTTTGAACAACTGTTAGTTGAGTAGTTGAACAGAACTAATTTGCAAGTTGACATCGAATAGTTTTTCATGGACATCTTCGTGATCAGAGAATAACCAAATGCACTTCGTTTGTGTTCTGGTCGTTCATCTTGTCACATGAATACTTTCAATTTACTTCCGTGAGTACTGCGCTCACTATAGTCAAATACTTTGGAAATTCAATCTGGATTTGCCTTAAAACGAGATTGTCTGCAGTCTTCAATAGGTGATCGAGTGAAGAAAAAACGTTCGATACATCTTAGCTAATCGGCATATAAAAATTGAAAAGGTTTTTTAGTGGAATCCATTTATCTGTTCTCAAAATACGCATTCTTTTACTAGTGGTTCCTCACTTTGCTGAAATACGAACATCTAGCCAACGAACCAAACTGATAACACCTTAAAATTTCAAGGACACCTTTCGGAATTTTGGTGAAATGCTAATTGACGTAGACGATAGTGGCTATATAAATCAACCGAAATCATCTACAGTATAATATTGAGAACAATGCTCGTGCTCGGCTTGCTTCACATGCTTCTGGCCACTCTCTCCCAAGCATCCGTCCTACCGGAACAAGTTCATATAAGTCTTAGCGGAAAACCTGATGAGATGATAATAACATGGCTAACCCTTGAAAAGTGTAAGTTTGAATTAAAATGTGTATTTGAAAATCAACGAGTTGTTCAGTATCAAAGAATTACCCATTTGTCTCATATGGCACAAATCCGGGACAATTAATCATGACTGCGAAAGCAACAACAACCGAATGGAAGCATAAGATTAAACGATATACTCACAGAACAACTCTGAAACATCTCGAGCCTGGAGTCAAATATTGTATTAATAAAATAGAATGAGATAGTAGTTGATTTGTTTGATTTCAGATTATAATGTGGGCAGCTCAGAAGGCGTCTCGAATGTGTTTTGGTTCACACAACCCGATCAGTACAAGCCTTTAAGAGCTGCCGTATTCGGCGATCTTTCTGTACTGAATGGGTACTCAATTGAACCTCTCATTGCTGCGACTCACAACAATGAAATCGATATCGCTATCCATATTGGTTTTTTTAAAGGAATCGATTTTTTGAAAATTCAATTGTTGCAGGTGATATTGCTTATAATCTTCACACAAATAATGGAACACTCGGTGATGAATACATGAAAACAATTGAGCCAATCGCAGCTTATATTCCATATATGGTGTTTCCGGGAAATCACGAAACAAAGAAAGATTTCATTGAAATTATCAACCGATTCACAATGCCCAAAAATGGAGTTTATGACAATAATTTGTTTTGGAGTTTTGATTACGGTAACACTCATTTCGTGGGTCTCAACTCGGAATATTACGCCGAACAATTGGAAGACGAAGCGAATGCTCAATATAAATGGTTGAAAAACGATTTGGAAAAGGTATTCCATTCGAATTATCAATTTTAAAATGAATATTGAACTTAGAATAAATCAAGATGGACTATCGTAATGCTCCATCGTCCGATGTATTGTTCCAGTGAGACGGAAGATGGATGCAATGATCCGCAAGACACCCTGGTAAGAATTCGCACAGTAATTATTAAACAGCCTTCTTGATTGCTACAGGCACGTGATGGAGACAAACATTTTCCTGGACTCGAGAAGTTGCTCAATGAGCATCATGTTGACATGATTTTATACGGACACAAGCATACGTATGAAAGGTTTGAATACAATGGAAATTCGAGAAAAACAAGCTCGAATTTAGAATGTGGCCGATTTACAAAGGAACTGCTTTCAAATCGGAGAATCCGAATCATATTAGAAATCCTTCAGCCCCAGTTTTCATATTGACAGGATCAGCGGTACAATATTTATCCTTTTTTTTAAATTTAAATTTTCATTGATCATTTCTCAGGGTTGTCATTCTCATTCCGGACCACAAGATTCGATTCCTCAAGATTTTTCGATTACACGGCTCGGAAACTACGGTTATTCGCTGCTTCAAATTCATAATTCAACACATATTAGTACGCAATTCGTGGATACATCGGAGAATATCGGAAAACATCTCGATGAGTTTTATCTTGAAAAAAATTAAAATCGAAATGTTAAATTTGTAAATAATTATTTATTTATTTATTATTAAATACGGGTATAAACTATTTCGGATTGTGTTGGTTTCGATATCGGCGTACAAATATTATCAAGTTGATTGTTGAAAATGAACGAATTCTAGTCAAAACCTTGCACTGAAAATAATGTCTGTCATTCGTTCTCAAATTACTCATCGAGCTCTCGTCTAGTGCATTTGATTTCCTATCGATTCGGCTAAAACATCCAAACTTGGTTGTTTGAATTTGTTACCTTATTGAGACGGTCGGAAAAATAAAAACGGTGCTCTTAATCTATAAGTATTTTTATGGGAAAAACTTTTAGAATTATTATCAAATTATTATTTGAATTCCTTTTAAGTAGTCGGTTTTTGGTCTATTTGACATGAAAATGACGTTAATGAAAATTTATTCGGACATATTTGTCTTCGGCATTTGAATTGTAACTGATAACACAGAGTGGTCTTTGTGACGTTCTTATATCATACCGAGAATATGCTATTTTCTATTCTATTGGTTCTCGCCACGATTTCGGAAGCTGTGGTTCAGCCGAAACAAGTGCATTTGAGTCTCAACGGACATGCTCATCAGATGGTTGTCACATGGCATACTAATGAGCAAGGTTATTTCCTTTTCACTAATTTGATCTGGAATTTTTCGTATGTAGCTTGTAAAGAAACCCAACACGTTGTTTATGGCACGAACCCTTCGCAACTCGGCATGACAGCGAAAGCGTCGATGACCGAATGGAAGGGAGGACTCAAGAGATACACGTTTCGAGCAACTCTGACAGATCTCGAAAAGGGCTGCAAATATTGTAGTCAACCGGAAACTGGCAGTTTTCTCACAAATTTCACATTTTCAGATTACAAAGTTGGAAGTTCCGAAGGATTTTCTGACATTTTCTTTTTCACACAGCCTGACGGCAATAAACCACTTCGAGCCGCCATTTTTGGAGATTTATCGATATACAAAGGCTATTCCATCAAACCTTTGATTTATGGAACCCAAAAAAATCAATTTGATGTTGTATTCCATATAGGTGATTCTTGATATACACAAAATAATTAATGGATTTTAATGTTAAACAATTTTAGGAGATATTGCTTATGATCTCCACGACGATGATGGAAAAGTTGGAGACGAATTCATGGAAGCCATTGAGCCGATTGCAGCTCATGTTCCTTATATGGTCTTGCCAGGAAATCATGAGACGAGATACGAATATTCTCATATTATTAATCGTTACACAATGCCAAAAAATGGAGTATATGATAACAATTTGTTCTGGAGTTTGAATTATGGAAACACTCATATAATTGCTCTAAATACTGAATATTATGCTGAAGGAAAGGAAAAGGAAGCGAAAGCACAATATGAGTGGCTCAAAAAGGATTTGGAAAACGTTTTTTTCAGTTTTTAAAAATTGCATTTAATGTAAAATATTGCAGATGAAAGCAAAATGGACAATTGTACTGGTGCATCGGCCACTTTACTGTTCGACTCAGAGCAAACATGGATGCGATGATCCACAAGATACATTGGTAGAAACAGTAGTCAGAACTGCCTCTTAAAAAATAATTGAAGCCAAGAAAAGGAAACGCACTGTTCCCAGGAATCGAGAAATTACTCTACGATCATCATGTTGATTTGGTATTTTATGGACACAAACACACATATGAACGGTTCGATGCAAAGCAGAATTCATATTTTAATAAAATTTGAAAAATGTTTCAGAATGTGGCCCATGTACAATGGAGATCCTCATATTTCGAACAATCCGAATCATATTATAAATCCAAAAGCGCCAGCTTATATACTTGTCGGATCTGCGGTAAATCCAGCCAATCTGATCTTAAATATTTCTGGAATTGTTTCAGGGTTGTCATACTCATTTAGGACCTCAAGACTCGATTCCTCAACCATTTTCAATTACAAGACTTGGCAATTACGGCTATACCGTTATTCAAGTCTTCAATTCAACACACTTACGAACGCATTTCGTCGATGCTTCCGATGATATCGGCAATAGAATGGATCGGTTTTATATTGAAAAGCATTATTAAGCTTGTCAATTATTTGGCTCTTCGAATTTAATTTGCGAGGTTCTTGATGGTTGCCGTTTGATATCCTTCTCTCCATTCAGCCAATACGTCAAGCATGGTCCCTTTCCCTTTAATTTGTATATGTGAGCTCTATTCAATTTTCTGTTATTTTTGTTACCTTCACATCCACCATTCCCCGTTCTTCGAGAATAAACGACGGAAATTTCTCTTTGAGCGTATTTCCAGTCAGCTCATTTATCTAAATTTCGGCGTATTTCGCTTCGGACCCAATAGATGGAAACTACTTGAATTTTTCCGGGCAGACTAGTGCTAGCCATTCGGCAGCACATGTTGACGGTATCTCCGAATATGCAGAACCTTGGAGCAATACTTCCAAGAATTCCGGCTGCAACCGCTCCCGTCGTAACGCCCATTTTGACGTCGAGTTTATGATTCGGACGGTGTCGGACTGTGAATGTTTTCATGAACTGTAATTCAATGGTACAAGTGTTTTCAAATAATGATTTATTTAAGAAGAAAGTACCGTTTGAAGTTTTAGAGAGATTTTGCAAATCTCCCGTAGATGTTTGTGTCCGGGCATTTCCGGAATTCCGCAACAAATCAAATAGGCGTCTCCGACATTTTCCACTTTGAATGCCTTGTTCTTTTGCACAATATAATCGAACGAAGAATACAATTCCTGGAGGGTTTCGAGAATCTGAAATCGACAATCGACGCTGATTCGAGCAAATTTCGACAACCGAATTATCTTACGTGGACGGGGATAAATGCTTCGCAGAATTTTGTAAATTGGCAAATATCAACGACGAGAAGAGTTACTGCTGGATGTTGTTCGGGTGATACAGTGCGTCCGTCTCGAATCGCATCTGCCATCGACCTTCAATTCTTACATGTTCATTCATTTTTAATTTTTCGCAAACTTTGGTAGCAGTTGATAAAGTAAATTCTCGGTTTTCGACATTTGATTCTCCAAATCCATTGTTCTCTCAGCCACAATCTGTTCCATATTTGCCGAATACTCATCAATCATCTCAATCATTTGATCAATTAAACTACCTTTTGCTCTGAATCATTTCGCTGGTTCTTTTTTTTTGGCACGAATTCACATACTCTTGCCCGAATTCTCGGTTCACAGCATCCATTATTTTAACAAGAGTTGGTCTCGCCGATGGTTTATGAAGCCAACACTTGAATCAAACGAGAATTAGTTTAATCATTTATTTTTTTTGATCTACCTGTTGCATTATCGACAATAACCGCATTGTAAAACTAGCACCTTCGGGAACAGAAGGATGAATAATAGACGATGGCGTCTTATTGATTAATTGAGCAATTTCTAAGAAAAATATGTAGTTGGGTGTGATTTTTTTCGAAATTTGATACCATTTATAGATTCTTGTCTTTCTGCAAATGGCCTCATATAAAAGAGTATCTGATAAATGCACATGGCTAATTGATAAATATCGCCAATTTGAGACCCAATTGGCTCTTCGTGTTTTTCGAGAAGCTCGGCCAAGTGTTCTGGAGCCAATTGTAGATATTCTGAATTTGTCTCAGAAATTTATGTCCTTTTAGTGAGAATCATACTGAAATGAATCGCTTCGACGTCAAAGTTATTCAGATAAACGAGTTCCTTGTGCAAAAACTTCTCATGAAAGACACTGCGAATTCCGAAGTCTGTGAGCTTCACAACCCAATATGAGTCGACGACACAATTTGATAAATAAAGAGCGCCATGGAATTTGATCGAACTATTATGAATATAATTGAGACCCTTAGCATCAAGCATAATGAGAAATGCAATTAAAAAAAATAATCATACAGAAATAATGTGTTTAAGGAATGTCGATTGGAAATTTCTTCCAAATTTTTGCTCTTTTCCAAAAATGAGGTCCTCAAGAGAAAGTCTGGCGGCAAATGCCCAAAGAACTAACAACTCGCTTCCCTGGTTGAAACAGATCCCGCTAAAAGTATTGATATTCGAGTGCGAAAGAAATTTGAGTTCATTGAGCATTTCCATTTCACATCGCGAGAATGTGATAGCTCGTCTTTGAATGAACCGCTTAATTTTCACCTAAAGTTTTTGAAAGGAAATTCCTCAAAATGGGAATTAGAACAACCTTTTGTTTATTGAGCATCGCCTGCTCACAATACGATAGTGTCAGAATGGAAGAATGCGAGATTCGCTGAGTTGAATTCGACATTCGGCGATTCATCGAAACCATCTGAATCAATTCAAATTGTGTCTGCGAATCTCGACACACCTGACTGTGGTTCCCTTCATTGAAGTTCAACGATTCTAATGGAACTCGCCAAGGCATTTTTTGAATCAGATGCTCTTTCCTTTGAAGGTATAAAGCAATTGCGAGTGGAATGAGAAGTATTGTAAAGACAATTGCAGCAATAATGAATACATGGCTATCACTGCATAATGAATTATCATAGCCGCATTCCGAATAATACGGAGGCAATTCATCCAAAAGATGACCATTGTGCATTCTCGAAAATTCCTGAATTTCCACTTTTCAATATAATGATTGAGAAATTTTACATAGCAATTGCTTATATTCGTTTCGCACAACTGGATTTGCTTGGGTCTCGCAACGGCAACCATATGAACTTGTTTATTCCTCCAGAAGAACATTTCGTAGTACGGACGTCTGTATTCAGAAGTTTGATCGAATAATGAGAATTATTACCTTATTCCGTCATATCCAATAAACATGGGACCCGTATATCCTAAAAGAGTCAAAAGAGAGCTATGGTTATAAACCTGCGATTAAAAGGCACCTGATACTTCGGTATTTGTCATATGAGCCCATAAACTGGGCAGCTCCTCAATTGTAGAATCGTTCTCGTTTCTCACATATCCCGAAAGAAGCTGAAGTCCGTCGCAAAGAATAAGAGCCTTGTAAAGAGTATGACCCGACTGGAAATTCTCAATATTGAATATTTCAGATGTTGCCTTCTTACAGGAATGTGGTACTTCGTGGCAAACTTATTCACATTTGTCATATTTTCATGGATATTTCGAACCTTCAAAAACATTCATTTGTTTCTTGGGAAAATCGGGCAGAGTTCACGCAGATCTTCAGCAGAAGTCGGCTGAAGGTCGACGCAAACTTTGCGCGAATTCGAATTGACAAACTAATGCAATATGTGTATGCATTTTTCGCAATCGAGAAGCCTCAATTTCATTCGTATCGATTGATGCTTGATGATCAAGAAATCTGAAGAATTCTTCAGGAGGTCTTCTGAATACAAAACGGTTTCGAAGCAACACCAATGAATCGCTCACATTCCGTCGTCAATTTGTATAATTGAATATTCTAGTGGTCTGACAGCTTTATCTCGAAGTGTCTCAACAAACTGTGCGAGATGTTTGTATTTCATGAAGGAAATCAGCACCCGTGCTTCGTTTATGATCGGATATGTGTTGATATATCCGTCGGTTTCGAGGAATACATTGATATTGATATCGTGTTTGCTGGCAATATTGTCATATATTGCATGCGCATTATATTTCGTCTCTTCTGAATACAAAATTCCTATCTGAATCAGTTGGAGATTTTCAGAATTCTGCCTAAAATAACCAACTTCTCGCCAGCCCATTGCTCGACACATTCCAATGATCATTTCAGCATTTCCGGCGACACTATGCGCCTTTAAGGCGATCGTCGTTTCTTCTTTTTCTTTTGTGCTCAATGGAGCCGATGACAAATAGATTTTATGCCATCGAAGCGCTAGTCGCGACACCGTTTCGGTTTCTAAAAAAAAAGCCGGGCAATTGTATTATGTGTCTGAATCCTAGTTGAAACCTTCGTCGCAAGATGCTCCAATTAGCAAATCGACTTTATAGTGATAATTCAAATTAGCCGCATTTTCGAGACCGTTGAAGTTGTTGCAAGCATCTAATGAGATCAACCTAAACTAGATTCACCGTTTAATGGTCCGAATAATAAAATCTGCTCGAGTAGACATAATTGATGAAGAATCAAACAAACCGGTGTTCGGTACGCGGTCCAAGACAGATTTGCAATATTTTGCTCTCGTTGGAATTCACAAATTCCAAATGTCCGATGGTAAACGAATCACTGTATGAGATGAACGTGAGAATGCAGAAAATGGAGTAGACGAGCCACATTCCATCCAAGAATGTCACGTCAAATCCGATGGGGCGCTTGCAACGAATCGCATAAATAATCGAGCAAGGTCTCGACACGCAACTTGGAGTTTGAATTATTTATTTAACATATTAATGGGTGGTCAAACAACTTGCCAAAAAAAGATAATTTAGGAAAATATATGTACACATCTGTTCGGTAAATTTGGAGAGAATCGCAAAAAAAAAGAAACCAATCAAAACAATTAAAATAAAAAATTGAGATCAAGAAGCATCGGTGAGAAGGGAATTGAATGAACGCGGGAGATTTCAACTTAAGAAATGTGTTTCTTTTTTGTTTAAATAAAACGTGAATAATGTTACAGACAATGAGAGAAGATGAGAATTGAGTGAAGGTAGGGAATTCCCGCAAGTAGTTCACACCTGGGAGACTGCGGCTACTATGTACACGAGCTAGGCGTCGATCTGAGTCAAGCAGCTGCTCTGTCGATGTACCTCGTCACGATCACGGTATCTGCTGAAAACGAAAACCGAGATTATTCTGAATTTTTTCCGGTGGTTGGTTACTTTTGGAGTCGGTACGCCTGACTTTTGATGGATAACGCACTAGAGACTCCACTGAACTTCTTTTTCGTGGCTCCGCAGTCGCACTGAAACGAATTGATTCAGCAAGTTCGTCTCATTTCGTTGAACAAATCGCGAGCTGCATTCAATGCAAACGAAAACGAAAATCGAAACTAAGTCAACTGAATTGGCACCTACTTTACTCCTAGAGGTGGATCGTTTCCGAAACACATTAGCACCTAAAATATTGGCTGCCTTTTGATTATTCCAATTCGATTTCGAGCAACCATTTCATCAATCGGCCCTTTTTTGGCCATTCGACCAATTTGTTCGAAAATCACTTACCCTTCCGCGCAACAACGATATCAATCGACGTCTGAAGTAGACGGAAGACATGCAAAATAATACGAAATTAGCGACCTAAACTCGTCTATTTTCTCATATTCTACACTTTTTCTTTCACACTTTTCCAGTAATTAGCCATGAGCCCGAAATAGGAATTGCATAGATTTTCACCCAATCCGGATTCGTTCCGAAAACTTCAATGACGAATGGAAGAGTTGAAGGGACCTTACATGAGATATAAGCTTATGATCTTTCTTGTAATTCTCATATTTGACATACGTGCGTGATGAAATAGCATCCGATGATCGCCCACACGGTGAATGTTACTTTGAGGTCTCGCTTCTGGCGAGCATCGAGGTCGCTGAATTTGCGCGATGCTTCGTCATTCCCATTACAATTTCGGAAGACGAGGAACTCGGATTTTCGAAGAACGTTGATAATTTGAAGATTGAGAAGAATGATGCCGATTGTTGGAAGAATTACGCCAATAACGATTTGAAGTATTTTGAAAGTGTTGATGAGCTTCTTTACCCACAAGTCGACATCGACAAGCTGAAATCAAACATTAATTGATCGTTGAATGATTTTCCATGATTCTTTGGTTTCTTCTTATTCATCGTTTTCTCAGAGAAGTACAACAAATGAGTTGCACTTTTATTTGGCAATACCACATTCTAATTATGAAAGTAATTGGATCCAGTGTTCAAATTTTCTGATAAATTAATTAAGAGTATGACTAGCGTTTTGATTGAAATGAATTGTTTGATTCTCTTACTTTACTAATATTAACTGGTGATCCGTAGAGTGTTCCATTGCATATTGTTGTATAGCCATATTTGTATTCGAATACATGGAAAAATGTGAGACAGAATGAGCCGATAACTGAAATAAAATAATAGAGATTAGGGTAGCAATCAATTGGGGAAAACCAATTATGAATATGATCATAAATACTCGAGATGTTCGCCATTGATAGCGAATAAGAATCGGAGATCGAATGCCCATATATCTGAAATTGAATTCGCAATTCTTATCGAGAATTGTCGGTGTACCTTTCGACGGAGACTGCCAAAATTAGCCAAGAAGTGATACACGAGCAGAAATTAAGCAGGAAGATTATCCATGTATGTGACGCAAAAAACATTCGTCTGAATAGCGGCTCAATCCCAGTTGAATTGTTTCAAATGGAAATTCGTACCTAAACCAGTGAGGCATATAAAATGTGCTCCATGCTCCCATCGACATCGGAAGAGAAGCGCATAACATGATAATGTCAGCTATTGCCATCGCAGCTAGAAGTATATTTGCCTGAAAATCGAAACGATCGAATTTGTCGCCCCGATAGATGTCCAAACTTCGTTTCGCATATTTCGACTTGTCAGCACGAACAAATTCAGTATATTTCCGACGACGCCGAGAAGAAATTGAAACGGGAAAATGTATTTGTTGATGAAAAAGTGCAATCCAGGAGGCATCAACGGAAGAAGCGAACAATCCTCGCCGCCGTTTCGATCTCTCTACAAATAAGAGAAAGACGGTTTTCAAACATTTACAAATAATATTCATACATATTGTTGAACCCATCGTGTAACGTCAGCGTTGAGAAGCGTCTCATCGCTCATCCTGAAAATCAGACTCACTCAGCACAATTTTCATAATTTTCATTCTCCAACAGTACAACAATTACCCTCTAATATTATTAGATTTTGCAAGAAATTTCAGAAATCCGATAAAACATTTGGAAATTTGAAACAGGAAAAGTGAAATTCGTCGGCATTTGGATTGATTGTTGAGGCGAAACATTCCACGGTATTCGAGTAATTTGATACGGATTTTGTGGCATTCCAATAAATTTCTTTTTCAATGGAAATTTTCAAAATAAACTACGACTTTTAGTTCGAAACATATTATCAATTCATTATAAAATTTCGTATATCAATTCAGTTTAAATTCTTTTTTATTTATGTTCAAAGCCGGGGGGGGGGGCGGAGCGCTGATTTGGCTGCGTATCAAATATTTAAAAAACTACAGTATACATTAAAGGGACATGCAAAACTTAATTAATTTCGCGCTAAGAATTATAACTGTATTTAGTCTAAAATAGTTGAATTTTTCTTCGACAATAGATTTTTTTTAATATTGAAAAAGGTTTGTTTTATGTTTCAATTTAAACATGATTTTTTATTATTAAATTATTTTAGTTTTTTTTAACTGAAATAATGTGTTGCATGCGATGTTTAGAATAGCATAAAATGAAAGTTTCGAGCGGAAAAAAACTGAAAAAAAAGCGAAAAGTCATCTGAACACAAGAAATGCAATATCTTTCGAGTTTTGTTTCAGTGTTTGTTTTTGGTGTGGCCACCGAAGGAGCACGGATGCGCGATTTTCTTAATTAAATCGCCATAAAATCCAAAGAATGCATGATTGGCTCGTATGAATGCAAATGCAACGAAAGCCTCGTTGGGCTGAGCTCGATTTTGGCTCAATGCTCATTCAATCCGGTTATCGTACCATTTATGTTTTGGGACCAGCGAATAGTCGAAGCGAAGGGTTGTCGAATTGAAATATTCGCAAAGGCTTAATGTGTCCTGTTCGTCACACATTACTAAAACTCGCAAAATCAGATGATAAAAAAGAACAGACAGAGAAACAACTGGAAAATAAAATACGAGGATGATTGGGAGGAATGCAAACGCTTTATAAGGGTCCATTTGTTTTAAAAAAGTTTTTAGAAAAAAGGAAATCAATATCACAATAAATATGAATATATTCTCCGACGGATTCCAAAATACCTAAAAGCATCTGAAAAACAAAACAAAAAAAAACGTAGATGGCCCAATGGATTATTTTGTGCCCAAAAATGAGCATATGTACGTGAATGAATAACGAATGATTAGTCGAATCAGCTTCATGTTACACCAAATTTTTCCGCTAAAAGATTTATTAAGATGCCTTTGGACATGACGATTTGTGAAAAGAAATTCATCAATGATTGAATTTTTTCGAATATTTTCGTCGACAAAAAATGAATGGCATAACGTGTAATTAATCAATGAAAAACATTGAATCGCGAAATTGAAAAGCAAAGAAAAGTGGGTCTCAATGCGAAACAATGTGCCTTTAAATGCTTTCTGAGACCAGAATTCAATTCGCTGGAAATTTTATCATAAAATATCTAAAAATAAAACATTAATGGGCACATCAAGCGGAAACATTTTTTTTTTCAAATTCCAATTCATATGAATCATAGACCTCGTCAATTGAAAGATATCAATATCGACAAAAGAGATTTTCTTGGTGGGACCATCAAGAAAATATTCGAAGCCGTCGCAAATTGTTGCTATTTCACGAAAAAGTCCTTTTTTCGGGGGAGAAGTGAAAAGTTTGGCTCGTAATTACTCAATCTATCAAAACGTTTATTTTTCTGGTGGCAAACTAAAATTTCTCGTTTTTTCCTCATTTGCTCCCTCTATTAAATATCGCAAAATATTCGAAAATTGCGAGAAATATTTTTCGACAACGATGACTCTCTTTCAAACCCATCTCCATGTGTGCTTCTTCTAAGAATTGAATAGATAATTGGAAAAGTCAAATTTGCATTTTGCGCGATTCTCAAAACAATATTGACAAAATAAAATAGTGGGCAGAATAAAAATAATAGCAATAATAATAATAATAATAATAATAAAAGCATAAATGATATCATTAAGTTGAAAGCTGTTTTGACATCAAAATTGGGCCAAATTCGAGTAGTTCTAGACAATTCACTTTGGGGCTTAATTATTATTTTAAAAATAGAAATTGTTTTGTTTTAATTGACCACAAACTACTCGCGTAGCTTTTTAAAATAAATTCGCAAAGGTCAGAAAATTCAATGATGTAAGTGGAAATCGAAAAAATCTGGCGAATTTCGATGGACGAGCAATTAGACACAAGAATCTCGGCGCTCAAAATCACGCAATTTGATCATTCGGCCATATATTGAAGTGAAGAAGCAAAAAAAAGACGAATGAAGTTGGACGGTAAATGTTATTGAAAATGATGCTCAATTATCAATTCTCGACGGAATTCAATGAGTCACCCATTATGGAGACACATAACGCATACTCAACTCAAGTAATAATAACAACTATTCGAATGGTCGTTCAATATCCATAAGGGGAAGAAGATTCCACTAATAGGAAACATTTTGTAATTAGCCAAATTTATAGACAGAACTGCTTATTTTAGTAAAAAAAAAAACACATTTTTGGGATTATTCTCCGAACAAGCATTTCATGTCATCGCAACTCATAATTGAACCTCAAGTTATTTTTAAGCTTATCGCGGATTTCCAAAAAAAAAAACTCAGAGAATCTCAATCAGGAAGGAAAAGAAAAAGCAGACTTCCACGAATAACTCGGAAATGTCAATTTAATTAAAAAAAAAAGCGAAGGGCACTCTTTTGAAAAATGCAACGTTGAACGGAATATTTGAGCATTTCGTCTATTCACAAAAGAACTCAAACTGATGAAGGCATGCGTCGACAGAAACTCAACGAAAGAAACACCAACCGATACCACATTTTGTTTTTGATCTACCGTAATGGGTAGAATTAATTTGAAATTTGTTTTTGTAAATATGAGTAGACAGTGATATTCAAGGGAATAACAACAAATGAGGAGTAGAGGGTTGAGTGTGTGTATCGAGCACGCGCTTTTTGGTTACCGTAGGCGGTGCACGAAAGTCGAGCTCAAAAATGTTCGCGGATGAGACTAATTAGTGCAAAAGACTTGCGTCGATTCCGCCATTATGAATGGATGATTTTGGCAATTAGGAGGACGTCGCCTGATTCATAGATTCGTCGCGAGACACGACCCCGCTGTTTTGCAATCGTTTCCCGAAAATGAAAGTAGACGCGGTAATATGCAGAATGCAGTGAGAGCTTCGAAAAAATAAATAATAAATGCACTTATTCGACGGATCGCGTAACCCAACGAAACATGATGGAATTCTCGAGATGCATCGACGTGAATCACTGCGGTTGAAGTCAATGAAGGCTTCTGGGGCTCTCGTGGCGATGATATTTGAGCATCGCGAGTGTGATCCATGGGTTCCACTCAAATGCAGTGTTCCAGGCGATTGGTCGCCAAGCGGACTCAATTTCCCCCACTTACCTTTTCGTCGAACATTTGAACACTCTGAGATCGATAATTGGATAAAGGACCACTTAATGTTTCGAATTAATACAAATTTCCATTTTTAGACAAATGAGAATTAAAGAAACATCATTTTCATTCATAAACAGAATTCAATTAATATTTGAACGAACGACTTCGAACTCGTAATTATAAGAAGAAATCGGCAATTATTAAGATGTCTGAGGATATCAATCACATTCTCGAAACAAGACTATCATACTGTAACAATTGTTCTCATTTTTGTTGATCTCAATTCAAGTATTTTGATCTCATTAAAATACATTTTGAACTTTGAATTATTTCAGATTGCTCTCATTCAAATAATGGCCAGCATTGCCGTTAATTAACGTAGAAAAAGAGCCCAGAATAATGATGAAATGTGATGAAATTTGCGATTTCTCAAACATTTGGGACCATGAAATAATTCAGTTTTAAATGAAAGAATCTGATTGAATGGAATGACAAATTTGGTCATCGAATCAACGAATAAGAAGAAGGATGGATGGAAGTGAACCCTGTTTTTCCATTTCAGCCATTTTTCATTCAATCTGCTACAGTCAATGGGAAACGAAAAAAAAATCAAGCCAATCTCTATTAAATTTGCAAATTTTACTATTTTTAAGAATCGTATAAAACGATCTCGTGAATCCCTTTTTGTTATTAAATTTAAATTTCTATATGCCACTTTTCCTCAATTTTCTTTCCTTTTTTTCGATTCGTTTGGTAGACGAATTATTTTTTTAAGTGCCAATTTCAGATTGAGAAAAAATGGTTCGAGACTTTTTCGAAAAATTACTTTTTTGTACATACACAAACACAATCCCCTAAAATGGGCAAAACATTTTATTTATGATTATATTCTTTTTTTTTTCATTTCCAAAAATAAAATATTCACATGAAATGGTGCGGATCGTCTACAAGATTTGGAGAAAACCCGAAAATTTCGAACGCGAGCGGTTTTTGGAAAATTCTTGAGAATTTCCTATTTGTGTCGGCAAAAACGCAATATACTTTTAGAAAAAAAAAACCGAAAAAGAGAAACTGTTGAGAATGAAGAACACAAACTTATAAACTCAATGGTCCTTATTCGGATAATATTGTGTTCCCACGGTTAAGCCAAAATTTGCTCGGCAAAAAACACTGAGTTTCACATGACGAAAACTTGAGAAAGTTCATGTCATCACCAAAAAACAAGGGTTTTGAAGAAGATGTACATAATTATGAAATTATATTATTTTCATTGTTTAAATTTTTTTTAGTTACGTCTTCTTCTTCTTCTTCTTCTTCTTCTGTACTTTAGTTTTTCCAAGACATGATCCATATTCGAATTGAATGTCCCATGTTCATATATGGAATTCCGTGAGGGTATCTGTCTGATGGCCGATTTGTGTCCGCTGCCGTCCAGTTTTACTGAGAGTCGTTCGACTTGCATTTTAAGCGCG